TTGAGAACTGGTATGAATTTCAGATCAATGCACTTAAAAAAAAATTTAAGTGTATTTTTGTAAATTCTTAAATAAATTTATTTAAATAATTATTTTAATTTGCCATTTTCATGAGAAAATAGTTAATAATTAATAATTAATAATTAATAATAATAATAGTAATAGTTAATTATATAAATTAATTATTTTTTAATATTTAATATTTCTCACTTTAAAAAAAAAATAGTTCATATTTTTGGGAGATTTTTCCATCATCATATGAGACTTAAAAAATAGATATAAACGTTGAGAAATTAGCCAGAAATAAAATCTGGTAATTTTGGGCGTATGTATCCCCTCTGAGTCATTCTCTTTGCAAACATCCTTTGACACAGTAAAGTGTTAACCGCGTACAAACCGTAAACACGTGCAATTTAATCAGTTTTACTCAATTTATTCTTCGTTGTTTGGGCGTGAATAATATCCATTGTTCAAATGCGTGTTTTTTCTTTTATTTATTTTTTTTTTTGAAAAAAAAATAAAGTCGCATTCGACGCTCTTTTATAGTAAAGAATAAATACATTATTCTTTAAATTAAATCACTCGGAATAATCTTTTAATTAATAAAAACATCTTTTTAAAATTTAATTTAATTTATAAAACGATTTTTTTTAAAACAAAAATATTATTTAAAATTGCAGAATTTTAATTTATTTAAAAAAATATATTTTAAATAAAAAAATATATTTTTTTTAATAATAATATTAAATATAATATTATTATTTATAAAGATTATAGAAAATTTTCATCCTTCATTTTATATTTTTATAATGGTGTTCAAAGATTTTTTTTTTTTTTTTAGAAAATCACAACTCTTGAGGCAAGTGTTAAGAAATTCAATTAACATGAAATGAAAAGTCCAGAATGATTTTTTTTCAATATATACCAAACGTGAACGTCACGCGGAAAATAAATATACATAATCCTTGAAAACTGGTTTGTAATTTGCATATTTTTCGAAAAAGAGATTACTTATTTGTTGCTCTCGTGTTTAAAAAAAAAAATCACAGTTAGATAAAATATAAAAATACACAATTTTTCTATAGAAATTATCATCAATTTTAGCATATATTATGATGAATCATTATATTTTTAGTCGTGAAAGAAACTACAATAATTTCTTTGAAATTTATTAAAATATGTTTAGCAATTTTTTATAAAATTAATTTAATTTAAAATAATAATTCTTTTTTATATTGGGAGTTTAAAATGAACTGTTTTCTTTAAAAATTATTAGAGAGAAAAATAATAGAGAAGAAAGAGGGAGAGAGAGGGAGAGAGAGGGAGAGAGAGAGAGGGGAGCATTTTTTCCAAGCAAACATAAAAAATCAAATTAAAAAAACATAACACAATAGTGAAAGTCAGTTCTTGTGACACATCAAAATTTTAACATCTTTTTTACAACTGTTAAAGAAATTACAAAATTTATTTTTATTAATATTTATTTAAATAAATAAAAATATAAATCTAAAATCAATGAAATCATTGTATTTATTTAACTAAAAAAATATACAAGTTAACAAAATTTTTAACTTAAATTGATCAAAATTTTTTGAACAAAATTTTAATAATTAATTAAAATTAAAAAATAACAAAAAATAATTATAATTTTAATGATACGACTAAAATTATTTTAAAATACATTAAAGAATATAAATATAAATATAAATATATATATATATATATATATATATATATATATATATATTTGTTAAGCACATGTCAAAAAAGATTATGTACTTGTAAAAGTCTATCGAGATAAGAATAAAGGTGCGAGTGGTGATTATGTGGAATTATTTCATGAAGATAATTGCGCGCGTAATTGCTATTAGTGTCCCCTTGAAGAGAGGAAAGTGGAACACATTATAGTTTTGTTCCTTTTTTTTTATCTCCCGAGATGTCCAATACAAAATTAATTATTTATTGAGAACATCCGTTCTTGTCATTCGTTGAAAAAGATTATTAAATAAATATATATATACTCCAAAGGATATACACTTGTCATAAACAGAAATATATTTCTTTCAAGAATAGAAAATATTTCCTCGCACAGTATAATATAAAGATAAACAAGTTTCTTTTTATAAAAAAAAAATTATTTTACTTCCGTCTAAACATATCAAATCAAAATCTATTTTCAACAATGATTAATTAACTAATATATTTATTTTTTTATTCACTTATTCCTTTTATTTAATTTAATTAATTAAATAATTTACTAATTTAGTAATAAATTAAAAAAATAATTTGCTAATATTTAAATAATTTCTATAACACCTAATTTTTCATCATCAATAGAATATTTTGTTTTAAAAAAAGAATTTTTCCAACGATAAAAATTAGAAGAGGAAAAACAAAAAAATTATGTTTTTTTTTTCAAAGAAAATTTCATTTCCTTGATGAAGACACTTTGTCTATATAATATAATAGCGGAAGTATCCGGTGAGTTTAATGATTCTGGAAGAGAATGATTTTTTTTTATTTTCTAAAGTTGACGTGAAAGGTCATATACTTATAAATATTCATGGAATAAATTTTTCAAACCAACAGATAAAATAACAATTTATATATCTACTTGTTCTTAGCTTATACACTCCGGTTGCTACTGGAATTTTATTAGACAAACGTTTGACCGATTCGTGTTAACCCTGATTCCTGATCCACGTCACTGGGTTAGTATTATTCTATTTTATATATGTATATATAAATCTTAAGAGAAGAAACAAGCGTTCTTTTTTAAATATATATGAATCTTCTTCTTGTCTACATTATCACAAATTTTACTATACGATGACTATTAATTATTGCATCTATAAATTGTGATAATTACCAATTTTTATTAATAATAATAATAAAAAAAAGTTATAAAATAATTAAAATAATAAAAAAAATAAAAATAATAATAATAATAATAATAATAATAATAATAATTAGTGTAATTATTAATAATAGTATAATAATTACTATAATAATTAAAAAAAAAAGCTAGTTCGTATTATTTATTATTTATCCAAATTTAATTGCAACAAGTGAAATTAATGTTTGCCATTTTTTTTATATATATAAATATAAAAATAAATAATAATTATTAAGATATAATTTAAAGATATCTTTAATGCATATAAATTACAATTTATATTAACGATAATAAATAATTGATAATAAAATTAATAATTCATTAATAATAATTTTTTTGAAAAAAAAAAATTGCGATAAAATTCATGTTTAAATTTTTTTTACTAAAGGGAAATTTATAGAACTAAAAACCTATAAAGAAAGTCGTTTTCCTTAGTATAAATTAGCACGCAATCGAGAGTGGTCAATGATTTTTAAAAAAAAATTGAATAAAGGCACACACAAGACAACTTTCATCGTTTTATCTTGATCATTTCACATGTATATCTCATTTCACTTTAACAAAATTAGATAGGTGTGTGATTGGTATATTCGTTGGATTTTCAAGTTCCACCTTAATACTTTATGTAATTATTTCACAAGAGTATAAAGAGATTATTTACATCTAACAAAAATCTATATACTTTCTATATATATATATCTATTTTTCGTTAACAATAACATGAATATTAATATACGTTCTAATTTATAATATTAATTAATAAAAAAAATAATACTAATTATTTCAAAATTAATACCTATATAATTAAATAAAAATCGTTTTATATATTATACTGGAATTTTTTAATGAACGATAATAAATATCAATATTTATTTCATAATTAATTAAAAATATTAAATTTTAATATTTAATATTTATTTCAATATTTAATATGTATTTCAATATTTAATATATTTTTTTAATTACAATAATAAATATTTAAATAAAATAAACAAAAAATTTAATTTTATACTTTAAACAAACTTTTTTTTTATCAAAATTATGTGATTTCTAAAAAATGCAAAAGTTGCGTAAAAAAAAAAATAAAGTTTCAAACTCTATTAAAATGACAAAGTATGATATTATTTATCTATACTGGCCTACAATGAAAAACAAGTTAAAATATAAAAGGTACTGAAATATAAAATGCCTGCTTATATTTTTGACCCAGAAATGTTATCAATGAAACTCTCACTACAAAAAGCGCCATTATTATATATATATATATATATATATATATATATATATATATATATATATATATATATATATATATAGAAAAAGTTTTTAATTTTCCACATTATCTGAATTGAAATTAATTTAAATTCTATAATAAATAAAAATTATTATTTTACTCAATGAAAATATATTGAAACTAATAACTATAGGTATTCTAAACTATTTTCAGTAAACTTGTTGACTAGTGCTGGCAATGTCTGACTACAGCCGGAATTTATCTACTCCATTTGTTTCGCATCACTGTCAATTGTCTGACTAATGTCAGAATTTTTCTACTTTGTGCACTTGCAGTGCAAAAAAATATGTATTATAATTTTAATAATGTTTTATATTCTAATTTTGTATATTTTGATAATTTTAAATTAAAATTATTATTAATTTATTATTATTATTTTGATTCTTATTTTTATTAATATTTTTATTATTATTTTATTATTATTATATTATTTTTAATTATATTACTAATTCTTTAAAGACCTTCTCTATTTGAATAAATCGATTTTCTCTTAATTTTCTTCTAAATTTTTTCATCTCAGAGAAAAAAAAAATTTTTTTCTTTTTTTAAACCAAATGTATAAAAATAATCTTTTTTTCTAAATTAAAAATTTTAATTCAATTTTTCCTCAACTCTAAATTAATTTGCATATTAAAAAGGGAAAAGATCGAATTCTGTAGCGCAGATATGAATAAAAAGACAATTTTGAAAATATAGAAAAATTAATAATTTAAAAAAGAAATAAAGTAATTTATCTGTCGCAATCACATATCGCGTATAGAGAATGCGGACTTTTCTAGGTCTCATGCGAGTCAATACTGTCCCACTGACCTTTTCTGCGTCCAAATGGTCCAAAGAAGATTCCATTCTTGCCGATAACATTGTCATCGATATATTTGAGTAGCTTACTCGTGTCCTCGCCCTTTTTCACTGCTATGGACTTGACCGGTCGTGGTGAAATGACCTTTTGTCCTCCCGCCAAAGTTGTTCCAATATTTCCTGATCCAGGACTCACAGGATGTGTTGTTGTTGTTGTTGTCTCCTCAGCCACCGAATTAATTTTTCTTTGCGATCCACTCCAGCTCCTCGCGCTCGAGATCTTCACCGAGCAACTCATCCTCTCATATTATACAATCGCTTTGGATCCTTTTTTTAAAAATTATTTTTCTTAATTTCTGCAATAGATGATAAATTTCTTTTTCTTTTTTTTAATTTTCCACACAATCATCAAAGTTGCAAAATTCGTTACACTTTTTTTTATTTAAATTTACAAAAACAAATTTTTTCCAAAAAAAAAATAATTATTGATTAATGGCAAAGTTTCACAAAAAAAAAAAAAAAGGAAAGCAGTCAACAAGGGTAGAGAAACCCTTTGTTCAGGGACGAGAATTTTGTTTAGGGCGTCGCGACGCTTACAGAATAGAACGCGCGCGCACATACACACATAAACACACACATACACACCAAAAATTATTCCCTGGGGAACTTACCCCCACCTTTATTTATTTATTTTTTATAATAAAAGTCTCTCGACGAATCTAAATCACTCGCGGTTCTCCGACCTCGTGTGCTTTTTCAAGAGAAAGATAGAGGGAGCTTTTTTTTAAAAAAAGCTATTTAAACTTCCGGTTCTCAAAAAAAAGAGAGAATGCAATTTAAAAAAAAAAATTTTTTTATGCTTTTTTCTCTCTCTCCAGCTAGTTTGTCTATCTAAATTTTCTGTCATTAAATTAAAATTCGGTCCTTATTTTTTGTGAGTGAAAAAAAAATTCACGTCTATACTGTTCAAGCGCTAAACCGAGACTGAATGTCTACTTGCTAACTGCCTGGTTCACCAATGACGTCATTATGCGACGCAGGCGCCTAACAGTCTTTAACTTCAAAATGATACCGTCGTTGCTTCCGTGCACGGCGGCCACCGTCCTCATGAATTAATTGACTTTATTATAAAATTAAACCACACATACACTTTCCTTCAATCACATATATACACAAAACTCGCGAGCTCGAACTTTAGACGCACACTTGATGTGCACTGATCGTTATAGACAAAGTGCAAGCACTTTTTTTTGTGAAAAAAAGTTCCTATCACTTGAATAAGAGGAAAAAAAATTATTTTTCATATTTCTAATTTTTGTTGTAAAAAAAAAAAAATTTATTTGAATCATCAATTTTTTTTTTTTGATTGATTCAGAAAAAAAAATTTATCTTTGAAAGGAAAGAAAAATTTATTTGATTCATATAAACGATTACTTGACTATTGTCAAATAAATATTTACTTGAATGAGATAATTTTTAAATTTAAATTTTTAATTTAATTAATTAATTAATTAAATTTTTTTAAATTTTATTTTAATTGAGCTGCCGGATCAAAGAAGGGCACATAACCCATTTGAATTACATTAGCTATGTGCCCTTCTTTGATCCGGCAGCTCAATTTTTTAATTTTTTTTCAATTTTTTATAAATTTTTTTAACAATGAAAAAACAATTTATTTATTTCAAATAATCGATTACTTAACTATTATCAAATAAATATTTATTTGTATCAAAATAATTTTTATTTGAATTAAATAAACTGTATATTTAAACCATAAATTTCTATATTTTTAACAAATAAAATTTAATTCAATTAAATAGAAATTTTTTGGTTTCAAAAAATATTTATTTGATTATAGTCAAGCAACTAATTATTTGAATCAAATAAAACTTTTTTTCAGTGTATTTTTTATACAGACCAATTTTTTGTTGTTATTTTGCATAAAACTTGTTTAAATTGAATAAAATATATATATATAATTTCAAAAAAAAACTTTAACTATTTATATAATTAAAAAAAATTTCAATAAAATATATATATATATATATATTTAATTTCAAAAAATTTTAAATAAATATTTGTTTGATTTTTATAAAAATTTGTTTAGTTAAATCAAAACAACAAATTTTTTTACCTCAATCAAAAATTGAATTACAATTATTATCTTTATTAGAAAAAATTTACAACAGTGAATCAAACATTTATGTCAATCAAACAAATATTTAATTACATGTTTAAGAAAAATATGCACAAAAGAACCAAAAAATTTTGGCCTATTGTAAAAAAAAAAGTATTTGATTAAAAAAAAAAAAAAAAAAAAAATCTTTTTTTCCATTTAGAAAAATGAATTCATTTCTTTCAAAGTTTTGTGAATTCTTTCAATGTATATATGATAATGTTTAATAATACACTTATATCAAAGATATAACATAATTTTGTTTGTGATTCATATAAAAACGTGAGAAATCAAAGGTTTCAGTAGATAAATTCTGACATTAGTCAGACAAAAGATCACTAAAAAGAAAAGAAACTAACTAAAAAAACAAAAGTAAAAAACTACCTAAAAAAAAAAATTCAACCGGATAAATTTAGAAAAAAAATTTAAAAAAACATTTTTCTGTCCATAAATGATTTACCATATTGAAAAAAGCAAAAAAGAACATAAAAATAAAACACAAATCTCGTTCAAAATTCTAGTCCACAATTTTAATACATCTGTTTATTTTTTTTCCCTATTTCGAGATTTATATTCATTTAGTTATGTCCAATAAACCATAGACATATGGCAAACATTTCCCCTTTTTTTTTTTTTTTTTATTTTTTAAATAGAAAAACGTTATGTTTGTAATTAAACTCCTGTTTTGGTGTGTGTCACTGCTATAAATATAAATTCTGATATCTTTTAATGTAAACTGTATATATACATGTATAATATACATGAGAAAGTTTTTTCCTAGTCTGTAAAAATAGAGGAGTGCAAAACACATACAAATATATATGTTATTTATTGTTTAGTTGCGTGATATGGCATGATACTGTTTTCAGTCATTACTCGAATTTAATATAGAAAATCTACACACACATATATATATAGTTTATTCCGTATTATTCTAAAGCAATCATTCTTCAAAGTCAAAGATTAGTTGATTAAACATATTTTTCCAGAAACATAATATAGTTCATATTTTTTTATCTAGTTTTTTTTTTTGTCTTCTACCTTTATATACGCCTATCAGATCTAATTAACCTTTTAAGAAAAATAAAAATTATTAGTCACCTTTTTTAAATATTAATTAATTAATTAAAAATTATTGCATAAGGAAAAATATTAAAAATTTAATCGTACATTAAATTTTCTGTCATTTTATTTTTTTATATCTATTGTAAATTAATAAATTTTAAAAAATCTTTCCGCAAAAAATTGAATTTTTTTTAATAATAATAATAATAAAAATAATAATTCATAATTAGTGTAATAATTCGAGAACTAAACAAGAAGCCGTAGTATAGTGTCATAGCAACGAGACCTTCACCCCTTATATTTATGGCTTACTTGTTTCGATCCTCAAACATTGTCGTTGCTTTAAGCAAGGGGTTTACTTGTTAAAAAAGATTATATTGCAACTTCATTTTTTTTTGTTTTTTTTTGTTTTTGTTTTTAATCTCGAAACCTGTCAAAACCAATCGCTATATTTGTTTTTACCTAAAAAAAAAAAAAAAAAAACGAAAATGCTCAAGTTCCAACTCGCTACAGCGGAAGATATTAAGAACGCTGCTACTATTGAAAGAAGAAGACAAATTGAAGAAATAAGAAAATCCCGAATCTTCAATCCTCGGATACGTAAAATTGGGGTAAAACCACGAGTCTATTGGTTAGGATTTTCCAATCAATTTTTTTTTGGTTTCATTTCTACAATATTATTATTTAAATATATTTTATTTTTAATTCTCTTATAATTGAAATAAAAATTTGAATTTAAATTTTACTTTTAATTTGTATATTATTTATTTATTATTTTAAAAATTTATATTACATATAAGAAAAATTTCCATATAGATAATAATCTATTTTCAATGACAGTATTAAATTTATATTCTACTCTATCAACTTTAATATATGAAATTTTTACTAAAAAATTTTAAAAACAAATTTCTTTTATATTTTATAGTAATTAATTAATCAACAGGTCTGTATTAATTTAAATTTTACAATATCGCAATTTCAATGTCAACTTTCAATTTATAGAGCTAAAAAAAAAAAAATTTCTACTTTGTCCTTTTTCCGATAATTTATTTTCTTTCCTTTTAATCTTTAATTCACGTTAACGAACTTGATTTCAAAAACTGGATTGAGAGTCACTTTTTCAAAAAAAAAAAATAGAATGATTCAATTTCTTTGAAGCGAATGTTGATTTCCATCTACTACAAATTGTGTTTATTTAATAATAATCTTAATAATATGCAAAACTATAATTCAAGAGAGCGTTTTTTTTTTAGAGAGATAAAAAATGCTTCATTTCTCTACTGTTAACTATCTTAAAATCAAAAATTCATATTTATGAAGTTTAAATACAAATAAATTTGTCAGAAATGTTGACATTTTTAATGATATTTATGTACTTTTTCTATTTAACCACAATTTAGTATTATCATTTTAAATTATTATCATCATTGTTTCGAAATTTATATTCAATTATTAAATGTATAATTTTATAATAATAATTTTTTTTTTTAATATATGGATAATAGTTATTACGTGAGAAATTTTTGCAGGTTGACAAAGAATTCTTAGATAAGCAAATTGAAGAAAAAAAATATCAACGAGATGCCGATAAAGCAAAAGAAGAACAAATGGACCAGGCACTTGTTCAAAGCAGCAAAATTGCAATTATTTTGGAAAAAAAAGAAGAGGAGGTAAATAAATTAATTTAATTAATTAATTAATTAATATAAAATAAAATTTTGTGTATTTAAAATAAAATTTCAGGAAAGAAGAAAACTTTTGAAGGAAATCAACACATATCGACAAGTTTGTCAACGATCAGAAGATCGTCGAGACTATGATCTTTATGATCCGAATGGATTGAAAAAAACTCCACAAGAAAATATTGTTTGCGGTGATACACGATATGGTTTAGCATCTGCACAAGTGTAAGAAGAAAAATTAAAATTTTTTAAAAATAGAAAACAAAACTGCTAATTACTAAAAAAAAGTAAATTTTCAAAATTAATTTCGAGTTTTTGTTAAAATAGAAAAAATTAAACGAGAAAAAATTTCTTAAATTTTTTTTGATGATCCAATTTGGGAAAAGTAATTTTTTTATTCTTATATCGAGAAACATTTTTTTTTTTTTTTTTAGGTTCGAAGGAGAAGACTGCAATAAGATGCAGCGTTTGAAGGAGCAAAAAGAGCAAATGCAATCGTGGGTAATGCAACAAATGAACGAACGTCGAGCTGCTGAAAAGGAGAGTCGCGACGCTGAGAAAGCTTATCAAGATGCAGTAGTTGCCCGAGATAAACGTGCAATTGCACTTGAGCTTATGGAAGAAGAATGTCGTCGAAGACTGAGAGAAGCTACAGCAAAATTTAATAAAGCTCTCGTAAGTCGAATACATTTCATTTTTATTTCCATCTTTTCAATATTCGAAATAATTGCGCAACATTAAACTTTTTTTTTAATTTTTCTTAAAAATATAAAAGTAATTTTAATTTTTAATTTGTGTATTTTTTGCCTATTATTATTATTTTTAAATAATAATTTTGTATTAAACCAAGTCCACTTCTGGGTCGAAAGGCTGAAGCTTAATTAATAAATAATAATATTATTTTTAAATAATCTCCTTTTTGTAATTTATCTAATTTACCTTTCCAATTTAATAAAATTTAATTAAACGTTTAAAACGCCATTTATAAAAAATTCATTTAGTTTCTAAACAACGCACAATAATTTTCAATTGAATAACTTAAGTGAAGAATATTTCTGAATAACTTTATGAATTATGTAAACGGCGTTTTTTTTTTTTTTTTTTTTGTATAATATTCTGGATAGTTAGAGAAACATCACTCGTTACATGAAACGTCATACAGTCATTAATTTCGAGACGGATATTGAGCATTTTAAATGTTCGCGTCGACTAAATTGCATGCGCATCAATTAATATACAAGTGGAACAAAAGAAAATACATAATAAAAATATCCTCTCGCTATTGTATATAGAGAGGTTTTATAATATAAAAATAGATCAAAATTTTTCTTAAAAAGAAAAATCGGTTTTTTTTTTTTTTTAAATAAATTCTTTTAAGAGAATAAATTTAAAAAATTTTTCAAAATTACATCTTAATGAGAAAATTTATTTAAATAAAAAACCGGTTTTTAACAAACTCCTTTTTAAAATATAAAAATTTTTAATCATAATCAGTAAAGAAAACGTATTTTAATTTAAATTTTAATCAATTCTTAATAATGTTTAATTTTTTCATAATTTTAATTTTTTAATTGAAAATAAAATATTTTAATTTTTTTTTATGTTCCTTTCTTATATTAAAATATGAAAACAATGATAATTCAACCAATTTGTCTTTATTTAAATTCTTAATTTTATTTTAAAAATAAAATTTAATTATTAATTAAAATGATAGTTTCTAATCAAATTATCAAAATATTTAAAAGATTGTATAAAAAAGAAAAATTGGTGAAATAAAATTTTCGTCTCGAAAGTAAATTTAAATAATAATAATAATAAAAAAAAAAAATTATTGACTCACCTCTTTCTTATTGAATGTGAATTTTTCCGCTAAAACAAGTAAGGTGTCCGATTGCATTGTCCTTCAATCGTTGACTGTGTCATCATATTATTTGTCTCATTTACGGCGATTCCTTGAATTTTTTGTTTTATTCTTTTTTCATCCTTCTGCGTAGGCGGAGGAACAAGAATACCGAAGGCGTTGTGAGGAAATTCAGGATGATGAAGATAAGCGAGCTGAAATATATAATCATGTTACTGGTGATTTTCTCACTGAGGCAAAGGAACAAGCCGAAAGTAATCGTGGACCAAACAAACCTTTGGCCTCCAGATATAAGGGGATGACCTCCGAGGAATTAAAAACATATCGCGACGAACAATTGCGACAAATCGAAGAAATCCAGGTAAAATAATAATTATTTTTCTTGAAGTGAGAAAAAAAATCATTCGCATAAAGTTTTATGCAAAAAAAAAAAAGAGATTGTCATCCTTTTGAAATCTGGAACAAAACATTTTAAAAACAAATTAAATAATGTAAATATAATAATAAAACAATAAAAATATACTTACCTTTTTTATAAGTATAATCCAAAATTTCATTCTTTAAAATAAAAAATAAAAAAATTTATTTTTATTTACAGAAAATAAAATTTGCCGAAAAGCAAAGAAATGATGATTGGAATCGCCAAATGTCAGGAAATGCTCGTACTGCAGAAACCTATTATCGTGAATTAGAACGAAAAAAAGCGTAAGACATTATTACTATTATTATATTAAACAAATTAATAAATTTCTAAGAAAATTTTCATTCTTTAAATTTTTCAGACAACTGAATAAGCAAATTGCTGAAGAAAATCTTCAACTTGCCGAACAACAAAAATCTCAACAGAAATATTTAAATCGTATCATATATAAGAATAAATCAACTCCGGAATTTTTTTCACAATTCAATAAGAGTACACGTTAAAAATAATTTTCAAAATAAATTTGTTTTAATTAATATTAAATTAAAAATTTGTTTTTAAAGAATGCTGAAAATAATTAAAGAGGAACAGTTTCATAAATAAAAAGATAAATCTATGTACAGAAATGTTTTATTCTTAAATTATGCACAAATTGCAATCAATACAAATGTATCTGAAACAAGCAAGTTGGGGGATATCTCAGTTTTTCTTTTTTGTCTGCCACGTAATTTTTTTTTCTTTTTTTAATCGGATGTTACGGCAGCAATTAGTATGTGTCATTAAGTTTTTGCATTGAATCGTTTTCGGCTTTATTTTTTTAAATATTGTTTTTAAAAAAATTTGCACACTTTGATTCACAAAAAAGACACGTCAATTAAGTTGTTGTCATATCCGGAAGAAAAGACTCGTCAGTTTTAAATCGATTAAATCAATTTAAAACCGCTTTATCGTATCTATTTTTAATAGCTTAGTATAGTAAAGCTAGTTTATTTGTTCAGACATCCACATTATTTTTTTTTTTTTTTATGTTTTTTTGACTAAGTAGTATTATAGTAATAAAGGTATGAGCTAAGTTCTGCACTTCAGCTAGATATCATAAAACATGTATCATTCCTTCTCTCTGGCACATCATACATTGGTATTACTAAGTATACGTTTACCGTTTTTTTTCATCATATATAAATCATGTGAAACAATGCAGAAACGAATTGTATATAAAAAGAAATCTATTATTCGTTATAATTAGATTATATATCGTAGTTACAGAAAAAAAGGAATGAAACTAAATTAGTGAAAAAAAAAATGGGGAATAAAAAGAAATATTAATCGCTGGTGCACACTTTTTGGGTGTGTGAATCAAAATCTTTCGAAGGAAAAAAAAACAAAATAAGCCAGTTCAGCGCTCTTCATGATAGTACAATTATTAATTAGCACTCAATTATTGAAACATAAAAATCTAGTCTTGTTAAGTAACTCTATGAGTAATCATAAACCAAAAAAAAAGAAACTCAATCTTCTGAAGTAAATAAGAAGGAACATCATTGGGAATTATAAATCCGGGAATTGTCACAGCTGCCGTTTAACGTTTAATCGAATCTAACCCGTTATATATTTTTTTAAATCAACTCATTTTCTCTCTCTCTCTCTCTCTCTTTTCTTAATCATTTCGTCAATAGCATTAAACGTAGTTATTTTCCCAAAAAAAATAAAAAAATAAAAAATAAAAATAAAAATAAATACAAGGGATAACAATTAGGCATCACCTTTGAGAGTCTTTGATACTCTTAAGTTTGCTGCTTGTTTTAAAGATCAATTTGAACGGTAAGTGTCTAAGTACCAATATATTAATCAGTCTAGAGTACTTTTTTTTCTTCTTCTCAAGTCAAGTTTATAGATAATATCAGCAAAACGAATAAAACAAAAATTCGTTCAAATTTAGCGTTTACAAGCAGCTAACATTAAAGAGCTTTTTTTTCTTTTTTTTTTATTATTGGATCGTTGAAAGTGAACAACGGATTTGGTATTGGTACTTTTTTGTTTTTTTTTTTTTTTTTAAAAACGGTACACGTCCAAAGCGCTGTCGGATAAGTTTAGGAGCTCGGTATAAAAATGAGGCACAGTTTCACAATCAGGGGGGGGGGGTGATGGTGGTGGGGGGGTGGATCGGGGAATTATTCTCATTACCAAATTGTGCTGTTACTACCTCCCAATGAATGTGTCCATATATCAAATTAATGATAGTGTTATTACTATCATTTTTTTTTAAACTAAACCATGCATGGATATTTATACGTGTCCTTAAATGATTTTTTTTTCATTTTTAAGGAAAATGACGATTTTCTTAAACAAGTGTCATAATTCTTATATCGGTAGCAAACAGTCTTAACAACGAGCATAGACTAAAAATCATGTCGCGTTCCATAATAATCGTTAAGTCCTTTAAGAGGTGAAGGGGGAGCGGGTTAGCGTCATGTTTGCGTACTTGAATGGTATTTGTACCAAAATTCGGGTTTATAGTCTTACGTTCGTGGAAAATTCGTAATCTGCGATTTTTTTTTTCATTTCTTTTCTTTTTTTTTTTTGTTTTAGCCACTGGTGCCATTAACCAGAGTCTCTTTTGGCTTGTTGCCTGACTGGATGCGAGGATTACGATTACGTTGTTCACGTTGTCCTTTGGGACCGCCCTGAGAACTGTTATTTGATGTCGTTATGTCATTTGAAGGTGTTCCCTCCTTACTGGCAATATTTCCATGGCCATGTTCACCGGGACCTGCATTGCCACCTAAAATAAATTAACTTTTGTCAATATTTTTTATCGCGAATAATTTCTCCCAAAAATTAAAAAAAAAAAAAAAATTCCCCTTAACATTAATTTTTTTTCTAATTCCCGACTGCTTTTTTTCTTTGTTTTTGTTATATTACCTTTTGAAACAGTCGTAGGAGTGGAACTGCGTTGTCTAAATCGTCTCACACGTCTTCGGTTTGTGCCCTTAGGTCCACCTTCCACACTTGATACTGATTCTACGCATACACAAACCATTGTGACCATCCGTTCAACGTATCGCAATATTTTATCAAGGACGATTTTATTTATTTTTTTTAGTGTGCTTAAGCAGTAGACTAAATTATTATGTCAGAGTTAGTAGCGTGCACTGAGTTATTTAATGAGACGATTAACAGAGTGTTAGATGGTCACAAGTGTTTGCTTTGCTTTCCCAAAATACCATTCTCTAAGCATCCCAAATGAACCATTTTCTCTCTTCTTATTCACTATCTTCCTTTTTTTCTTCTTTCATTCTATTTACATTTTCGCTCACTCTCTTCTTTTCATTTTACGATTGATTAATCATAAAATAATTTTTAAAGACACGTACAATTAAAAAAAAAAAAAAAATTTCATTCTCACTCATACTTCATTCTTTTTACGAATGATTTAAAATACGAGACAATCAAAATGAGTTATTCAGGATTTCGTGATATTAATATTGTAATTAAATTTACCTCTATCGATACTCGAAACATCTTGACTGTCAAGGACTGTATCTTCATCATCTGTCGTTCGTCGACGATCGTCCCTACGATCTCTGCGTTGATTCGAAGGTCGACCCTGTCTTCCACCATAGCTTGAGTTTCCTAAACCTTGATGTCCCCCTCGCGGTGGGAGATCCCGAATACGATCATCGTTACCATCCATATTATCTCGACGCATTCCTGAAATATTATATAAATTTTTTAATTATTTTTCATCCAAGAATTTTTGTCATCTACATACAATTATTATTATAAAAATTTATTATTTTTTAAATTCAGTTAAAATTGTTAAATTGATAAAAATTTATGTATTGTAAAATATTTAATTTTTTTATTTTAATTACCTGCATTATGTCTTGGTGGAGCTCTTCCTCGACCGCGGCCTCTACCGCCCTGACCACCTCTACCACCACGACCTCCGCCACCTTCTTCAGGCCCCGCTGACATTCCTCGTCTCACGGGAGGAAAATTGGGCATTGGACCAGTCGTGGCTCCATGCATATTTCTCAGTTGCTGATCAATTTCAAGTTTTTCTTGTCGAAGTTGTTCTACTTCCTGCGAAGAAATTAATTTAAATTAAAAATATTTATCACTTAATAATAAAATTTCCACTAATGGACAAAATAAAGAATATTTTTAAAAATCAATTTTTAAAAAGAATTATTAATTTATAATAAATTAATTTTTTTTATAAATAAACAAAAAATTACCTTTAAATGAGCTAAATGGTATTCCAATAAAACCTTAGCATTTGCAATACTTTCAACTGTACCAACAAAAACAAAGGGCACTTGTCCCTCTTCCCTTGGAATAGTTGGTTGAGGTTCATTGTCTCCTTCAATTTTAACTCGTACCTTAAACACATAAACAATCCAAATTGTTACTAAAAATTTCATTATATTTTTCTCGTTAAATATGTCGATGATCTTGTTTTCTAGAGAAAATAATGTTAAATTTAAAATTTTTAATTTTACTAAATTATATTAAATTTTAAATTAATTTTTTCCATTTCCTGTTTTTTTTCTAGAGAAAAATTTATTATTGCTGAAAATAAATGTCAAAAATATATTTGATAATTAGGTATATTGATATTTTTAAATCACATATAATAGAAGTAGAATTTTTCATGCAATGATCACACTTTTTTCAAAACGTGTTAAAAACATTTTTTTTCTACAATTTCCCAGCCTGGGGAATAGTAAATCAAAAATGTAAAAAAAAACAGATAAAATCAAATATATTTGGAAAATTAGAAATGGTTAAAAATAGTTTTTTTAATATTAAAACAAATTTTTTGTTAATGTAATAAAACTTATAAATAATCTACACAGTAAATAGGTGTATTACTAGTAATAAAAAAAAAGAAAAAAAAACTTCTATTCTATAAGCTAAAATTATAATAAGAACCGCAAGAATTGATACCAATTTTACTTTTTTTTTTTTATAAAGAAAATCGAATCAATTCTTACTTAAACCAAACTCAATAATGTTTTTTTTTTAGATGAAAATATGAAAAGAACCACGGGACCTTTTGAAAAAATAAAAAAGATTGTTTATTAAAAAACAATGCAAGTGAAGCAAGCACTGTGATATATTGTTTACCCCATATATAAAAAAAATTTAGAATTCGAATGAAAGTTATTATGTGAAGAGAAAAAAAATACTTCTCAATTATCCCTATAATTAAAAAAGACAGATTAGATTTAAATGCTAATGAAATAATTTTTTTTTTTTTTTTTTTAATACATGAAGCTGGCCCGAGTGGTTATGTGATATTTACCATCAAGCTTGACTTAAGTTTTTTTTTCAAGTGTATACTAAAAACGGATGATGAGACTAAAGCAAAAAAAATAAACGTAAGATTGAAAAAAGATACACTTTTATAAACAATTTTTCAAAAACGAAAATTTTTTAGTAAAGCTTTTTTGACAAAAATTGTAAAAGCTTTCTTTTTTAAAATTTTGACTTTTTGTTGCAAAATATATATATATATATATATACCTAGACTCGAATTATTATTTTAATTTTTTTTTTTTTGTCTTAAGTTTTCATTCTGTGCTTTAGTCAATGCTCATGAAATTATGGCACATAGAGTATTTAGGTAACATACTTACTCTATCAGTATGTACATTCCCATTCGAGCCAGATGTTATCTACCGAGAACAAAGAATGAAGTATATCACACACAAAATAACCCCCTAAAAATTTTAACTTTCACTCGAACAATCAATCTCTTTATAACGTAAAAAAAAATTATAACAAAATAAAAGGGTTATTCTCAATTTTTTTTTCTTTCATTTTTATTTTGTTTCTTAAAAAACCTAAACTTTTTAAAATACCCTCAGATCTTTTATAATTTTATAAATTATAAATTTTTTTCTGTAAGGATAAATAATAAATTTCTGTTAAAATAATCTACTTTGTAAAAATTGATTCTCAATTCATTATTATTGATTGAAATATTTACTAGTCCCATCGCAGTTGTAATAAATTCTGCTTAATTTTCTTTAAAAAAAAAAATAAATAAATAAAGCAGCTTATTATGTTGAATATTATTCACAAACAAATGATTTGATATGTTTAAAAGATGAAAAAAAGCATGAATTTTTTTTTAAAAGTTCAAACAAAATTCTTTAATAACGAAAAAAAGTTTTAATTTTGTTAGTTTACGAGAAATCTTTTAATAACATGGTTCTAAAATAATTAATAATTATCCTAAATTAATTGTATTTATAATAATTATAATTAATAATAATAGTAATAATAATAAATTATTTTTACTATTATTATAAATTATTATTATGAATTTTGAATTTTTTCTTTATTTACTTTTTAGTTTGAAAAACAAATTCCAAATAATTTTCTTTAAAAAAAAAAACAACTGAGAATACTGCAAATAAAAATAATAAACATTGTACTTACTACGCCACTTTTATCGACAATTTCTTGAATGATACGACCATTCTTTCCAATCACCTTCCCAACAAGAACCCTTGGTACCTGAATCGATTCTTCACTATATTCTAACATAGAACGCGCCTTTTTTACAGCTTCGTGCGTCTGTAAAGTAATTAAAAATTCCTTATTTTACTTTCTTCTCTCAAGTTCGTTATATAAAATAAAACTTAGTTTACAAAAATAAAAAATGGAAATAATTTAAACAAAATTTTTAATCTGACTGATTTAAATTGAATTTTTCTTACCTCTCCGTAAATTTTAAATGTGCACGAATTTTCCTCCAACTCAATGTTAGTAATTCCATCAACTTTTCTGGCTTGCTGGATATTTGCTCCGTGAGCTCCAATAGCTAGGCCCATTAAGTCTTCTCGAACATTAAATTCGTCAGTATACCTGAACATGAAAATAATAAGAATTTAAAACCAAAAGTTGAGAGGAAATTTCAATAGTAAAAATAAAATTTACAAGGAATTTTTCCAATGTTATTTTCAATATTGCATTTACTAATTATCCTAACAGTAATTAAGAAATTAAGCAAATAAATTATATAAGTAATTATTAATCAGTTAACTAATTAGACAATTAATTTTTAAAAATTAATTGTTGCACGATAATTTTAACATAAACAAATCAAGATCCATTAATATTTACAGAAAAGTGCATACAATAGAGATTGATTAATTTTTAAACAATTAATTCAACTAGGTAAAGGTAAATTTTAAAAATTTTCTCAGTATATTAGGAAAAAATATTTTCATATAAAAATAAAAGCAAATGCTCATGCAAATAACAAATACTACTAGATTGCTGTTTAATAAAATAATTTCTCATATTCTCATTAAAAAAAAAGAAACCCTTTCACACACTAACAATTTTTAAAATATTTCAACAAAAAAGAAAATTTTAATAATCCAATGAAAATTCTCTAAAAATTTAACAAAACATTCCTATTGTAGAATAAAAATGTATACTGTTAATCGAAAAAGTTGCAAAAATAATAAAAAAATTTTTTTCAATTTTTGCAAAAGCAGCCAAAAATAAAAATTATCGGACACGCGATCGATAAAGTATTCATGTACATACATACTGTGACTATTTATTTGTCAACTCGATACATTCTGCAACATATATATATATTGATAAAGAAGGAAAATTTTCATAATCGATAACAATTGAGCAAAAATCTGGCCCCATTAATATCCTGGAATTTAAAAACTTACTCCTTTGTTGAGGAATTATTTAGGACAGAGAAATCGACAACAAAAAGAGAAGTTTTCATAGAATCCGATGCAAAATTTTCCCATTAAAAGACATAAGGAATAGAGCCACCGTTTTTTTCAATTTTCATAAATATGTATAATAAAAGACGAAAAAGGACAAAATATATCAGTGTTTCTCCAACATTGGCAGGCGAATTTTGATATATTATCTGTTCAAGTAAAAAAAAATTAAAATAATTGAATGATTTTTCTTTCTACATGAAAATGCAAAGAAAAGAAATACACATTTATCAAAAAAAAAAAAAATAAATAAATAAACTGTGCTGTTTTTCTAGTACTAATTTGCACCAGCCACTATTTCGTTCAAATACATAATAATACTACAGAGCAAGTAATAATTAAAAATATTATAAAAATAAATAAACAAAAAAAAAACAGTATCAACATAATTTTGTGAAATACGAAAGTGTTTTAAAAGCATGTATATTTATAACTGTACTACACAGCACTTAACATGCAGACTGAAAGTGTAATATTTTTAAAAAAATTTGAATTTTTTTTAAATGTTTCTTTTTTCTTTGATTTTTTTTTTCTTTTAATAAAAATGCAGACGTGTGGATTGTATATAACAATAAGCTAAACTTAAATCTAAACCACGCTGCTTTTTTTTTTTTTTTTTTGTATTCTCACCTTGAATATGTTCTCACTCCTGCCTCATAGTCTGAGACACGCTGATATATAAAGTTTGATGATCTAAATTTGCTGAAATAAGAAACAAACCGCGATGTAACTTTTGATGGGGGGAAAACTCATATTTTCTTTTAAAGATGGCCCTATCCTATGCCCTTGCCATTCTGTCTGTTTGCTCAATTGTCTCTCAATTGACAAGAAACTATTTCCATTATTTGCCCAGAAAAAAAAAATAATGAAAAAAAATGTATTTCTATTAATTAATGGAATTAGTTTAATTTAAAATTATTAATTAAATTTCGAAATAAATAAAATTTAAAAACGTGTATTTATTTTCTTCTTCGCTCCAATTTTGGAAATAACGAGAAAAAAATTTTTTTTTATCTTTTCACAATAAATCTTGTCAATACTTCCTAAATGAATATTCTAGGCGAAAAACTTACAGTAAACATGCCAATGAAGATATAATTGAAAATAAAGGAAAAAAAAAAGTTTCCGAAAGCTTATTCAACAAGCTTTGTTCTGCGTAGCTGGTGCATTACTAAAGTTTTGAACATACGACACGTGTAAACAATGAATGCAAACATTATATTTGTGAGCATTTCGTTGTGTAAAGAAAACATTAGTAAGTAATATCCTGCGCAATGCTACAAAGCAAAATATCAATAAAGAGAACAAAATAGAAAGATAAAAATTAAATTAACTTTTTATATTTTATTAATTCAAAAAAAAAAACAAAAAAAATGTTAGTAATTTTTTTTTTGTTAAAATTTTCTCAAGCTTCAACTAAATACTCACACTTGCAACCAATATTTACAAAATTAACTGCGAGAGTTAATTTTATCACACACTGTCTTTCAATTTTCTTTCCTTATTAAGTTCCTATTTTTAAGAAAATCAATTTTTCATTCTCATAATTACAGGAGATTTTATATATTCAAATTAAGCTTTTTTATTGCAATAAAATGGATTTATATTCAAAACACCGTGATTTTCTAAACGAAAACAAAAAAAAACTGTTTTCAACGTAATTAAAGAATCTATTTTTAAAAAAAAGTTATTAAAATTATTGACATGTACACCAATTATTTAAATTTTGGTGGTAATACCTTTCACCTCTGCCAGTAAATGCAAACCACAGACAGGATGGTTTTCAGGACAGTGTATGGATAAGGTAATGATAAAAAAAACACGAAAATTTAATTACAAGGTTCTAGCAAACTTGCATTTTACTTTACTCTTTTTAATCAAATTCATTACTCATAAAAAGACCCTTAGTTATAAAAAAAAACAATTCTAATTAGTAAATGTTATTTTTTTCCGAATTAACATGCGTGAAATAATTAATAATTTGATCATGCGCATTTACAAAAAAAAAGAATTAGAAGAGATGTTAATTATTACAAATGGAATTTTTTTAATTTATGTTAAACGCAGGGTTTTATTTTGTAAAAATTAAAAAAAAAAGAAGTATGCTAGAACCTTAAAAAAATAATTTCTTTTTAATTTACTCACCCTCCACTCGTCTGCAGCTTTGTTGATTCAAGTTGTCGAGCTGCTTCTTCTGTTCTTTTTAAAAGAAGTACCTGCAACAATAAAAATCAATTAAGTAGAAACAGATTTTTTTTTTAATTAAATATAAAAATATAAATAATATAAAAAAATCTAATATTTTTTAAAATAACAATTTTTACACAAACTTAAAATCATTATTTTAAAAGTGAATAAAAATTTTTTTTTTAAAATTCACCTTTTGAGATAAATTTCGAAAATGCATTTCCTGGATCATGCTGCTGTGACGACGTATATTTTCATGACGGGAGATGGCCAGCAATACTCCACGTTCAGGCACGTATCGGCACACTGCCGCCCCTATTGCCTTTTGAAATTCCTTGTGTACATTATCCATTTTCGCACTAATTCACAAACAAAGACATTTTGTTAAACCAAATTTAATAAAATAATAAATAAACTTTAAATAATAAACTTAAATAAATCAACTTTAAAAATTAATTACACAAAAATATACAAATAATTATATAAATAAATTAATATTAATAAATATTTAATTAAAATAATAAATTAAATATTTGCTGGTTAGAAAATTTTCACCGAAATCGAAAAAAAAAATAATAAAATTAACACTTACAACTCACGGAGTTCTTCAGGTACTTCGATTTCAATTTTATGAAAAGTATTTTTATCAATAGGGGCATTAGGGTTCTTCGGTCTTAATCTCTCACTGCCAACTATTTCAGAATATGCATATTCCCAACCTAAATATTCCACAACTAGGAATCCTCCCTTGATCATCTGAAATATTTAGAAAATTTTCCATTTTTAAACAATTTAGTCTCTCTTTTTATTTTCAAGAATTTTTAGAACATAAATTTTTAATGTCAGTATCACGTTTATCAAACAATGTTCTAATTTTATTGTCTTGTCGCAATTATGTATAGTGACAAGAAAAAGATGTCCGAAATGTGTTACTGAGAAAATGCTTTTTAAAATACCTCACATAAAGCGCATAAGTTATTTCATTGATATAAATAAATTGAATTAAGACTGTCAGATGTAGTTCAGTAAAATTAAATTTAGAAACAATTCAATTTCATTTAAAAATTAAATATACATAAATTTTTAATCATTTTCAAAAATTTTAAGAAATTTAAAACAATATTATTTAGTTACTATTGAATATTATGTCACTAATATCGAATATTTATTAAACTTATTATTATTAATTATTTTAAAATTTATCTAAATATTTTAACATTTTTTTTTTAATTAATTTAACTACCTTAATGATCGCCTTCCACCATCCACAAGCCTCTTGATCGTTTGCCCGTGAATATACTTCGATTTCCTGGTTCTCCTGGAAATCAGGTTTTGGGCCATCTTTTGGGGGGAGACGAATTTCAGCAAATGGAAATTTAGATTCTGGTTGCCAACTGCAAAAGCAAAATAAATTTCTATAAATTTCCCAAATTCTCTAAATATCACGTAATTTTTAATTGTGTATTTTGTATCTCTAATTTTTATTTCCAAAAATACTTAATAATTTTAAAAAATAAATGCAAAACTTTTTCCTAACAATCTTATCACGCAAATAAAAATTAAACTCATTAAACTATTTTTGAAAACATTCTTTCTTTTTTTTTAAAAAATGCTCTTGAACATAAATTTCTGAAACGAAGAAGCACGAGAATCGCTATGAATTGATAAAACTTATCATTTTCGCAATATAAAAAAATAAAGCAATTTTTCAATAACAATCTTTTCATTGTTTTTTTTTTTTTTTTTTAATCGGAACGACAAAAAAAGTATTGTTATTTTTTAATTCAATTGCATAAATTTTATAAAAAATGTTCATGATGTAGAAAAAGAATTTAATACAAATTGATTGCAATTAAAATAGATTTATGTATTTAACATTAAAATAGATTTTCATATGATCCAGCTTGAAATAATGATTATTCGATTCTTTCAAATATAGACAGAATAATTATGTAATATTGCGGAATAATGATATTATTAAAATTATATTTTTCATTACTTATTAATTTATATTATATTATTTGAAAATTAATGAAGAAATACTTGAGAATTTTTATAATAATTGAATTAATAATTTCTTCTTGACATTCTTAGAATTACAAAGCAAACTAATTGTATGAACCCTATAGGAATAAATATATGATAAAGAAAAAAAATTATCAGTGAAACTCTACTCTCAGTTTGTGCCATAAGGAAGAAATAATCTTTCATTCTTCTGATAATAATCTCAAGTTCAAAACAATTTCCTATATACAAAATTAATGGAATGAAAGTCAGGAAGTTATTTTATCAATACATTTTCATGACATATGATGCTCTATAAAAGTCATGGCATCACATACTTAAAATATTTATCAAAAACGAATAATATGAAATACTAATAAATAGTATCACTCAACAAAATTAATTACTCAAACTTTCAATACCCTTTAACAAATAAATAATATTAAAAACAATTTTTAAAATTTTGTCAAAATAACAGAAATTTTTTTTTTTTAATATTAGTTTTCAATTTTTTAAAAAAGTATCATAATTAAAGTAAAAAATAATCTTAAACTTAATAATTCAAAATCAAAATTCATTGGATATTCAAAGCATTGAGTAATGCAGAACACAAATCTATTTCTATTAACACAAGAAGCTGTTTCATGTGAACAAAAAAAATTGATTTCAACCACAAAGAATATTTTGCTCATTGAAAAAAAAATGTGAAAAACTTACTCATTTTCGAATGCTACCAAAAGTTCTTCCTCAAAGACATCGGTGACAAAGGCCTGAAAGGAAAAATATATCAAGTTGAAGAAGTCATTACTTAAGAGTGCATTACTAGTACGTCACAGACTGAGATCGTCGACCGGGGGGTTGCAATATAGACGTGGGGTATTCAATTTAAGGGTGAAAAATGAATTGTCGAATGATTCTAGGATAATAAGGACAAGGGCTTAGGGCGAAGGTATTGGAACTCAAAAGAAAAATCACGCCCTGTCAAATGAGACATGGCGTCGAAGGAAGCCGCGTTACCTCCCGAACATTTTAGGGTTGCGCTTTCGCAAAGTACGAGCGTCAATTCATTAATTTTATAATGGTGTCGCGCCCCATAGATTCGGCCACCTGCAGAGATCTTATTTTACCCCACTTTTTGTATACTTTTCACAGAACGAACCTTATAATATGCTCCGTTTTCGCCGCATACTTCGACTGCGAGATCCTCCATCTTGCTTTTGTGTGACGGCTCCTTGGCTCCTCGATATAGACATGCGAAAGCACAAAATTTAAGTTGGCTATACTGATAGTGTCCACCAATCACATCATCAATTTGACAAAAGCTCAATGTTTATTTGTCCAATTTTTCGTCCTCATTTATTATTGGTTATCATTTGTCTTTATTTTTTTTTTTTAATTTGTCACACAAAATTTAAATTGAAAAGTTTTTATTATTAATATATTTAATTTATTATAATTTTAAATTTTCAAATAGTGTCTATTGTAAATGAAGTATTTGATAAAGGCAATATGAACTTAAATATGAATAATATCTCAAGGTTTTAATATTTCTAGAGATATAAGTAAAATTATACATTTTAACTTTCTCTGATGTATCTACTTTTTAAAAAAATTAATTATTACAAGCTTTAAATATTAAAATGTTTAAAAAATGCACAAATCTGCAAATAAATAAATAAACATTCATAGATAGCGCTGCAAGCGCTGTTACATAACCTCAAAATAGACAGATTTTCTCTATTATTTTGAATAATTTGAAAAATAAATTGATAGAGAATAAAAATTAATGTTTTAAATAAGTAAAAAATGTTTTTGAGAATAAAAATATTAACCGATTCACATACTAAAAAAGGATTTAATTTTTTCTTATTGGAATGTTGGTAACTCTGATGTTAAAATTTTTTTTAAAGACAAATTCACACTGTTCGTGTACACATCCCGCCAATTTGCCATAAACGCGTATTTATTTTCGTTCAAGTTTTTTTATAAAAATATTAAAAGTTTAGAAATTAATTCAATATAATATTCTTAAACATAAACTCACCTTGAGTTGATTTTAAACAGGTAACACAGAAATAGTTATAAAAAAAAGATAATGCCGGCCAAACGAGGTAGAGCAAAGAAGCAGGTTAGTTTTTCATCTCTCCTTTGTTATTAACACGTTAATGTCATAATCTGAAAGAAATTCTTCAACTAATAATCAAAGTTAAAAGAATATTAAGCAATTTTTTTTTAGTGTCAATTATTTGTATTTATATAAAAAATGATTTGTCATAAATTTCTTGTTTACGTGAGGAGTTTGTGTTTCACAAAAGATTTAACATTGTCGTTAAAAAATTGTCACATTCATTCAATAACAAAAAAGGTGATTTTAAATCATTGTATTGATAATTTTCATTAATTAAATTTTTTTAATTTTTTAATAGGCAGTTGAAGAAGAAGGAAAAAATGAAGTCACGAAGGAAATATCAAATAAAAAAAAGATAAAAAGAGATTCAGATGAGGAAGAAGTGAAAGAAGAGCCTGTGGCAAAAAAAGCCAAAGTAGATACAAAAGACACGAAACCAATGATAAATAAAGTTGATTCAGATTTAAGTAAAATTGATTTCACATGCAAGAAACTTAATGCCGATAAAGAAGCTTATAATATTAAAATCTGTTCCTGGAATGTATCTGGTATTAGGGCTGTAATAAAAGTATGTATCTTTTATTTTTCAGTTCAGAAAATAAAGAAATTGTGTATCTTTATTATAAGGAAAGTATTTTCCCTTTTTAGAAAAATGGATTTCAATACATCAAAGAAGAAGATGCGGACATTGTTCTATTGCAAGAGGTGAAATGTAACAATGCAAGTTTACCAAATGAAGTAAAATTACCAGGATACGAGCGTTATTTTTTGGAGAGTAAGTAATTCAGTGTGAAAGAAGTTATTAGTAATAATTAATAATATTTTTTTCCCTCAGGTAAGAAACCAGGATATTGTGGTATGGCATTTTTTTCGAAAATTAAACCAATTAAAATTTTATACGGATTACAAAATTCTACTTTTGATATCGAAGGTAGAATTATCACAGCGGAGTTTGATAATTTTTACGTAATTAATGTCTGTAAGTATAATCAAAAATTAAATTCCAAACAATGAAAATAAATATAAAATTATTCAATACAATTTTTTATTTCATTAATTTGAATTTTATTTTAGACGTTCCTAATTCAGGCACTAAATTAATGAATTTACAAAAGCGATTGGATTGGAACAAGGCATTTAACGAACACGTTATAAAATTAGACAATAAAAAACCAGTTATCATTTGTGGAGATATGAATGTTGCCCATCAGGAAATAGGTGAAATAATTAAGTTCAATAATAGAACATAATTTGATAAAAAGTTTCCTATATACATATTGAAAAAATGAATATTAATGAATTTGAAAATTTTTTAAGGAAAATATAATTTACTATTCTTTTTTTATGCAGATTTAACGAATCCAAAAACAAATACAAAAAATGCTGGTTTCTCGCCAGAAGAACGAGAAGGAATGACAGAGCTTCTCAAGTTAGGTTTTGTGGATACATTCAGGGCAATGTATCCTGAAAAAACAGGCGCTTATTCGTTTTGGTCCTATTTTAGAAATGCTCGAGACAAAAATATTGGATGGTATGTAAAATTTTGTTAATTGTTTTAAATTTCATTTTTTCATTAATTCGATTTTTTTTTAGTTTTTAAAGAAAATTAGAAAAGAAATTGCATTTGAAAACATAATCAATAATTTTTCAGGAGACTGGATTACTTTATTGTTTCCGAGCGAATTAAAAATAAAATTTGTGATAACGTGATGAGAGACAAAGTTTATGGAAGTGACCATTGTCCTATTGTACTTTATGCTCATTTATAAATTGTTTAATTTTTAAATGTTTCTAATTTCTATTCATTTATAATAATTTCTATAATTTTGTAATAAAATCTCAATATGAAAATTATCTGTGTCATTAATTTCACATCTCGTTTATTTACCTTTTTCCAATATATGTAGTCTATTTTTCACATAAAAACGCAATAACTAAAGATATTTAAATTTAGCGCCCTATGCTCCTATTGGTCGAACTCAAGAATAATAAGATGGCGTCAAGATCAGCTGATATCGTCTGCTGGAATGACGGATAAAATTGTTGGTTAAAGTTTCGCTAGTGCAAGATCACTTTTCAAATAAAATAATAACCGTGTTCAATGTACACAAATTTGTGTGTGTAGATAGCAGATACAAAGATTTATGAAACAAAATCCGATGACGTATAGATAATAACTCGAGTGCTCCATGTTGACAGCACCCGAGAAACGCGGATTTAATCGCAAACGTCATTGACAGGTGGTGCAGGAATGTCGCATAAGCAAAACAGATAGAATTTTTATTCGTTCGATATTGTTGTGTTGTGATTTTAATAAAAAAAAAAAAAAAAAGAAGAGTGAATCGTGATTGATTTGGTTGTAATGAGTGATTCAGATCAGCAACAATTATATGTGCCTTACAGAGAATATCAAAGTCAGAATAACATCATTCCCACAGGCAATCTCGTGGAGACTGATGCACTTGTCGATCTTTCATTAACTCCTACAAATAATTTGCCTCAAGACGAAGAATTTCCTGAACTACTACCGGACGTCGCCTTTATTCCAAATCTGAATTGCGATCAAACAATAGCCATTGATTCTCCTGGAATTGACCGGGAGAGTCAACCTCTCCTAGGTCGTCTCGATGTCGATGTCTCCTACAACCGCTTTCCTGGTATTACTTTATTACTATTATATTAATTTTAATCTTCCCCCCCAATCCTCAAATCCGACTAAACACTTGTATACTTAAGTGAACAAACATCTCTTTTATGTTCAACTATCACAAATTAACAAATAATATTAATGAATCAAGGGACTTTTAATTAGTTATTTTAATAAGTGAAATCTAGTAATTCTTCTTATGACTCATCTCTTTGTTTGACGTACATAAATAATAATAATGACAAAAGAACAATCCGATTTATCAATTATTAACCTAATTTATTTTCCCTTCATTCATTTTAATATTCTTATAACCTTATTTTTTTGTCAGTTTATGAAAATCTTTTCTGAAAAACGTATATATGTTTTGTTATTAAAAATTAAACCAGTTTCGAGTGTTACAAATATCTATAGAGTAAAATATTTATTTGAATTAGCGTTATTCAAGATTTATTTTTGACATGCAGCCAACAATGTATTTTGACAAAAAAATTTGTTGACTCCACAATTTGCATAAATCGTTTTGAATTTCTAATGTGTAGACAATAATTGTTATTGAAATTTTACCTTGTCTTTTTTGCAAGGACATAATAGGTAATGTAAAATAATTCCTATCATTTTTATTCAACACTCTTTATTTAGATTTTTTTTTAAAAATAACAAAATTCTTAAACGATAATTTTTATCTCAAAATGTTTAATGATTAAACAATAATTTATTGATTAGTCAAATGAACACATTTTTCTTTTAGAATTTATTTTCAATGAACTATTGTTTGAATTTTAATATTTAAAAATATTAAAATTAAAATATTATTTCATTACCCAAATAAACTACTTTTCTACAATTGAGAAATCATAATAAGGTAATATAGATGAACCATGTCAAAAGTTTTATATTATTTTTTAAAATTCTAAATAATTATAGCTTGCAAACCAGCGATAATATTTAAAGTAACACATTTTTAACGATAAGGTAGAAAATTACACAACCAGTTATATCCGATAGCTTTTTGATGACGATTTTCACTAAAGTATTAGTAAAAAAAAAAAAAATAAAAATAACTTGCCTACGCGTAAGACTATGACATATTTTATTCTTCTTTGTAAATACTTGGGACAATCAGGATTTCGACAAAATTTCAAGTAGCAGTGACACTATGACGGAAAACGGATCAATTCTGGAAAATTGGGACAACTGGTCACTTTATTATCAAGGTATTTTCGTTATTTGGGGAATTTTTCACATGGGCAAATGGCACATTTCAAAAGAGATTCTTATTTTCACTTTTTTTTATAAATTAATGAATTATTCATAAAACGCAAAATTCAATTTTCCATTGAATTACGATTCGATTATATAGAAAAACTGCAATTTTTATTTTCTTAAATTTTCGATTACGCTTTAATTCTACAATGAGAGTAAAGAAAATAGAGGAAAATTTTCTTTCTATATATAAGTGAAACGCGATTAAGAAAAAGAAAATTTTTTTCGATTATAACCTACGAATTCATTATTCAAAATGAATAATTAAAAATTTTAACAAGATGGGGAAAAAAATTGGAAAAGTTTTTAAAACAATTTATGTAAAATTGAACATGAAATATCCTACAATATGTCAATATTGTAGTTAACGGTATTGTTTATTTATCCCAAGAAAATTGTTTGTTTCTGACAATATTGCATATATTGTCATCACGACTTCGTTAAACGTTTTTCATAGTTTCATATAAATTATTTATTTCTATCAATTGGACCATAATCTGACACAAGGTTACATCATCTTTTTTTTTTAACGTTACTAATACGTTTCATTTTTTAATTCAATCATACACGGATTTATTATCCTTTTCTTTTTTTTTTTTTTTATAGACGATCCATCGTTTACCGATCTGGTGTGTGAGGCCGAAACAGCAATAAACAATGGAATTTATCCTGAAAGAATTTATCAAGGCTCCAGCGGAAGTTATTTCGTCAAGAATCCTCAGGGGGTAAATTTTTAGAATTGACACACAAAACGAATTGAAAAGAAGAAAATTGTCTAAAATTAAATTGTTTTTTTTTTAGAAAACAATAGGAGTATTTAAACCAAAAGACGAGGAACCATACGGAAGACTGAACCCAAAATGGACAAAGTGGATGCACAAACTCTGCTGTCCATGTTGTTTTGGAAGAAGTTGTTTAATTCCAAATCAGGGATATTTAAGTGAGGCTGGCGCAAGTTTAGTGGATCGAAAACTTGGACTTGGAGTTGTACCTAATACGAGAGTGGTGAAATTAGTTAGCAAAACGTTTAATTATCCAAGATTTGATAGACAAAAGGTGAGAATGAAACAGGCAATTATGGAACAATTTCCAGCGGTTGGCTCACATTTCAATCGCATTGGACTACCACCAAAAGTTGGATCATTTCAATTATTCGTTGACGGTTATAAAGATGCGGATTATTGGTTAAGACGCTGGGAAAATGAACCACTTCCTCCACATCTCGCGCGAAAATTTCAACTTCAATTCGAACGATTAGTCATTTTGGATTATATCATTAGAAATACCGATCGAGGTAAATATTTTCACATTGTGTATGATTACTTTTTTCAAATGTAATTTTAACTTTTCTAATTTTATTCCCATATGGAAATATTTTTTTAATAGGCAAATGTTTGATATTGAAAAAAAAAATCTTTCGCAGGTAATGATAATTGGTTAATTAAATACGAACCTCCAGCAAAAAATAGTCCGGAAAGTGGAGACGTAAAAATTGCAGCAATCGACAATGGTCTCGCATTTCCTTTCAAGCATCCGGACTCGTGGCGTGCATATCCTTATCATTGGGCATGGCTTAGTCAAGCTAAACAACCATTTAGCGAAAGGACCCGAGAATTGGTTTCGGTTCAGCTCTCCGATCAAAATTTTGTACAAAATCTTTGTAATGACTTACATCAATTATTTAAGGTGAGAGAATTAATTCTTCCAAAAATCTGTAAATGTGCAAAGTCAAAGTCAAAGTCAAAAAAAAAAAAAAAAAAAAACAAAATATATAATTTTATATAATACTTATTACAAAATTTTACTTTTTCAGAATATAAAATGTTGATTTTTATAAAATACCTTTCTTTTCTTTTGCAGCAAGATAAAGGCTTTGATCGACATAATTTCGATAGGCAAATGAGTGTGATGCGGGGTCAAATATTGAATTTACAACAGGCTTTAAAAGACGCCAAAAGTCCTGTACAACTTGTACAAATGCCAGCTGTAATTGTCGAAAAGTAAGAAAATTACAATTTTTCTAATTTTTAAATAAGAAAAAAAAAGTATTAATAAAAATATTAATTTTCTAGGTTCTCTAAAGGAAATGGAGCGCAAAAATTATTCTCCTTCTCAGGCGCATTCACGCAACGCTTCCAAAGCAAAAGTCCTTTCTTTTCATGGTGTTGAAACATTTTTAATCATTAAAATCAAGAAGATTACGAGATGTTTTTATCAAATATATATATATATAATATACAAAAAAAAAATGCAACTTTCTACATCGATGACTACCTAATTTTTTTCTCTCTTTCTCTTTTAAGATCCATTGACCATGGAACGTTACTTTTTAATTAGTCCTAATATGTAGGATTAGTTGTTAATTAATCTATACATGATCATTTTAATTGGGATACAAATATTATTCATATGCTTATTATACATTGTATAGAATAAAATATATTCATATGTTGAAGTCAGTTTTCCCTTGTCAAGCACGTTTCAAAAAAAAAAGCCAGGGATTTATTTATTGACAAGGCAAATCGCAAACGTATATATGTACAGATTTTATCTTAGGCTGTCGAACCAAAGCTAAAACTTTGAATCGATTAATTAACTTTTATAGCGTTTGTGCCAAGAAAAATGTATTATTGAAAAAAAAACAACAAAATATCATTGTACATTATCTCCGTGTATTTCTCTGGGTCCGAATTATTGTCTCCAATAATAATTAAATGCGCCTCATTGTCAAATAATTGCGTCGAGATAATAATTATATTAAAAGAAGACAAATAACTGAGCAAAAATTGCAATTAAATGAATTAATTGTATGCATGAAAAGAAAAAAATTTAGCGATAAAAATATTCAGTGATTAAAAAAAAAAAAATTGTATGATGAAATAATTGATGAAAATTGTAAGAAAATAATCGACTGAAGAAAAAAAAAGGGAAATGAAAAAATTAATTAATTTTTAAATTAGAGAGAATTGGAATTACAAAATGGAAGAAAATTTTATGACCGCTTACGGATAATATTGATAAGTCAATATTTCCTGCCAGTTATTAGTAAAAGAAAAACTGTTAAAAAAAAAATATTTACGAAATTTCCATGAAAATAAAACCCTTACGTTTGTAATCACTTTGTCTAATTTCTCATTTTATTAGACAAATTTTCCTTAAAATTTTTGTTACTATTTATGTAGAAAACACTTAGTTTGCCAATTTTTACGAGCATTGAGAGTCTAATAATATATCTTATGTTTTTATAACCAATCACTAACTGTCAAAAACAATTTGACACATTTCATCATTGCTTATATTTTTTTTACAATAGAACCGTTTTTTAAAATATAAAATCGTATATAATTCAACTGACATGCATTTATAAGGAACAAAAATCTTAGAAAAACAAAAAAAAATGGAAATTGTAGAATTTTCTCCAAGAAAACCAAAATTTTCGACGTTTTTCAACAATAATCAAGTAATTTATATTCTTTCTATGAAATTTGAATCATCAAAACAAATATTTTGTAAATAACATTTTTAATAATTATTCAAACTAGACAGCTGTGTATAATTATGTTAATTTGAATTCTTTAAAAAAATTGTTCTCATTTTAACATTTATTATTATTATTAAAAAGTGTGTTTCAATTGTGTACTTAAAATGTACCTAAATCGTACTGTTAGATAATGTCCTTATTTTCATGGTATACACAGAAAATATATTTAATATATAAATTACATTTGAATATTTAATTTACAATTCTTCTCCTTTAATTAATAATGAAAATTCATTTGAAAATTACTCTCATAGTAATTAGTTTAAATTTTTAAATTCAATCATTAATGTAAAATTTACAAATTAAATTTCATTTAGGTTTCAAGAAGATATGTGCAACCACCTCGCATGCAATCTTTTGCACCACGACAAAATTATTCACCACCGAAAAATATTTTAGATACACAAACAACTTATCATCTTTCCTATTTAAATGAAAATCAAAATCAACTCCCTCGGTCTAAACCTTTTTATCCATCAAAAAATTTGTATATTTCTCCAGGAACAATATCCGATGACACTACTAGTAAAATGAGTTACAAACCTAATTGGACTTTCGTCAAAACAAAACCAATAAAACCAATAGTTAGGTAAAATTTTCCTCCTTTTACAATTTTTTTGTTTTTTGAAAAAAAGTTTAAAAATTATTTGTTATTATTTTATAAATACGTAATTAGACAAATTGTAAATGGAAATCCTGTGGAATATGTGACAACAGCGAAACATGATTTCATTGAGAAAATTAGTCAAAAACCGGAAATTATCATTCCAAGTGGAAGTATACGAATTAGTAATGGATCTTTGGATGGTTCTACAACTACCAAATTATCTTATTTAAATCCCGGAATTATGCAACCAGTTGCAAGTTGTAAACCACAAAATACTTATTATCCAAATGTCGAGTCAATTTCAAAGGATACAACTCAAAAATTGAGTTTTCAACCCTATTGTTTGCCAAAGAAGGAAATTTACCCTTGGAGCCAAAAAGCGATTTACAGGTAATAATTAAATTTCCCTTTCTGTAAATAGTTGTTTTTTTATTAATTTATCTTTTTTAAAATAAAAATTTGAAAGTTAAAAAAAAATCTTATTTTTTTCTCATTTTCCAAATAAAATAAAATTTGTTTCCTTCAAAAATTATTTGTGAACATTTTAATAAAATACACAAGTTTTCGTCACAGACCTCCTCAAACATCAATGGAAGGTCAAACTACATATGGCAAAAGTTTCCCGGAAGTTGATCTTTCAATGAAAGAAAAACCCATTATTCCAAGGGCAACAAATTTGTTTCCATCTGGTGGTGAATTTGTCGAGAAAACAATCTATCGAGAAACTTTTCAGCCACGCAATTCGCAGACAGTTACACCAATAATTCCCTGCAGTAATATTTCCCTCTCTAATAAACAAATGTCCAGTGAAACAACAAGCAAGGTAAATTAAAAAAATAGATTTTGATACATGATCCTGTGGTCAGAAACTTTCTATATTTGACAAGTATCAGAATAAATGTAATTGAATCCCTATTCATCGAGAAAAAAATTTTTTTTTTAAATATTATTTTCTCCCTTTATCTCAGCTAAGTTATCAACCGGTTCGCGGAGAAAAGCGCATACCAATTTTTCCACGTCACGGAAATATGATAGAAAATGGTTCAATGCAATTTGAAACAACTACCAGTTATGATTTTAAACCGAAAAATTTAACAAAAATAGATGTCACAATTCCTTGCAATAATATTCAAATCGCCGATAAGCCATTTGAAGGAATAACAACAACGTCATTATCTTACGTGAATCCGGGTCAGATAATTCCTGTATCTAGTTTCAAACCCGCCGCCAAGTATAATAGGTACAAAATATACATATATATATAGGTATATATTTTACTTATTCAATAATTATATAATTATTGCAATAAGTAAACTGAACTATTATTCAAATAGATTAATTAAAAACAGTGGATATAAAATAAATAAATAGAAAAAAAAGATAATTTAAATAAAAAATACCTTGTATATATTTTAGAGCCGACGCTAAAGTGGAAGGTGACACGGTGAATAAATTATCGTATCAATCTTGGGATATTCAACCGAGGGAGAATTTTCCATGGTCACGTCAACGTAATTATGAACCACCAAAAAAATCTATGATTGGTGATTCAATATATCATATGAGTTATCCTGTTCCTGGATATTACATCGAAGATTCTGAAAAAAATTCTAACCGTAAAAATCAGGAAAATAGCAGAAAGGAAATTTTCGCTAATTAAAAAATAAATCAATCTATTAAAAGGAAAAAATAAACATTTTGATATTTGATGTAATTTAAAAAAAAAATCTGTGCTTTAAACATTTTTTTACTATCGAATAAACGATAATAAAACAATCTTTAAATATTTGTAAACATTTAAAAATATTTATATAAATATTATATATTATATAATATTTATATACAATTTTTAAGTTTAACATTTCTGGGAAATTTTTACAAGAAAATGAAAAATAATTTTCGAAATACTTTAAGGAAAATGTTAAAGGATAGTTTAGTTAAACTTAACATTACAGTTAAACTTAAAATATAGATGTTTATTACCAGTGCATTATACATGCGTAAACATATATATATGTATATATATATATACATGTACGAAATTCACACGTAGTATACATTTAATTAGCCATTGGTGTACATAATAGCTTAATTAATTTAACACGCACGCGGTAAAATATTTTTTGATAATAAAATAAACTCTAATCTTTGACAAAAAAAAAAAAAAAAAAAAAAAAAAAAGATTGTTTTACAGACATTATCAACATATTTATTTTATTCCAGCAGATATAGCAGAGCTCACAAATAACGCATTTTTCAATAATAATAAGTATAATGATAATAATAGGCACTATAATCTGGCAGATTATTATCATGATTAAAACCGCTTCAATTTAATTAAAATTCCCAGGAGATTATTTAATAAAAAACAGCAAAAGTACATTTTCAATTAAAATATTAACTGCGTTAATTATTAATATTAATCAACGGTTTTAATCAATTTTTTTTCTGCCTTGTAAATAATTTTTTCTTTGGATGTTCATTCAAAAATTTTAATAAAAGGCTCATATGACGTTAACAAATAACGTAGGAGCAATAGATCAAAAAAATTTTCACTTTATAATAATAAACATACGTCATTTTTACTATATATATATATAGAATCACCTGCGACTTAAAATAATCAACTATAAACTAAAAGAAAAATTTCTTTTTTAAAATCTAAAAAAAAAAATGTGTTAATTTTTTCGTTATTACAGTTAGGAAAGTCCTGAGTTAAACTTGTTATAGCAATCGACAAAAAAAATAAAATTTTTCTACTACTTCATTATATAGGAAAATATTTTTCATATAAATATGTATGTAATTTCAATGAAATTGAAACAAATCGATTGCACAATCAATAATAAACGTTGTATAATAAATCCTTACTTTCGGATGTATCTTTAAATGCATTTAAGGCACATTTTTACTGACATCCCAGACAATATTCATCACAAACATTTTTCCTTTCTGTATTATCACGTATTTAAAAACAAAGGCAATATTATATATATTCAATTCCAAATACTGGTACAGATTTGTTATTTGTAAATATAAATATTATATATATACGCTATAGACATAAATTTGTCAAACTATAAAATTTTATCTGAATGAAATTAATAGAAAATACAGACTTTATAATTTTATTTTCCTTTTTTCTTTAAATTGTACTAACAACCTTAAAAGGCACGAATGTCTCCTTTATTTTTGAATCAAGAGAACATTTATTTTCGAAAAAAGGCGTAAAAAATGTACTTTATTTTTGTTGTCATTTTTTCTTTTTGTAAAAAAAGAATATTTTCAATAATTTTCATTAAAAAAAAATCTCCACATTTCTTTATGTACCTTTTAGTAAATAAAATCAAATACTTCCTTGATATATATATTCTAAAAAAAACTACGAGTCGAAAATTTTTTCACATTCCAGAAAAATGTGTAAAAGGTAGAAATTCTTCAAAAAAAATATATTTATGGTTAAAAATATTTAAATTCGAATTTAATATTCCATACAATAAAATTATTGTCGTTTAAGGTTGTTGCACAATTTAAAACAAAGAATATTTTGAGTTTCAATTTCCATTATTTAAAGTTTTCAAAGTAATTGAATAAATTTTTTTTCCTGATTTAAATATTTCTTAAAAATTTTACTATAATTGAAAATAAAAAAGTAAAATAACTTATTTTTTTGATAAAAAAAAAAAATCATTTAGCATTTTCTCTGAACATTATTAAAATCGTCCTTTTTTCTCTAAAATATTAATTAAGGAACTGTAATTATTAATTAATAGTAATTATGTAATTAAAATTATTATATCAAGACAATTAGTAATCTACTGTATTAATAAACGCAATATTAATATTTTAACAATAAAGCAGCAAATAATTTCCATACAAATCATTTAGTAATCAATGATTTAAAAAAACAAACAAAAATTGAAACTCAAAAATTATTCATGTAACGTATACGTATATATATATTTTTTTTTTTTTTTTGCAAACAATTTACACGAAGTTTCACATTTTTTTTTCTGTCATCAGGTACTGACAATAAAAAGGCACTGAAATTAAATATTATTTAAAAACAAATAAAAAATAATAATGTCACCTTCGAAATTTGGAGCCATTATTTTTTTTATAACATCCCACAAATAACATAGTCAGTCTCAGCCCAAAAAAAATTAATAATATTGCACACATTAATAGCTGTATTTTATATAGACATAAATAAGATTATTGTATGAATCTTGTTTGGCTAATAATTAACGAATTTCTCGTGACACTTAAAACAAAATGCCCCTCGCATTAAATTTCGCGTGACGAGAATTATGACAATTTTGGTAAATGAAAAACCATAGAAAAACAAAAAAAAAAAAAAAAAAAAAAAACATACCTACTGAGGTCTTGCATAATTCTGGATGAATTCGGGGAAATTAAAATTGCTGATCTGTTCTAGGCTGAGGTTTTCTTCGACAATAGGAAGATCTGGACCCATCATATCGACGTATTCCATGTCCGCGTTTGACCGTCCAGTTCCCGTTTGGCCAAGACCCGGAGCGTAACTACAGGATCAAAACACAACCCCAATCACTGGCAAGCCTTAATCAATATAGTATTTACACATCAACCAAAAAAAAAAACGAAACTTTTCAATTTTATCAGGTTTTTGTGTTAAAAATTGAAGCAAAAGTCGGAAAAAGCCGGTACAACACGGCAGAATGCGCTATTACAACGAAAGAAATTTCGAGAATTTAATTTTTTCATTTTTCTCAAGCAACATTCTACCCTATTGTATTTTTTTAAAGAACACTCTACTCGGATGCCAGTTTATTGTTAACGAGTAGTGATTGGAGTTGCGTTCAATCGCTTTTCATTGAATTCTCAATTTTTACTTTTTTTTTTTTTTATTTCATTTTTTGTAGTTGTACCGGCTTGCTCCAGGCCTTTGCCTCTATTTTTCACATTAGTGTTCACATTGTGTTAATTTTAAGTTTGTTCATCATGCAGCAGTCTTTGTCAAAAATTAACAATGAAAATTAAAAGAATTTTCTAAAAACATTCTTCATGTTGAGTAATTTAATTGTAGAAAAAAAATTAAATACCATATTACACGAATTGCTTAAAAAAAACAACACATTTTAAAAAAAAACATTTTTACGAACCTTCCAAGGTTTTTTCAAAGCCGTGGATAAGCCGATTCAAAAAAAAAAAAAGAAAAAAAAAACTAAAAAATGGTTTTCAACCAATAATTTAGTTAATTATTACTGATTCTTTATATACCTAAGATATGCACTTCAATAAAAAAAAAAATTATATATTTTAATCATTTGTAAGTAAAAATTGTATTTATTTTCTAAGTAGGTAAATATGTACGACCGAGTGTTGAATGTTTAGTTTTGAAAACAATTTTCGTGATCAAAATGTTTCACTCTTTTTCCATCACAGTCATTTTTTTTTTTTTTTTATAAATTATGAATTTATAATATTATATATTTTTTTTATATAGCACTATAACCTTCTTTTTTTAAAAAAAGGACAATTTTGTTCGAAAAGACAACAACTTTCGAGATAAAAATATGTAAAGATCACAATATCCATTCAACACTCAACTGTGGTACAAAAACTCTGAGTGACAAATTACTCACGAATATATCTATATATGAAAAAATTAAGTATCAAGTATATTTATAAATTGTATTAAAAAATGTATAAGATTTGTAAAAAAAAAAATCTTCCAAAAACTGCAATCGATATCGCACCATTAAATTGATAATACAATGAGCAACGTGTAGCTCTATAAAAAATTGAGAAAAATAGAATACTGATATAAATATTTGTACGGTTGTAAATATGAAGATGCGCATTTGTCATTTAATTAAAAAAAACCAACATTTTTACACTTTTCAAAAAAAAACAACTTTGAAATCTCAACTCTTATTCTCTATAATCAGTGATAAATCGCATCTAAACTTTATAAGTCTAAATTTTGCTAAATAAAAAATAAACACATTCAAACAATTTATTCATTTAGGAAACAAAACACTACTAAATTAATCAATCTCTAGAATAAATTGCACGATTGTCAATATAGAACTTATCTAACTTTTCTAAATATTAAAAAAACAATTTTTTCTTAGTCAAATTCTATCACATTAAATATTTTTTTGTCATAAAAAAATGAGATTCTAACTTCTAACATTCAATTTTAATCAAATAACAAAAAAAAAAAACTGCAAAATTGGTCCCATATTATATAAACTATAAAATAACGAGTATTTAATCGGTTTCAAGGTTTTTGCGCATCTTCATACAAGCCGAGACAAATCGAAGGCAGTTTAAAGTGTTTTGTAAACATTAAATACGATTTAAAAATTTTTTTTGTGTTACATCCAGGAAACTGACCTGGAAGCGACCGAGGGTGTATCTCGGGTCACCGATGGATCTGGGCTGTGTGCTTGGAACATTGTTGAAGGTGTAGCGGGATAACTACCGCCAGGGCCACCTTGACTCGATCCTCCTACACCAACAAGTGAAGAATGCGAAGGAGTTTGCCCACCAATGGCAGGTCCACCCCAGCCAGGTACATGTGTTACCAACAATGGTCGAACATATCCATTAGTTACTGATTGATTCTCTGCAAAATTTTAATTAAAATCAAATCTCTGCAAAAATATAAATATTTCCTTTTGTTTTAAATTATTTTACAATATTCCATGAACAATAGACAAATTTAATTTACTTAAAATATTACTACAACAAAAGTTAAATTTTATTAACTATTAATGATTCTTAATTTACGAAAAGAAAAAAAATTCATAATAAATACCTGAAAAGGGAGTATAGTACTTTGAAAATGCTTGATCTTTTGATATATCTGGATAAAGATAAAGCAAATGCTGCAAATCAGAGACTCGATCAGGCAAGCTCCTAATCGCAAAATCTTTACTTGTAAATGGTTGAAGCATAAATACTTCCGATGTATCTACAAAAGGATATAAATTATCAATAAATAGAAGTTACAAATAGTACCATTAATAGAATTATTACACGCCCCTTTAAGGGATTGAGGGCTAAATTCCTTAGCAGTAGCGTAGGAACAGATTTTTCTTCAAAATGCATATAACTAAATTTTACTAATATTCTAAATGCAATAATTACTCTACTCTTTTTTTTTGTTTTAATAAAAATAAATAAAACGTTACTAAACTATATATTAAAAACGAATTCAAAGTTTAAAAAAAAAAAATTTTACCTCCAACCCAAGCAATCGTTACACCGCCCAATTCTGAATCAGAAAATCTCATGAGGAAAGTGCCGGAAGGACAATTGGCAAGCATCTCCTCAGCCTGCCTCTTCCTCAAGAAACCAAGAATATATCCATCGATCCAGGGATTTCTTAAATGTTCACGAGTAAGTTTCATAACAGCATAAAACCATTCCCAAAATGTAAAATTCCTCTCGGGCAATGGTTCTTTGCAAAATTGTGCCCAGCTGAGAAGAAGATTGGTATAGTCTTGAGTAAGTGGATGGGTATTACGGAATGCTTTTTCAGCAAGAAAACGAAGGTTATCCTCAGTTAAACAACGTCCAGTTGCCGACTTGAATTTCACATTTAAAGCCGTAGCTACCTGACCCCATGGCACTTTATCTGGAATGACAAAAGGAACTCGTCCCGGCTCAGCAAACGCATTATCCCAAGTGACTGTTGCCCATGCATGTGGCTCTTGATTACCGTGAACAATCACGACAACCGGCAGGCTTAAAGTCCATACCTGGAAGACAAGTTCACCGCCACCAACACTGAATTGTGACTGGAAGAAAAGAGAAAACTTTTCATCCATTACCGATTCAGTTCCTTTCTTCTCGGCTCGTTTGATCTTTTTTAGTTGCATATTACGAAAACTAACGGATAATTGCCTTGTCGCTGAATGATATTCCATTGTTCCTGTATTATTCAGTATATCACCACTTGCTTCATTTGTCACTTTTGCCATTTTTGTATCAGTTTTTAATAATGCAAGCGCTTGCGATTCACTTATTATGCTTACTTTAACCTGTGGCGGTGTCATATGTACATTCAATTTACCACCGACCAATAAACGTACGGTACTTGTAAATCGTGTATTTGTTTTCATCACTTGTGGTGGTTGTTTCTCAATAATAAAGGTACTTGTAACCAATGAGCTTAACAATTGAGTAACTTGAGAATTTAATGCAGGAAGTACATCCTGTAAACCCGGTGGATCACGTACCGATTTTTGCTTAAGTCGTTCAGCTTCTTTAATTTGTTGTCGATTCAACCAAATTAATTCAGCAAGATTCTCACACCATTCTTGTATTGTATCCAAATTACTGTTAAACTGTGCTCCATTGCCAGCTAATTGCTGATCTCTCTTCCACCTCAATAATTCATCATCGAGAACTCTCGATTGTAAAATACTCAATTTACCTACGTTATCTTTCAATTTATCAGCTATACTCAAACGTAGTTGCAGCATTGTTGCTACTTTATGATTTAACAATTGTTCTTGTTGCTCCTTTTGTCTGATAAAGAACAATAAGGACACGAATTATTCACACTTTCGTATAATTATCGAAAGTTAATAAAAAAAAAAAAAAAAAAAAATTAGAACAACTTAAAATGCTACTGTTTGAACGTTAATGTTTTTATATTCAAAATATATAATTATACAATAATGTAATTTATAAATTTAACTAGTTTTATAAGTAAAAAAAGAAGATAATTAAATAATATTAATTTCATTAATGAATATTTATTACATTAAAATTCTAATAAAAATACGTATTTTTAATTCTAATTTTCAAATTTCATATCTAATTAATTAAATATTAATTTATCGTTTAACATGCATATAAAAAAGATAAACACAAACCTTGTAATTTTCTTTTCGTAATCAATATTCTGATGATTTTGTGGTTGTGTCGACAAATGTTGCAGTGTTGCATTTATTTTTGTGCATTCATGATAACTGAGAGCAAATCCTTCCAATTCTTGTTCCATTTTACGTAGTTCCTCACCTGTCTCGTGTGTTTGCCGACGAAGTGCATCAACTTGTTGTGCAATCTCAGTAGCAGTATCACCACTCATCATTGGATCAGCCATATTCATCATCATTGTATTACCCAAATCATCAACTTGTGCAACTAATTTCATTTCCGTCAATAGACAATGCCTTATCAATTTGAATAATGCTATTGGATTCTGACTATATTTTTGCTGTAAAAATTATTATTTTAATTAAAAAAAAATAACGAAAAAATTTTATCAAAAATAAACTATATTTTGCAAAAATTAAAATACTTACGCGAAAATATACTGCTGCTTCAGAGAGTTTTATTTTAGTTGGGAAAAGATCGCTTGTATGAAGAGAATTGGCCTTCGACTCAAGTTCCTGAATGAAAGATCCAACCAATGTTGCTATATATTGCTCATATTGTGGATTTTCGGCATCAATTGTATTCCTGAAAATACTTTATTTTTTGAAATGCAATATTGTTCGTTTCTTAAAATTACAATTGACTACTTTTAAAATACAGAAAAATTTTCTATTTCCATTCTATAACTTGATGATAAAAAGAAAAAAAAAATCAAGAAAAAACTTACCACATTTTATCTTCGAGCCATGAAGATAAAAAATGTCGAACTTCAATGGGGAAATGGTCTCCATAAATGTTTCGTACTTGTTGCAAAGCATGTTGTGGCAATCGTTGAGCTTTCTCCCAAAGCGACATTTTTATATTGTTTTGATCCTGGTGCTAAATAAACAATTAAATCACCAAATTAAAAACAAACTATAAAAAGTTTATTAAAAAATATATAAATTCCGCAGTGACAAAATTTTCATCACATTAATATTTTATTTAAAAAAAAAAACAAAAAACTGATAAAACCAGTTTTCCATTATTTAATTATAATTCAATTAATTATATAAATGAAAAAAATAATCTTGTAGGTAACAATGTGCATAAATTAAATATTCTTTTGTGCTCGCGACAAAAGCGCGGAAATTACGTCGAAATATATGAGATACTATTTTTTTTAGCCATAGTGTGACATTTTCGATTAATAAAAAATGGAAACATATTGATCTTTAATTTAAGAGAAGAGCATCGCCTAGAATAGATATCTTTTTTTAAAATTCGCTGCTACCAATTCACGAAACACGCATACATATACACATTTACATGATGTTTTTCCTCTAAGTGATTAATGTATTCGTTTGCCGCTCTTGACTTTCAACAGCAAGGGTGAGAGCAAGATCGATATATCCTGACTGCAAATGGCAACGTGCAATATAAGCATTTGCTTATCGTGTTATCAATGAAGTATATAGGAAGGCGACAATCATCGCTTTTAACATTGAAAAACGCTTCCTCCAGGGTCTGTCTTTTAACTAATAATAAATGTACAGTCACTACTAAAAATTATCATTTGGCAAATATTAGTTTAACGAAAAAAAGAAAAATAAATAACCTTGATACGATTCTTCTATATCAAATAAACTATGCTCTATATATATATATATATATATATATATATATATATATATATATATGGTTAACACAAATATTTCAACACACTATCAATATTTAAACCCTACATTTTTTTTAAATACAAAATTCAATAGATCCTTTTTTTTCCCATCCTTACTTTTAAAAAAGACTCCGTTTAAAAAACTGAAATTCGTTTATCATTCTCTATCAATACATCCACAATTAATCTCTCTTTTGGTTATTAATCCTACTGATGTCCATAAAAAATTTTCTAGAGAAAAAAAACAACCTTGAAAATACACAATCAGATAAAGAACCCTGTATTTTATCTTTAAACGGATAACAAAGTAAATAGTAAATTATTTACACAAATTGAGACGAATATAATCAATTAATATAGAAATTATTTAATACAGTGAAAAAATATTAATAACAAAATATATAGAATAAAAGGGAATATCCAATATTCGCGAAATTTGCAAAGGAATGTGTCAATTTTAAAGTCCTGGAAAATTGCATTGTGTAACTACACGCATACCTCTCAGAATACAGGTGTAGAACTTCTTTCAAGTGCTAAAATTGAAATCGAATGCAGAAATAGTAGTACCGTTAATATAACCAAAAAAAAAAAAAGGAAACAAGATCAATCGATCGTCAAGATCAACGATCACCGAGAGTGAGATTAATCCCATTAAAAAAAAGAAGCCAATCAGCAAAAACTATTCACTCTCGAGATTTAATCTCAAGAAACTCAAGATGCTTGTAATTTGGAAAAGCCCCTGGTGACGTATTTCTCGACGATACCGCGTAAATAGCCGCGGGGCTATGTAACGCGAAGGGAAAAGTACAAGTTATTTTCAAGTAAAACTTACTTGCTAGTCCGAAGACAAGCCCCAGGTGTTGTGCTAATTATTTCTTGATTTTCTCTCTACAATTTAACACCACTTGCACTAAATTATTGTGACCAAAGTTTAATATTCATAAGCAAAAAATTAAAATTTTATTTTATAACCGGTAGCACATACAAGTCAATAGATTGAAGGAACTACTCCATCCACTGTCTCCTGCACTTGACGCGGGCGGATTGCGGAGTGACGCGGGACGGAAGGATTCCAAGAATTCGTACTGTAAATGAATGCCGATTGGTCTAGATGATGGATCACGTGATCAAGTTATTATTGCCGCGCAAGCGCAAGCACAAAGACAAACCTGTCGCTAGTTAATAATTACCAAGGAATAAAAAAAAAAAAAAAAAAAAAAGGGGGGGAAATAATAAGTGATAAATCTATATGCGCGGGGCTAAGCAAATGAGCAACCAGCAAATCAAGTGATAATGAGAAATTTATAAACAAAGAATTTACGACGTTTTTATATATTATCTGGTGCACACCTGTTTCCTTCACCTTCAACAATACAAACAGAATAAATTTCTATATCTTCGTTATAAAAATATTAAAAATTTATAACAATGCCTCGTCTATATGAACAATTTTGTGCGTTAAAAAATATAATTATCTACTACTGATACATCAGTAGTGCCAATGGTAACTATCAAAATGCACCAAAGGCAGTTTGCGCCAAACGGCGTTTGACCCAATATGCTATAGTTAGTGTCATTCTCGATGGTGAATGAGAAATCTGTAAAAATGATAAAAGTGAAGGTCTGAGAAGCCCGCGAGATGTCTATAGTATCACAGATTGTGTATTATTACAAATAGACATTGGCGTGGAGATTTAGGGAATGCAGAAAATAAAGTGAAATAGTTTTCTTCGCGGAAATAGTGAACGTGATGTTTTTATAAATAAGTAAATTGCTTATTTGATTAATTAATCAATTAATATTATGAATTAATTAATGAATTAATATTATGAATTAATTAATTAATATTATCAATTGATGGAATAATTAATTAATTAACATTATTGATATTATCAATTGATTAATTAATTAATTAATTAATTAATTAATATTATCAATTAATTAATTAACAGTGACTGGAAGAAATAACGAGTAGTAAAATTATGGATACCAATATTGAGGTGAGTTTAAATTTTATTTTCAATGAAAATAATAATAATTTTGCGATAGCATAAAAAATTATTTTTTTCACCGATCTCATGTAATGAATTTTCATCCAATTACATCAATTTAAACGTATGTAAATTTCACTGTGATAGTTTACTCAACTGTAAATTGGTTTTCATTAAGAAAATATTTTTACAACAAACATAGAATAAGTTGATAATAATAATAATAATTTCAAATTTCTTATAAATTATGATGGCATTTTTTACTTTTGGAAATAAAATTTTTATCCTATCCTCCAACTATGCAGATTAAAATAATTCTATTCCTTGCTTGATAGTCACCAGGGTTATCACAGTTATTGTTAACATGAACCTAATTGTTGTTCGATTTAGTTAACAATTATTTTTCGATAGCATAAAAAATTATTTTTTTCACCGATCTCATGTAATGAATTTTCATCTAATTACATCAATTTAAACGTATGTAAAAATGGTAAAAAAAATGTATAACTGCTAAGGTTTACTCAACTGTAAATTGAATTTTATTAAGAAAATATTTATACAATAAACATGGAATAAATTAACAATGATTAGACACCTTCTAAATCATATTGGCATTTTTCATTTTTGAAAATAAAATTTTTATTCTATTCTAAAACCATGCTAATTAAAAAAATTCTATTCCTAGCATAATAGACGCCAGAGTTATTATTGTTATTGTGAACATATGCCTAATTGTTCTTCGATTTAGTAAACAATAATTTTGCGATAGCATAAAAAATTATTTTTTTCACCGACCTCATGTAATGAATTTTCATCCAATTACATCAATTTAAACGTATGTAAATTTCACTGTGATAGTTTACTCAACTGTAAATTGGTTTTCATTAAGAAAATATTTTTACAACAAACATAGAATAAGTTGATAATAATTTGTACATCGTCCAAATCATATTGGCATTTTTTATTTCTGAAAATAAAATTTTTATCCTACTCTCCAACTATGCTGATTAAAATAATTCTATTCCTTGCTTGATAGTCACCAGGGTTATCACAGTTATTGTTAACATGAACCTAATTGTTGTTCGATTTAGTTAACAATTATTTTTCGATAGCATAAAAAATTATTTTTTTCACCGATCTCATGTAATGAATTTTCATCTAATTACATCAATTTAAACGTATGTAAATTTCACTGCGATAGTTTACTTAACTGTGAATTGGTTTTTACTTAGAAAATATTTTTACAACAAACATAGAATAAGTTGATAATAATTTGTACATCGTCCAAATCATGTTGGCATTTTTTATTTCTGGAAATAAAATTTTTATTCTATTCTAAAACTATGCTGATTAAAATAATTCTATTCCTTGCTTGATAGTCACCAGGGTTATCACAGTTATTGTTAACATGAACCTAATTGTTGTTCGATTTAGTTAACAATTATTTTTCGATAGCATAAAAAATTATTTTTTTCACCGATCTCATGTAATGAATTTTCATCTAATTACATCAATTTAAACGTATGTAAATTTCACTGCGATAGTTTACTTAACTGTGAATTGGTTTTTACTTAGAAAATATTTTTACAACAAACATAGAATAAGTTGATAATAATTTGTACATCGTCCAAATCATGTTGGCATTTTTTATTTCTGGAAATAAAATTTTTATTCTATTCTAAAACTATGCTGATTAAAATAATTCTATTCCTTGCTTGATAGTCACCAGGGTTATCACAGTTATTGTTAACATGAACCTAATTGTTGTTCGATTTAGTTAACAATTATTTTTCGATAGCATAAAAAATTATTTTTTTCACCGATCTCATGTAATGAATTTTCATCCAATTACATCAATTTAAACGTATGTAAATTTCACTGTGATAGTTTACTCAACTGTAAATTGGTTTTCATTAAGAAAATATTTTTACAACAAACATAGAATAAGTTGATAATAATTTGTACTAAATCGAACAACAATTAGGTTCATGTTAACAATAACTGTGATAACCCTGGTGACTATCAAGCAAGGAATAGAATTATTTTAATCAGCATAGTTGGAGAGTAGGATAAAAATTTTATTTTCAGAAATAAAAAATGCCAATATGATTTGGACGATGTACAAATTATTATCAACTTATTCTATGTTTGTTGTAAAAATATTTTCTTAATGAAAACCAATTTACAGTTGAGTAAACTATCACAGTGAAATTTACATACGTTTAAATTGATGTAATTGGATGAAAATTCATTACATGAGATCGGTGAAAAAAATAATTTTTTATGCTATCGCAAAATTATTGTTTAGTAAATCGAAAAATAATTAGGCCCATGTTCACAATAACAATCATAACTCTGGCGTCTATTATGCTAGGAAAGAATTTTTTTAATTAGCATGGTTTTAGAATAGAATAAAAATTTTATTTTCAAAAATGAAAAATGCCAATATGATTTAGAAGGTGTCTAATCATTGTTAATTTATTCCATGTTTATTGTATAAATATTTTCTTAATAAAATTCAATTTACAGTTGAGTAAACCTTAGCAGTTATACATTTTTTTTACCATTTTTACATACGTTTAAATTGATGTAATTAGATGAAAATTCATTACATGAGATCGGTGAAAAAAATAATTTTTTATGCTATCGAAAAATAATTGTTAACTAAATCGAACAACAATTAGGTTCATGTTAACAATAACTGTGATAACCCTGGTGACTATCAAGCAAGGAATAGAATTATTTTAATCTGCATAGTTGGAGGATAGGATAAAAATTTTATTTCCAAAAGTAAAAAATGCCATCATAATTTATAAGAAATTTGAAATTATTATTATTATTATCAACTTATTCTATGTTTGTTGTAAAAATATTTTCTTAATGAAAACCAATTTACAGTTGAGTAAACTATCACAGTGAAATTTACATACGTTTAAATTGATGTAATTGGATGAAAATTCATTACATGAGATCGGTGAAAAAAATAATTTTTTATGCTATCGCAAAATTATTATTATTTTCATTGAAAATAAAATTTAAACTCACCTCAATATTGGTATCCATAATTTTACTACTCGTTATTTCTTCCAGTCACTGTTAATTAATTAATTGATAATATTAATTAATTAATTAATTAATTAATTAATCAATTGATAATATCAATAATGTTAATTAATTAATTATTCCATCAATTGATAATATTAATTAATTAATTCATAATATTAATTCATTAATTAATTCATAATATTAATTGATTAATTAATCAAATAAGCAATTTACTTATTTATAAAAACATCACGTTCACTATTTCCGCGAAGAAAACTATTTCACTTTATTTTCTGCATTCCCTAAATCTCCACGCCAATGTCTATTTGTAATAATACACAATCTGTGATACTATAGACATCTCGCGGGCTTCTCAGACCTTCACTTTTATCATTTTTACAGATTTCTCATTCACCATCGAGAATGACACTAACTATAGCATATTGGGTCAAACGCCGTTTGGCGCAAACTGCCTTTGGTGCATTTTGATAGTTACCAATCACACTTATAGAAATGTTTCAGATAAGTTACCAACTGTATTCAATTATCGACCGAGATCAAGTCTGGCGGGAAATTTAAAAAAAAATTGGGGGAATTTTTAAATTAAAAAAATTTAGTAGAGGTGTATGTTACAATAAACGAATGATTATAATGAAAATATTTATTCATTGTATAACATTAATATAGAAATAGATTTGTAAATTGTCTTACAAAAAATATCAAAAATACCATATTGTACTTAGCTTTTTCAAAAAAAAGGTAAATTTATCACAAAATAGATTCAACCTAAAATAAAATAATCTCTGCAAAATTGAAAAAGTAGAAAAATAATTTGAGTACAAAATCACGCTTATTGGAAAATAATAATAATATTTTAATTAGCATTTAATACTTCTGAGTATTAATGGAGGGAATATTAAAGCTACTGCACCAACTAAATATGAAGTTTTACTTCCCAAACTCCAAAATGCTGTAAAATGAAAAAACGATATAAATTAAAAATTTTAAATAAAACTAATTCAATTAATTACTAATTATAGACAAAATGAAAAACATAATTTTTTAATAATTATGATATATTATTATTTATATTTCTTACCAAGTGATGCAACAATTGGACCGCAAGCTCGAGCTAAAGCTCCAAGGGATCTAAATATCCCGGTAATTGAACCCTTTTGATTTTCAGGGCCAATTCTTGTCACTAAAGTCATCATGCAAGTGACAACCATTGCCGTGGCTAAAAAAAAGAAAATTATTCAATCATAAAAATTGTTTTCTAAAAAAAAAATCTATACAGTATATATAACAATTTCTAAACCCCCTAAAAAATAATTTTCTTAAATACGATTTTTTCTTTAATTATAATATTAAAAATAAATAATTTGGGGGAATAAAAAATTTTTAATATCCTGTACAAAATTTACATAAAAACTAATTTCTTACAAACTGCGAAAAGAAATACACCAAAATATAACATGAAAACATCTTTGGCTATAGCGATGCAGACAAATGAAGGAATTATGAGCCATAAACCCTAAAAAAAATGAAATATAAAACAAAACAATAATAACTATTATACGACTACAATTATAAAATAATAAAACAAAAATTACTCTAATTGAATAAAATAATTTTATTTTCAATGTTTTACCAATTCTGTGAAGAATTTTGTTTTGTGAGGTGGTATTTTTCGCACCCAACTTCCTTGTAAAATTGCCATTGTCAATCCAATACCAAGAAACATCCATCCCTGTTGCATTCGTGTGAAACCAAACGTATAATGAGTTAAAAATGTCAATGTAAATTCTAAACCACTGTAAATGAATAAATAAAGAAAATAGGAACGTCCTAAAATCCTCAACTGGTGTAATTCTAAAAAAAAAGGAAAATTAATTAACATTCGAATATAATATCGTGGAGAATTAAAAATAGTTTAATTAATTACCATTTCTATTCAAACTCGAAACTCCATTAAATTGAAATAAATCAACTGGATTAATGTATGTGAAAGCACTGGATATACCGGAAGTTATTGATTTTGCTCGCAATTTTTTAGGAAGACTCTCTTTGTAGTTTAATGAAAAATACAATAAATCGCTAACAGCTAAAACAAATGCAAATAAAGCTGGATAAGCATACCACTGTCCTTCTCTGTGTCCCATGGAAAATTTTGCAAAAACAGCTCCAATCATTGGACCCAATACAAATCCAACTGAAAATGCAATTCCCACAAGTGCCTGAAAATTGAGAATAATTTTTGCATAAATTATAAAAAAAATGAATAAAGTATTATTATTAAATAAAATTAATATTTAATTGAATAAACTAGAAATTAATTATTAAAATTACCACGTTTGTTCATTATGTTGATGTATATATCTTTTTAGAAAAAAAAAACTAGTGGGAAAGAAAAAATTGTAAAACTTTGTAAAAAGTACACAATGGAGAAATAAAATCTAATCTAATCTATTAAAATTACCATTGCCTTTCCTCTAGTGGCTGAAGAAGTAACGTCACTTAAAATAGCCATCGATAAACTAATATTTCCTTTACTAATTCCTCCGACAAATCTTGCTATAATAAATATTGCAAAACTTTTTGACATTGCCCATAAAAGATAGGAAATTGCAATTCCTATCAAGCACAATATCATCATTGGTTTTCGCCCATAAACATCTGATAAGGCACCTATTATTGGTGATCCAAGAAATTGAAGAAAAGAATACATGGAACCAAGAAAACCTGAAAAAATAATGTTTCAATTTAAATTATTCTTTTTTTTCAACAATTATTGAAATTATAAAATAAAATTCATACCTCCAAATAATACTGAACTTTCTTTAGCAGGAGCATGTATAAAAATACTGACCGTTTGAATACTGTTTAAAATTTTAGAATATAATCCATTTCCATTATCAAGTTGTTGATAATGTTCCAAAAGTGCCGGAAATAATGGCAAAATCATTGTAAATGCCAATAGATCCAGTAATAATGAAAAAAACACAATTCTCACTGTTTTTGAATCTTCTTTTTGTACTTTTTCCATTTTGGAAAATTTTTTTTTACAAAAACTTTAAAAATTATATATAAACTTTTAACACATTACACTCTTCCTTTCGCGAAATAAAAATTGCTCATTTTTCTTTTTATAAAAATAGCAGGAAATTTCTTGGAGTAAATTGTTTCATCATTTTTTTTTTTGTTTTTTATCTTAAATCGACAGTGAAAGTCATTTATCATGACAGTACATATTATAAATCTTAAAGGGGGATTAGTATGTGTTAAAAAAAGATTTCTTTTAGTAAACAACAGAATTTCTATAATTATAAAAGTTAATTTTGAAAACGAAGGTTAAACACGATAATGATTCCAGATGTTACTGAGGAATGCTATAAGAGATTGAAAATAAGAACACTTTCTAAGCAGGTCATCATCTCAGACCCTCACATGGTTTTTAAGAAATGACGTTTTAACATTAAACAAAGTGAAAGGCAATCCATTTTTGTTTTCTCCATGTGTTTTTTAACGTGCTTGTCAGATTCCCTTGTCGACGAAATGGAAATTTACTTTACCAAAAGGTAATTGTACTACAAACTCGACGAGTAACCATCAGAGGGTGCCCTCTTTATAATTTATTTATTTAAAATTTATTTTAACAATTTTTAATATTAACTTTTGATTTAATTATTCCTAAATCATATTAATTAAAAAAATATATTTCTTTTCATTTACTAATGTCTAATAATATTTTTCATAATTTTTACAACTAAATTTTTATTTAACTAATTACATAATAAATTATGCAATTAATTAATTCTATCAATATTTTTAAAAAAAATTTCTTAAAACATATTTTCTGATAAGTTTTCTTTTAAGTAAAAAAAAATGTGCAATTTAAATTTTCGAGTAATTAAGAAGTATATATGCAAGATAAATAATGTCATTTGAAAAGCAAACCTTTCGCTAAATTCCGATTTTTTATTCTAACTAATTACTAACTATTTTGCAAATTATAATAATCTCTGAATTTCGCTTATTTTCGCGCCACATTCGATGTGGCTCCCTCTTTTTTGACAATTAAAATTTTTTTTTTTTTCATTTTTATAATCAAAAAATGTTGCACACATAACTTCTTATTATTATTGTTTTTTTTATTTATCAGTGAAGCGAAAAAATAATAGCTCAAGCAGGGCGCACCCACGAACATTATGTGCGCCCGACTTCCGGTAATACTAACGACGCACACACAACATTCAATTTTACTTCCTCAACGAACAAAGATCTTTTCAAATACAGAACCAAAACTGTAACGCCATGGCATCTCGATCAAAAAGCTTTAATAACGCCAAGCAACTTAATACTTTTTTTTTTAAGAAAGAATACCTACAACCATTTTGAAGAAAAAAAAACCATTGTGTTTGTTTGGGACCAAAAAATAGAAGAAATATGATTTCTTTCTCGTATATTTTATATACTGAATAGAATTTATGGTTTACTTAGTACCAAACATGAAAAAAATGAAAATATTTTTAAAATTCTGTTTTTTTTAATATATTTTTACAATAAAATTCCTATATATATTTTTTTTTGCAAATTATAAAATAAAAATAATAATCTACAAATGCCTGTTCATGTATATATATATATATCGAAAAAAATTTCTTATGTCTTTTAACTGGGAGGAAAGTTTTTAATTTTATATAAAATCTAGATAAATTGAAATTGAAAATCATTAAATAATTAAATAATATTCAAGTGACTATTATCAAATAAATATTTACTTGAACAAAATTATTTTTATTTGAATGAAATAAACTATATTTGAATCAATAATTTCTGTATTTGAAATATAAATGCCACTCAAATAATAATTATTTAATATAAATAAATATTTATTTAATAATAGTCAAATAACCGATTATTTTAATGAAATAAATTTTTTTTTCAGTGTATTTAAAAGACAAAAAATTTAAAGGTTTATTTTTGTTAAAAAAAAAAGTTTTTAAATTCAAAAATTGAACTTAATTATATTGTTTGCATATTATTTTTTTTTTTTTTTGCTAAGCAGCGATAAAAATATCACGTAAGTTAAAAATATTTAAATTAAATATTCAAAAATATTATTTTTCTATAAGATTTTTTGCTTTTCTCGCGCGTAATTATTTCACTTTACATCAATTATTATTGATAAGATTATTCGCGACAATTGAAAGATTTCCCTTGAAAATTCACTTTAAGATGAAAAAAATTCAATCAATCATTCATCGTTTTTTTTTTTTTTTTTTCTAATAGATCCTTGTTTGTCAACTCAACGTGCTGTAGAAGATTTAAGAGAGTGAAGGTAGAATTATTTTATTAGATAGGTGTACACCAGTGGTACACGTGAAGAGTATAGAGCAGGTGGTATAAGAACCATCAGCACAGTATATACCTATATATGTATAATGTACACATATATCGTGGTTAAATTTTAAGTAAGGGGCTCAACGCTTGCCATCTGGGCCTGTGCTTTTGGGCCTGGTGAACGGCCCAGTCCCTGCAGCTCGTTGTCGTTTTCACCTTGCACCTTCGTCGTAATTTAGATACCCATATATCCCCGACTTAAAAATCGGTTTGCTTTTCAAATGACATCATTCTATAGTAACTTATATACAATGTATACGTATATAAAGCACGTATACCTGGCGCGTGCGAATGCTCCAGGAGGAAGTTGTGTTTTCTTGATTGGAATTTAAATTTAAAAAAAAATTTTTAACGAATTTCCTAAAATAATGTTCACATAGAAAATTTCTCTGTCGATTAAAAGCGACAAAAAAAAGAATATATATATATATATATATATATATATATATATATATATATATATATATATATATATATATATATATATATATATTAATTAAAATGAAATTTAAACATTAATGCAATGCAATTTTGATAAAATTATTATAAGAATTTTCCAAAATTTCCTAATTTTGAGAATACATAATAATTTGTAAAAATTGTAAATTAACCTAATTCTCAAAAATCACGGAGAAAGAAGAGGGAAAAACAGAAAAAAAATTGCAAAAATTAGTACATAATAGAAAAATTCTATTTTATGAAAGTATTGTAATTAAAAATATAAAAATCAATTGTCAAAAGAGAAAGTTTGAAAAAGTATCGAGAAAAAGGAAACGTGTCCTTGGAAATACGATATCAATTTTACTGATATTCCAGGTGTTTTTGAACGAGCCTCCTTGGTAATATATTTTAAAATTGCAATTGTTCGAGAAATTCAACAGGTATATAACGTGGACTTGTCAGTAAGAAACTAGTTAAAGCGTGTCTCAAATCCTGGGGAGTTGTGCAAATATGCAAATGAAGAAGAGCTTTGCTTAGAGGGTCTTTGCGGGAATCCCCACCCAAAAACCACCTCGAAAAGAGAATCGTAAAGTGTATGTATATGTTTAGAGAGAAGGTATATAATATTTTGCCGAAAGTAAAATTGAAAATTTTTTCTCCTTGGAATGTGGTGCAGCTTCAAAATTGTACTATGGAAATCCAACGAACAATGGGACAAAGAACATTTTTGACGATATACCATAAGCCGGCTGCTTAAGTATTTGGTTGTGTTATATACAAAATATGTACCCGAAAAAATATTTGTTATATATAAAATATTATTTAACTCACCATTGATTTTAATCAAAAATTTATTCCAAAGTCTCAACGCTCAATAAATCTATTGTTTTGTAAAATCGAAACCAAATCCTCCTTTCTCAAATTCTTCAAATGCGGAATCTCTTCTTAATCTGTCAAAAAAAAAAAGAAAAATTAGATTTTTCTTACATTTTTGAAAACAATTGTTTGTTTTTGTAAAATTATTATTTCTTTTTGAAATTTTTTTATTAATATCCAATCATTGAAAGGATAAATGAATGTAAAATTACGAATTTTATAAGTGCTATCTTAACAAAGAAAATATTTTTTTTCTAAATGACTTTTTGCGGTACTAAATATATACCATTTTCGGGGTTTTTCCCGATGAAAGTACTTTATTATACAAACATGTCGTTAACAAGTACAGATATCTTTCATCTTTGCATTATAATCTGTAAAATATCACGTCTTTGTTGAGGTTGAAGCTAGATAAAGATCAATCAATATCCAATGCATATATGACAAAGGAGAATAACGGGACAAAGAGAGACGAGACAGAAGCTCCCCTTATTTTCGGGAAAATCCCAATTATACTTTCCACAATATTCCCCAACAAAGAAAACTATGTTGAAAAGCTAATAAATATACTTTTATAATACATATTTGCAATAAAGACATTAAAATAAAAAAAAAAATTTTAATTCTCTTAAATAAACAAATTAATGCTTTAGAAAAAAGATAATCTTTCATAATAATTTTCTATAACTCGTTTTCTTTGTTCATTTACTTTATAACTCTATCAAGCTGGAAGAATGTAAATAATTATAATATATAATAATAATTATTATTAATTTAAATGATACCTTTCTTGTAAAACGATTTCTACTTTGAAAAACGGAAAAACGATTTTATAACCACAATTTTATAATACTAAGACAATTAAAATAATTTTTAACAAAGTTAAAACAACTAAATTATATTAAATTATTAATTTTAATTAATTATTAATTATTATTAAATTATCAAATTATCAAATAAAACTAAATTAAAACAAAACAAGAAAATTAAAAAATATTTAAAATATAATAAATATTTAAAAAAGTATAATAAAAAATAGCGAAAAAAATACTTTATAGCTTGTTAATTTAAAAAAAACGAGTTTGCGAGTAAACTTTGAACTTGTCACAAATTAAGAAATTCGATTGGCAATCTCATATAATATATATAACGATGTGAAGAAGAATATTGAAAGCAACAAGACCATTTCTCTCTGATCTTTACGATGTTTTCATCAATAAATTTTGAAACCAAAAAAAAAGGGGGAACTCTTTCTACGCGAATAAAATGTCGAGAGTCTTTTTCAGGATCAGAATCCGCCCCTGGAGATTTTTTAAAGGGAAAAAAGGATGTCCAACCCTCATGTTCAGGATTCGGACTATGTACTATATACATAGTAGTGTAAAAAGGGGGAAGAAAAAAGAGTGAAGAGGAAAGAAAGAAGGTGAAAGAAAGATAGAAATAATATTGGTATTATAAGGAAGAAAGAGAGCGAGAGTCAGGGGGCCTTATTGGGCCCTGGAAACTTGAAGAATAAAGAAAGAAGAGAGTACACACGACGATGGAAGAAAGAAACTCATGGCAATCATGAGGAACAAGTATGAGCATAAGTTTATAAGCGCGTGCCCGCGCAACGACGGCAGATGCGCTCCAAACGCAGCTGTCCTCGTCCTCCTACAAGTGGTGCTCAATCACCCCCCTTTTTTTTTTTTTCTCCGTTTTTCCCCAGGTTATAACATATATACTATGTGTGGCTCCGACAATGAAAGTACAGCCTGTTTTTCAAAAATAATGTCTTACGTGTTTGATCCTGATTTCAAAAGGGAATAAAATTCACGTGCGGCTCCTTTTTCAAATCGAGATTTTCATCCACTTTGACACAGTTTTTACGATCTTCCAATCACAAAGAGGAGGACCACGTTTCTATACCTTTATTATATAAAGGATCTCCTCTTGCTCTAGTTCTCTCAATAGTCTTTTGTTGTGTGCCCAAAAATTTTCAGCTTCCAGATGAATCTGTAAAAAAAAAGAACTTTTCAATAACAATGAAACTATCACTATTTTTAACTGTAATATTAAATAAATTACTTTTTTACAATCTATTTTAAATTCATATTTAAAAATATTTTTAATTAATTGTTAATAAACATTTGATTTTTTTTCTTTTGAGTAAAATTTATCTTTCAAAATGATTTTCATATCGTCTTTGTTATTTTTTTTTTTTTGTGTCGGGAGAGAATTTTCTATACCGAGTTTTATTTTTAAATTCTAATTTAGAAAAATATACATTTTTAAACAATAAAACTATTATTTTTAACAATAAAAAATTCAATTAAATGTTATTTTTTTCCAAATTACAATTACATATTTATCTTTGTTAGAAATAAATTCTATAGTGAAAATAAAAATTGTGTTTTGAAAATTTGACATTAAAAATTTGTTGCAAATATCTTAATAAAGAAAATAATATTAATTTATTGAACTTCAGTCTATTGGTCCAGAAGTGAATTTAGTTTATATTTAATAAAAGAAATATTTTCAACAATAAATTCAGAGTGGCTGCAAAATTTAATATTCAAATTTTTTTGACATTTTCATAGCTAGATAAATTTTTTGTTATTATCTAAATTTTCGCTATATTTTAATATTTTATTTATAGTTTCTTTAAAAAAAAATTCAATATTTTATAATTTCCTTGAAAAAATTCCCTAATTTTAATTTTAAAAGTAATTTTCAAAGAAAATTAAAATTTCATATTTATACATTTTTCATATTTTTCCATAAATAATTCTACTATTCCAAATGTCCTGAACAAAGAAAATCAATGAATATCTTCGACAAATTGTTAGGTAATCAAATATTGTCAGTAACATTAAATATTTTTTGATGAATTTAAAACGTATATATCCAATTAATAATTAATTACATGAAATGAAAATTGTCATCAACAAATTTAACATGTTATTACAATTAAATTATAATTTTATATTATAATTATAATTACTCTGTAAATTTTTTATCTCGTTTTTTCATCATTTTTACAATAGATTTAAATTGATCTTTTCAAAAATTTAATGATTTTTATCATTTTCAAAATTCACTTCCAATTTAAATAATCGTCGATTTTTAAATAATTTCTTCAATTTAAAATTGCCAATTAAATTTAATGTTTAAAATAAAGTTTTAATTTATATAACGACTTACTTTTTTTAAATTGTAAATGAATAAAAATTTAAAATTGAAATTGAAAATTTACTTTAAAATGAATTCTAATAATTTTTTCTATTACCCATTTCTATAATATACAGTTATTATATTATTCTATGAAAATTTTAACCACAAATTTTAATTTTATTCTAATATATGTTTTGGAAATCGTAACAGACTGTATTATAATAAAATTCGTCGGTGATTAAACTTTCTTGTAAATAAATTTAAATATGTACTTTGTTAGTAAATAATATATCATTGATGGTTTCAATGGAGAATGACACATATAACGTATATATTGATTTACCCTTCTTTTTTTTCGAACAAGTTCGCATAAAAGGGGGATGCTTTGGTGCATTAAATGATGGCCATGGAAAGGGATTATGACGCATTTGGTGTATAATCAAAAAGTGCAGGGAGCATGTGCGTAATAGGTTTCTTTGTGTGTACGATTCGAAAATAATAATACTTTAATATAAAATTGAATTAAATGACAGAGAAACTGATTTAAATAGTTTTTTTTTTTAATTCAAAATTTTATGAAAGTCAATAGAAAAAATGTTTTTGCAAATCAAAAGAAATAGTTTCAAATTTCAAATCTTTTGTCTTAATAGAATAAAATTGTTTACTCAATAACAAATGACAATGTCCTTCTCTTTGTCATCTGATAAAAGTTAAGATTTTTGCCAACTTTCAATGTAAAAAAAAAAAAACAAAAATTAAGAATAAAATTATTTACTTACACACGATGTGTACGTAAAATTAAAAAAATTATTAACTATTGCAAAAGACTTACGAAAACGGAATAAAAATTGAAAAGAACAGAACAAATTTTATGGAAAATATTTTTGATCTATGGAAATTAACGACAAGAGAGAGAAAAAAAGAGTTTTTTTTTAAGAGAAAAAGAGGAAGAAGAAGAAGAAGAAGCGGGCAACAAGCTCAGCAGGCAAAAAGATGAAATCCAGGACAGCTGATAGACTTTTTGGCGGGATCCCTCGTGCTGCGCGAACAGTCTGGAAAGGAAGAGGAGGAAAGCACGATGATGGAAAAAAAGAGGAAGGAGGAAGAAAGGGGAGTCTTCTGGCCCCATTTTGTTGCTGTTAAATAAGAATAAGGTCCCCACTACCGCATCGGGTTCGGGTATAAGCACCTATATACACAAGCAAGGGGCTTTCATGCACTCCGGGCCCAAAAGGAATAAAGAGGCGGGACACCTGGTCGCGCTCAGCAGTTTCGTGAAGAACGCCCTGCGTGGCACATCTCTCTCTCGTATATATATATATATAATATTATATAGCAAACAGTTCGGTTCTCCGATTTCATTTCTCTCTTTCTCTTTTTCTCTCTCTCTCTCTCTGCGCCACTTCCGAAATATTCAACGCGCAGAACCGCACTCACTTGACAAAGAAATCCGGTCGCGTCCTGCGTCATCATCATCATACCAGAAAAACACGAGTTTCAGAAGACATTATTGTTCAGTGTTGTGCAGTGAATCGAGTTTATCGGACGGTCCAGTGTCTAAAAATCCATTTACTATCCGTGCCACGAGGTCACTAGAGATGTTCCACGAGATGAACTCTTTTTACAAAGGCAGAGGCCGTTTTTACCTGCGAAAAATAAAAAAAAACTTTTTTTTTAAATAATTCTTTCAAAACAATATTGGGAACCAGTTCAAAAAAAGAAATAATTTGGAACGATTTTTTGTTTCTCAAGAATGGGTAATGTATATATATATATATATATTAATAATAATAATATTAAATTCTCTTTAGTCAACAAATAATTTGACCGCATTTTTTGAATTTGAATTAAACGCTCGAATTAATCGATTCTCGAGCGATATATTTTGTTGTAATCACTTCAGATTGTACATAAGAAAAAGAGAGCGCGAACAAAGGAAATGAAAACAATATATTTTGTCGAGAAATGTGATAAATAATTAATAACTTTGACACATTTCAAGACTTAAAAAAAAAAATTTTCGTATTTTTTTTACTAAAAATGTGTATTATGAAAAAAGTATATATATATATATATTTTAACGATGAACTTTTTCCAGAGAATTTTTCTTTTCACAATATATCTTGATACAGAGAAGTATAATATTAAATATTTTATGTGATATAGTTTTTATGAGTTATATATTATGTTATAGGATATTACGCAATCTTGAATAAACGACAAGTTTAAGGGTTATTGATGTTTAGAGTGAGAGAGAAGATGATAAAGTGCCCTTTATTATATTATGTTCAAGAAAGATTACAATTTGAAATATATACAAAATAAGATAAATGTTTGCGTGTTTTGCTTTTATTTTTGTTTCTATTGTCTAATTATCAACTTAAGGGAGGGGGGGGGCAACTTGAAATAACTTTTGTGAAACGGAAAAATGTATTATGTTTACCTTGCCCGTAAATTAACGGTTTTTCGATGCATGAAACACTTTCTTTGTCGGAAAGACAAGTTTAAATGAGTAACCCGTAACTTGATATTTATCTATTCAAATCAGAAACTTTCATATCACTATATTATTATATATTTTTGTTTAAAATTCCATAGAATTTCAAATCAAATTTTTTTTTACTTCAATCATACACATTTTTAGACTCAATAGAAAAAAAATATTTAGTTTTATTTTTTAAAAAAAATTTCTTCTGTAATATTTAATTTCAAAAATATTTTTAAATTTTTACTCCAATTTTTATAAAGGGACATAGTTACTTTTAATATGTTATAAAAAATTTTTTCTACCAATTTTAAATTATATTTTTGCAAATTGTAATACCCAGAGTAGAATTTTATTTTTAATTTTTCAACTAAAATTTTATAAGAAAAAAAAAAATTGTACAAGACTATTTGTTTCTTTATTGTCGAAATATGATTGAAATTATCAATATTTGGATAATTTGTCTTTTTTCATTTACAAAATAAAATTTCGATAACTTAATTTCAAATTTAGTAATCAGAGAAAACCAAAAGAAAACAAATTTATTTAGACGCAATCGTAACGTTATATCACTTTGTCTTTGTTTGTGAATGACGTCATCCACTTATAGGGAAATCAATGGGAGTACGCGTGTTAAGTATAACTTACTACGATCTGATTGAGTGTAGTAAACGTGACTAATTATATATGAAAGGGACTTAATATGATTTGGAAAATGTGGAAAATTGCTTGTGTACACGAAAGCATATTGTTTGACGTTAAAAAGATGTTAACAGACCGATAGTCATTATTATTATTTTTAAATAAAAAAATTATAATTAAAAAATTAAATTAAACCTAGATTAATTATTAAGGCATAGTGAATTCAATTTAATTAGTAAAATATAAATAATTAATTAGCAATTTAATAAAAGTTAATATAAATTTTTATTGGTAGATTTATTTATTTGTTTTTTTTTCATCTAAATAAGGTATCAAAATCGCGAATACATTTTCGTCAAGAAACTAATTGTGACGTTATATGATTTTCGCAGAATTTCTATTTTTATCGAGTTTTGGAAAAAAAAAAGAGTACAAACGTGAATGTTTTTGGAAGATTGGGAAAATTGCGGCCAACTGATGGCAAGAGGTGGAGAGCTGTATTTCAAAGAAGCGTTTCAGGTAAAGGATTATTAAGTTTGGAAGTAACGGTCTATGATTTGTGATTCGAAGTAGAAAAAGAGGCTCTCTGATTTGGAGACTGACCGCCAAGGCCACATTGGAGGGCTCTACACTACAATATATATATACAGTTTAGCTTCGATTTTAGGGCTTGCTTTTCACGATTTTTGTGTGCGAGGTTTCGAACGTTTTTACCTGATCTATATATAGGTGAAACTTTTATTATTTATAATTGTATTTATTTTGGAAAAGAAAAAAAAAAATTATCTCAACAACGAATGTGACATTTTGATTGACGACTTGAAATTGATTAATTGCATTAAAGACAGGTCGAGATTCGTGACAATGTTTCGATTTGATATTTTTTTAATATTGCACTTGTCCCGGCCTATCGAAATGCAGAAAATTCATCTCGAGATAATAACAAAGAAGAATAATTGTTTAATATGTATATATGGAAAGGGAATAAAAATTTACTACGCAGTTAACACACATCGATGGGGGAACGAGAGAAAAAAAAAAGGGTGGCGACAATGTCGAGTTTTCGGCAGGCGGGGATGTGAGCATTATTTGTGGTATTGGATCAAATTGCACTCGTCCCGGCCTGCTGATGGACTTGCTCGAGTAATCTTCTGATATACCTTATTCGATACCGTTACATTGGATCTGGACCTCAAGGAAATTTACACAAACTCCTCTCTTTTAAAACATCAAGCTCCGAATTCTATATAAATATATATATATATTTTTTTTGTGTATATCGATATTTTTATTTTTTAAATGCATTTATCTTTTGTCATTTTTCTTCGTTTTTTTTCATTCATTCTTTCTTTCTCATTCTGAAATTACAGGTACTTAAGTGAATATGAATAATGTGATTATAATGGGGGATTTAAATAATTATTTCCAGGCAGTTGTTCCCATCAGAGCGCAAGAAAAGAAGGAGAAAAGAGAAGAAAAAAGAAGAAAAAAAAAGAAACTGACATCCGTCGACGCGGTCTTTTCTAGCACACTTTTAAATCGAACTTTTTAGAGGGTGTCTGCAAGCGATTATCTTGGAGACAGAAGGTTTGTGCTGTGCCAACGGTGCGTACAAAATACAATCGGAAACCCCAGGGCCAAGTTGGACTGCTAGTTTCAGCTTTCAGCTTCTTTAATACTAGACTGGGCACTTTCGGCGAGAGGAGATGATTTCGTCGAATTTTTATTTTTCAAACAACTGCGAAGGATGCACGAACAATTCCTTTCTAGTATTAAACTATATAAGAGGGACTTGTTCAAGGACATGGGCAAAAATTTTTTAGATTCTCCCTAAAAAAAAAAATAATAATGCGGCAACATTAAAAAAATTTTTTTTGATTGATACTCCTAGAATAGATTTTTTGAAATAAGCGAAAAATGCCACAGGTTTCCATGCTAGCATAGAAAGGAAAAAAATGAAGAAAAAAAAAACAGAAACTGACATCCGTCCCGATTTTCAAAATTAGGATTTTAGTTCTAGTCGAAATATACACGGAGAAAAATGAGTTTGCTATTATATGGATAGCTAATATTTAGCTGTTACAGCAAACTATTTTAGCTATGGTAGCTAATTTTTAGCTGTATTAGCTAACGAAAATTGCTGTCCATATAATAGCAAATAGGGTTAGCTACAATAGCTAAATTTTAGCTAATATGGCTAACTTTTTTTCTCCGTGTATTTGACCTGAAATCTAATCCTAAAATTCTGATTGTTCAAATAAATGATAAAAATTTTAATTCAATTTTTATTGTAATTTTTTTAACAATTGAAAACAAAAAAAAATATTTCTTCTTAACAAATAGTTGGATGTTGATTGTAAAAATGATGTTTTTTCTTTTTCAATTAACAGAATTTTAATTTTATTGAAAAACAAAATTTTTTTTCATAATATAATAAAATGAATCATAAAAATTTTCCCACGGTAATATATGTATTTGATTCATCTATTTTACTGCAGAAAAAAAACTGCATTAATTGTTATACTTTTTTCCAAATTATTTTTTCATTACATTTATTAATATTTGTTACGCAATGAATAAATTTTTAAAAAAAAATTTTCATTTACATTAATATTCAGAACTTGAGGAAATAAAAAATTGGAAAATTAAAACTCGAGTTTACATCATTATCAGAATTTAATTTTTTTTTAATCCAAGCAAATTATCTGACATATTTATGTTTCTCAATATCCATGTCAATTTCTTTTTATAAAATAATTAATTCATGAATTATTAAATTTTACTCTAAAAAAAATTAATAATTCAAGAATTATTCTTCTATTTTTCTTATTTAGAATTTGGATATTAAATTTTATTAAATTTTCAATTGATTGATTTGATTAAAAAAGCAGTTGATTTGAAAATGCAAAAAAATTTAATTTTAGAAACAATTACAATTGATTTCAGTAAAAGCTGCGTTTTGGTTTCAAAAATTTCTTGTTGATTTGAAATTAAAGAAAAAAAATCTGATTTAATTTAGTCAAAAATTAATTCAATTTGAGAAATATTTATACAAAAATACATAATAAAAATTAACTAAATTTGATTTCAGAAAAAAAAAATTATTTCATTTAAGAAATATATAACAAATATTTAATCTATCAAAAATTGAATGTGATTTTTTTAACTAGAAAATTAATTTTAAAAAAATATGGATCAAATTTATTCATTTGATAAAATGGTAGCAAACTATAATTGAAAAAACCCGAAACAATAAAAATTTACTTGGATCAAATTTCGTAACTATTCAGTTAAAAATTAATATCCTGAAATTTTCTCCATTTGTTTATATTCCGATTTCGTTCAAATCTCGATTATATAAAGAAAATAAATATAATTTTAATATTAAAAAAAAAATATTTCGCTAGAATAATTTCTGGAAAAAAAACAATTACTCGAATGGAGAATAAATTATTTTTCATGCATAAATGCGAGAATAATTGTTATATTTGTAGCAGTATTTTTTATTTTTTTTTTTGAGGTAAATGAAACACAAAGAATCATGCCACGTGGATTTAGTTTCGACACTATATATAGCTATATAGAAGGCCTCTCTAGGACAAGGAAATCAGATCCCCCCCCCATGAGAGTTAGAAGGGTGGCATTTATCTGCATTCTTTTTCTCTTATAATTCACATACATATAACAGTAAAAGTCCCCAGGATTTGTCCGGTGCATAACGACTGTTATTATCGCACCCTGACAACAACCAAAAAGGTAAATTCACCTCGTCGCCTATATATATATATATATATATATATATATATATATATATATTATAAACTTTCCCTTAATTTTTTCAGTACAACTCGATCTAACTCTCGCACAAACGAATCGAATATACGTTATTTTTTTTCTCCATATCACATGTAACCGTTGTTCGAAACGGTTACAAAACACAGGGGGGGATGAAGCGGATTGGGGGAAGAGAGAATTTCTTTGTGTAATTCGCATCCCTCTCCCATTTCACCGGACCCGATTCGGATCCTCGGTTTTCAAAAGGAATGGATTTTGGATATAGTTATATATATATTCTTTGTCTCCCTATAGCGTCGGCATTAAATATGTGTGCGCTCTCTCATAGGCCCAGGTCAACTATTTTAATTCGTTTTGAATACAAAAAAAAAAAATTGAGACAGAAAAAATCGAGAGAAAGAAAGAAAAGAAAAAAATAAGAGAAAGTTCAAGGAGAATAAAGAGAGGAAAGAAACGAATGAAAAGTGGAAAGTAAGGGATGAGAGAAATAATAGGGCGAGAGAAAGAAAAAGATAAGAATGAAATAGAGTGAATCGAATAAAAAAAAAAAGGGAGATACATAAGAGAGGAAGGAGAGAAGGAGAGAGAAAACTTGATCAAAGAATTGTAGAAGGAAAGAACTCGTAGGTACGTTATGTTCGATCGAATAAGAGTGCACAATAAAAGTAGTGTGTGCCTCTCCATAGAAAATAAATCCTGTTTTCCATTGAACCCACGGGGAAGATGTACCCATGTATATGTGAGAAAAAGGAGCACGCGAGTACAGGCACGCGTATGGTACTTGCGTGCGAATGTGATGGTGCAACCATCCTCTTAAAGAGTCCCACGGTTCGAAATAAAACACCTGGTTCAAGAAATGTGTGTGAGAAAGGTATACACACATCTCTTTCTCTCTTTATACACACATATTTACTTGGTCGTCGGATAAAACCACATGTGTGTGTGATTCGCTCATCCCGAAAAAAAAACCGAAGCGCCCGCGCGCTCTAAAACCCAAACGCGCGGCACCAACACTCACGTGGACAGGTTTTTGCTTCCTTATAAACTTTATTCAACTCTTTACAATATGCCCAAAAAGGGTTCACCGTACATACGCAAAAACCATTCATATGCTAAACAATAAATTTACTGAAAGAAACGAATCCCTGTCTTATGAACAGGCCCCATACAGCTGCAGTTTTTCAGGGTGATGGCGAGAAAAAGAACTGATGCATTGGAAAGAATGGAAAACAATCAGTGTGAAGATGTTTTGTGGCAAGGTGACGAGAAGAATCTGAATTTTTGTTATTTCAATCATTTCGAATAATTTTTTTTATCACGAACATCATAAAGAAATAACTCTTCAAAAGAATCGCTGAATTTTAGTGATTTTAATATCTAATAATTTTTATTTTATATCCCTAAACGTTCAAATAAAAATTTTTTTAAAAAAAGGGAATTTTTTTTTTATTACGATAGCTTCACAGCAACGTTTAATTTATTCATCTTATTTCGCTAATAATTAAATCAATATATTATTAAATAAATTATATTTTATATTTATTAATATATTGAATTAACAATTATATTTTCTCAATTTGTTACTAAATCAAATTATTTATACTTTATTAAAAGAATTTGGTTTGACTACGCATTTTCCACCATTTATCTCTGTTCCATATAATAAACATTAAATTTACTATATTACATTTATATATATATATATATATATATATATATATATATATTGTTTCTTACCTATTTGAAAAATCCTTTTCGCCATCTCCTTTTTGCCAAAATATTGAAAAATATTCTTTAAAGTTATTCTAGTCCATTAAAGATGCTTATCACATTGTTCCGTGGTCAATCAGATACAGCAGGAAAGCCTGATTTTAAATGTTTTACATGTTCCGTGATGTTTTGCTCTTTGTTTCCAATTCTTGAAACTACAAAAAAAATTACTGATTAAATTACATTGAAAATAGTTTACATTTCTACTTTTTCACATTAAAAAATAATTACAGTAAATCGATAAACCAAAAAAAAATTTCAAATAGGAAAATTAATTAAGGTAATTAATTTTCTTCATTCAATATTTCAAAAAATCTTTGATTAGCGATTTTAACTAAGTACACAAAAGTATTTATTCATATTTGTATAAAATCAATAATTTTACCTATATTTATTCCATCAAGATTTATCTACTTTGATATTAGATAAAATTAATTATACCTGCAACGAATTTTTCCTTTTCTTTCGAACATAACCTGAATGCCGAAGGAAACAGGAGACTAAATATATGATTGGATATATGTAATGCAATCTTTCAAATACATTAATTACATAAAAAATTAATAAACTAATTGAAATATTTACCTCTCCATCAAATATTATTCACTACGATATAAATTAAATAAAAAATCTTCATTTTACCTGCAGACGCCTACAACTTGTAACGAATTATGAATATAACCTCAAACTCGAAGAAAACGCGCGAAATCTTTCAAGATGTTGCACTATGGCTGTTTTCGGCCAATCAAATTCAGTGATACAACCGTGAAAATTCAATCCAGCCGATTGCTTTACTAAAATACTGGAGGTATAAAAGCACCTTTAACGATTGTCCAATCATTATTAACATTCTGTTAGATCTACCAATCACAATTAACTCAGAGTTAACCCAGAGCGAATGCCGAAAATAGCCTATTGCGCATGCGTTACGCTTACCGTTTCCGGGAGATTTAAAAAAGTTCATAGAAAGAAAGCGCTTGCTCAGTCCGCCATGACAGTCGGTCATATTCAATAATGAAAAAAATATGACCGACCGGTAGTTCGAATTATTTGGAAATAAAATTATTCAAGATCAAAAGGTCTATTAAAGGAATTTTAATTGCACCGCATTGTTCCCATGCGTCAGCTGAAGTTATACCGCACCTTTCTGATTGATTTATATTTTAAAAAGCTCTTTTTTTATTTTTTTAATTGTTTTTAATTTTTCCAACACATTAAATATCAATTAATATTTGTAATTAAAATTTTCTTTTAAATTACCGTTAAGTATATTTTAATAAAACTAGTAGTCAGTGAGTTGCAAAAACGTATTTAAAAATACGTGCTTAATTTAATCGGACCAATAGCAAGTAATCTGCTTAATTTGGCAACACTGGGACGACCACGACCGACACATGTTACCTAACCTTTCTAAACAAAATAACAAAATAGTGTAAACCGTACAAATTTTTGCGGTTTTAATTTATTTAACAAAGTGTTCTGTAATGTTTAAATTTTATTAATTTTGCTCAAGATTTTATATTTTGCATTCGTTTAATCAAAACCGCAGGTAAGTTATATATTCTAACCTCACTTTTATTGAATTCTAAAAACATTTTATATAAAAGAAAAACTATTTAAAATACACATTCTTTTTAATTTTACTTTTCAGAATGAGTAAATATGTGAATTTATTAAATGTTAAAACAAAATATGCATTGCGTATGAATCGTTTGAGTAATCGAATATTTGGAGAAGTTGTACGAGATGTACCACAATCATCAATGAAAGTTGTTAAATTATTTAGTGAAAAACCAATTAACAAAAGACCAGAAATAGTTGATTATTATCCACGACTTCGTGACACGCATTTATTGATGAAACATTTACGATGGTACGGTCTATTTAGAGATGAACATCAAGATTTTAAAGAAGAACAACAACGTTTACAAATTCTTCGTGGTAAAAAGCCGTGGGTAAAGGGACAAAAAAAAGAGAAAAATTAAATTAAATGTATTTATAGTTAATAATACACAAATTATTATGATTTAAACGTTCTTTTTTTCAACAATGCAAGTTTTTTTTTTTTTTACAAAAACAGTACAAAATAGATGATATATATAAAAATTAGTGAGAAAATGATTAATTTGCATTTAAATGGGAAAATATTTACAAACGTGCTACTATAACCACAAGAATGAGATTCATCATTATCATCATCTTCATCGTCAATTGTAAAAGGTAATAATTCATCAGTTTCATCAAAATTTGTATTTTTTGTTACAATTTCTTTAACTGTTTCTATTGATTTTAAATTAATTTCTTTATATTTGAAATTATTTTCTTTTTTCTTTATATTTTCGATATTACTTGAAACGATATAATTTTCATTATCAAATGTTAAGTTATTTTTAATTTTTCTTGACTCCAAATTATTAGTTAATGATTTTTTCTTCATATTTGACATTGTGTATTTTCTTGCCTCTTCTAAAATTTTTTCAACATCCTCCGCAGAAAATTGATTTCTCAATTCCAATTGATTGGAATATTCTTTTATTTCTTTTAAATCAACATTTGTACTTAATTTTTTCGGACAAATTTCCATTTTTTTAATTGAATTCTCTCTGGAATTTTGTATTATTTCATTCATCCATCCTCTAATAATGAAAGAATAAATTAAAATTCTTGGTGATTTTTATTTGACAAAATTGCAAGAATATATATATTTTTTTCTTTTACCTAAACAAATGAGTGTTAAGATAAGAGGGTGAACCACCGCAATCGAAAGAAAATTTGGTCCATGAGGCAATACCCAGTAAGACCATTTTATCATTTTTATCTTGACAAACAACGGGTGTTCCTGGATTTCCAGCGCATGCCATTCTTTCACCAGCTGATTCGACCATTGTGCAAAAAACATTTAAAAAATTTGCATTTCCTTTATACATGTAGGCGCAATATTTCCATGAATTTAATATTATTTCACTATATTGAATTGGTTTTGCAAATACTTTTGTTGAATGTGGTCCAATATAACTTTCCCAGCCGAATATAAAGCATGATTTATAATTTTCATCATGATTGCGTGGTCCTAGATCTAGAAAAGGAAACTCAGAATCACATAAATTAAATGGTTTTATTAATTTAATTAAAGCGATATTATTGTTAGGATCTTGAATGCCGAAGTCATAATTGAATTTTGGAAATATAAATGCATGCATCACATTTATAACTTGTAATGATTCTGTTTCATTTAAACCAACGGCTTGGAGTAAAATTGACTAGAAAAAATTTTTTATTTATTTATATTTAAAAAATTCGTAAACAAAATTTGATTTTATATAAAATTTTTTTTTTCTTCATTTTTAAATTGCTTTTTTCGAATAAAAATTTAATTTTTATTTACTTGTCGATCGTCTTGAACACATTGTGCCGCTGTTAAAATCCAATCGGAAGAAATCAAAATTCCACCGCAAGGAATGACGGTTTGAAATTGTATGAGCCAAGGAAATTGTCCCTTTTGAATTCTTTTACCCAATAATGCAATTCCCGTGTTTACATTCAAATTTGATAGAATTATTAAAAAAAATATTACAAAGCTTAACATATTTTTCAATAACAACAACTGTCAGGATTCAATTTTTTTCATATTACTCACTTCAGAGTGTAATTTTTTTTTTTTTCTTTCATATTATGTCAACTTTTTGTATAATTTAATTATTAATACTAATGTATTTGAAATTATAATTAATAGTACAAAAATATTTGTCATCGATTTGAAAAAAATGTTTATTAATAAGTTTTTGAAAAATGAAAAGCTTATTTAAGTCATGGCACTATTTTGTAAAAACTTATATTATTAAAAAATTGGAATAGATTTTTCTCTTATGAGATATAAGAATTGAACAATTATAATTATTCATCATCGAGAGTATTTGTTTATAAATCACAATTCTTCCTTATTAACAATTTTTGGTTCTTTAATATTTTCACTTTTATCAGTCTTCTTTGTTTTTTGCTTTTTATTATTCTTGTTTTCAATTTTTCCACTATCTCCTTTTTCTTTTAAACAGGAATCATCTTGATTTTTCAATACTCTCTCGGTGCACAAATACCTAAATTAAAATGTAATTTCTTTAATTTAAATCGAATTTATGAATGAAAATATTCATTTTTCAATTAAAAAAAAAATGTTCACCGCAAATATTTTTATAATTTTATATTCACCTGGAAAGTGGTACTTGACCCTGCAAATTGAAATACCAATTTTCAATGTCCTCCTCGTGTTCCTCTAATAAACTTTCACAATCAGTTTTAAGTGAAGTAATTTCCACAGAAGGATTGTCCCATAATTCATAAGGAATTCCTAATTCAACTTTCACACCTTTGTTTCTGTAAAAGATTTGAAAATTTTTAAAACTTTGTTTATTTCAATAAACATATTAACGTTAATAAAATGTTACCATACACAAGACCATGAAGAGTTTTAAACGTTTGACTCATTCCCTTTTCAAATCGTGAACTGTCCGTACGCTCTTTATGAATATTGTAATCTAATATTTTATCACACAACTTTTCCATTGTTTCGAGTAGTCGAAGATTTCTGAAATGACAATTTTGTCAAGTTTCTTCAATAAATAAAAGAAAGAAATTTTTAATTTAATTGTATATTATTAACTTACGACAATGAATAATCTTTCTTTTTCTTAGTTGTAACATCGTCTAAAGAATATCCTATTTCTAAAACATCATGAGTCTTTCCTGTTTCTTGTAGTCGATTTTCTAATTCTGTGACAACTACTTTGCATACTAAATTTGGAAATAATTAAAAATTAATATTTTTACACAGTGTAATAATTTAATAATTTACTATTAATTGATACATTGAGTTACTATAATTACATGAATATATAGAAACAGTTTTCTACTAAAATTTAATGTAATTGATAATTACCTTCACATTTATTTGCATATTTAACACCCTCGGCTTCCTCGGGACCACCAATAGCCACATTTATTAAAAATATCGTAAAAACTATAATTTCAAATATGATAAAATTCATTTTACTGGTTTATTATATATTGATTAAAATAATTAAATTTAAATTAAATGTTTTGAGGTTATGTTAGAATCTTAAAAATTTTACTCTTAAATTATTGTTTGGATTAAACTAAAGTTTATAAGAAAATAAAGATTCCACTTGTATTTTCTATCCAATAAGATTTTGACGTCTGTTTTATGTGATAATAAATGTGTTTACTGATAATATAAACATATAAATGAGATAATATTCTCCACTACACGTATGATCAAGCTATATGCATTTAATTACTAAAATTTTTGTTTCAAAATAATGATAAAATCAATTAATATCTTGTCTATTTTGTTTATTTAAAATTTTGAAAATTATTTAAAAAACATTAACATCAGAAATATATGTACATATTCACGCACTCAATCTGTCAAAATGATTTCTTTGTGTTAGGTTATGTGTATGATTTTAGGGCAGTAACACCTTTAAACTGTGCCCCGGGCATGTAAACAAAATTTGAAAAATTTGAAATTCAATGAATAATTTTTTTTTCATATCTGTTTATTTTTAAAAACAATTAAATAACCCTAATTTAAAGAAGAAGTTAACAATTTTTTTCTTTCAGAAAGCTGAAAATTTATATATAATTAAAAAAATGTTTTTTAAACAATAATAATCGAGGTGTTGAAATTTAAAAAAATACATTTTAAAGCAAAAAAAAATTTTTTTTTTAATAATAACAAGTTATAATTATAACATTAAATGTCCCGAAATACGACATAATTCATCATCCTGCATTAAATTAGAAATAGCGCACTTTTCAAAAATTGAATATACAATAATATTCTGTGTTTTAATATAGACACTAATTAATTAACGATTTCGGGACTTTCTGTACAAAATACAGTGTCCATATTTTTTTTTTGTTCTTTGTACGTATTTACGAAAATGTTGTATATACCGTAAAATCATCCACATGGACACGTTTATTTGAATTTGCTGGTACATCGTCATTTGTACCACCTTCTTTTGGATTATTTCCATTTGCTTCTTGTAATAATTTCTTTCGTAAACGTTTAATATTTCTCAAACGCTCCAACCAATTCGATGCATAAGGACTTTGTCCCTGTTGTTTAAGGGATGAGGAGACCATTGAAGCGAGCTGCAAAAAATTAAATAAATTTAATTCATATTTATGAAACTATAAAACATTAGAATTAAATTTTAAAAAATCTTACATTTGCATGTAAAGCTAATTGTCTAGATAAAATTGCTAAATTTTGATCAGAAATAATTTTCGGCTCACTATGACCAATATGTTCAGCAAGTTCCTCTCTCGCTTGAACAGTTACTTGATTTGTACCATGATCCAAAGGCTGAATAATCACGCAGGCATAATTAAATTGTCCCTGTTAACAATTGTGAAATTAGAATTTTCTTTTTTTGAATTCCAAAAAAAATGTAAATACGTTTACTTGTTATTTGAAAAATAATTTTTATTTTGTATATTACATACCTTGACAGTTTGTATATTGTAAGGTTCTCCACTTTCATTGTAAACAATGCTAACATAATTATTTCCAATGTGTTGCTTTTTCCAAGTACATTTTGGATCGCCTGCTTTATTTGGCATTAACGTGGCAACATGAAAAACAACCTGAAATTTAAAAAATATATAATTTACCTGAATTTGAATGTTAAAAATAAAATAATAGAAATTTAACGCATTTTTATTCAACATTTTTCAAAAGAAATTTTTTTTAATATTTCAAGAATTTTCTTTGTGTTTTATAATTGTTCAATGTTTATAAATTTAATTGATTTTACTTGAGTGACATCGTCATGCCAAATGTAGGTAAAAGTGCCATGTTCGCCCAAACGATCGAGACCACCGAGAAAAATTGAGGTCTCATCGACATTTTTTAACATCACTAATGTGCCAAGTCTTTGTAAAAATTCTGTATATCGCGTCGAACCATGTTGATTGGCTAAAATTTCCGCTTCATTGGACACTTGACCTGGACCAATGTATAGAACTCCAATTTTATGTGTTTCATATGGATGTATTTTATCTAAAATTGTAATTGCTCTCTTTTTCGTTGAAGGCACCAATAATGGTTTCTCACTTCCTGAATAGGCCTTGTGATAGAGTTGCAAAAACACGGAACTGAAATTAACAAATTTCATTAAAGAAAGATTTTTTAAAATAAATTATTATTATCTTTTTTTGTTAATAATTTACGAAAGAAAATTTGAAAATATTTTTTTTGATAAAAAAAATTCATACCTAGGATTTATTCCATTTCTCGGTGATTCTTTGACTCTCGGTGAATTACCTCGTCGAATATTATCCCAATCACCACGTGGACCTTTCACGGGACTCATGACAGAAATTGTATGACCTCTATCACGAAAAGCGAGAGGTGGTAACGTTGATGGATCCGATTTTTCGTCTTTTATCTTTAATATAGAAAATAAAAATCTTTATTTAGATTAATTAAATCAATATAATTTTCACTAATTTTCTCTATCTCTTCAATTATTTTTAAAAATCCAATTAATTAATCCAATTCAAATCTTCAATTTTGTAAAATTTGTATTGATTTTTTTCTAATTAGCTTATTACTATTATTTATTAATAAAGTGGACGTTACCTTTTCAATTAGAAGATTTCTTCCAATTGGAGGCTTAGAATCGACTAATCGTTGACTTAAATCGAGACTTGACAAACGTGACGAATAAAGTTGTGTTGGCGATTGAGGTGGTTTTGAAACTTGTCCCTGAATCACTGGATTTCGACTTTGGGCAGTCAGAAAGCTTATTGGAGCCTAAAAAATATGTTTTTAAGTTTGCAAAATTATTTAAAATATTTGTTTCAATTTTTTTTTCACAGTAAATATTTCCTCTAACCTGAACTGCAGTTGGCGATGGTGGAACAGTATTACTTAAATTAGCCGTTGATGTTTGATTTGTAGGTTGAGAAATTCCCGGATAGGAACGTTGAGAACGTAAACCCGTTGGATGATCACCTGTATTTTCATTAGACGGTGGTGTCGTTCCCATTCCAGCCATTTCTTCTGGAATCGCTTCACAGCTCACTCTAATAATAAATTAATTAGCTGAATTAGTAATTGAGAAAATAGAAAAATTACTTTTATCTTTAAAATTATAAAAAATAACATTTACCTCATGTCTTTAGTGAATGTATTTTTTACATGTTTCTTCAAATCCGTATCCAATTTAATCTCAAAATCATTTGATGACGCAACATCGCGCTCAGCCTGCTGAAGAACTAATTTGTCCTTATTGAGAAATGGATTTTTCCAATTTGCACTCATTTCGGGACTTGAATTAGATCTACGAACGGGATTCCGAGATCGACGTCCGTCTACAAAAAAGAAAAAAAATATATTAATTTAGATTTTCATTGTTGAAAAAATAAATATTACCTTCTTCGCCTTCTTCTAAACTTTCCAAACTATCACGAGAACTCTGTCGTGTGGGACTTGGTCGTGCAGGTGATCCTGGAATAGCAATTGGTCCCGATGATGTACCAAATTTCATTGAATTTTGTTGATCATATTGCGGTTGATCAACAATTGAATCCTGCACATCTTGCTCCAATTCGTCGCCAGAAAATTCGGTGAAAAAATCTTGTGTTTTTTGTGAATTCATATCGTCCGTTGGCATATAGAGGGAAATAATATCGTGTACAGGAAAATCAATGGTATTCTCAAGATTAATTGAATTTTGTATTCTCATAATCCATGACATATCGCCAGTTGGTCGTCGTACATAAATTTCCGCCCAACCTTGACACCAACATGCACACGGTTCAAATTCCTCTTGTTTTTCACTATTGAGTATTTGTTCTAATTTCGATGGTTCCAATTGTTCCTTATCATTTGCATCTAATAAAGGCACATCACGTTTTATCGTTGAATCAGTTTCATCGAATAATTTTTTTGTTTCTTCAGTTGGTGAATTTGTCGCTGTATTTGCATTTGAACTAACATGACCACCCGATGATTGTCTTGATAATTTTTCTTCTTTACCACCATCGATACTTGATGCACGCCATAAACTACCATGACTTGATTTTGAATGTTCAGGCGTTGGTGGTGTTGCTTTACAAATTGCCCAACAATTATCACAAAGACCACCTCTCATTGCTTTATTGCTACATTCACTTGTTGTTACGGTTATTAATTTATGTCCAATTAGCCATGTCATTGATTGACCGCCTTTTAAAAGAAAATCAGCGGTTGGAAGTCTGGAAAAAAAATTTGTTTATTAAAAATTGTTAAATTTGTAAAGGGAAATAATTTACCTTTTTGGTCTCGCTGAATATGTGGAAAATGTGTAACGTGCCATAAGATCGATACAAGTTTCTGTGAGTTCAGCATGAAAATCCATAAGAGCCTCATCAATCGGTGGTTTTAAATCTAATGCACGATTTTCTCCCATCATTCGATTTGTCATAATTGGCCTCTCACGACGTCCACGACTTCCCTGTTCCGTTAAACTAGAACTTCGTTTACGATTCGATGAATCCTCATTCATTACATTAAAATCAGGTTTCATTAAATGTCCCTCTTCAAATGGTACCAGGACATTTGATTTTAATCCAGTTGTTATAAATTTCACAAAATCACGACGAAATGGTAAACGACATTTAAGAAACCATACGGCAATAACATGATGAGCCAATGAAACTGTATAATGATTATATTTATATGGATTTGTATATGGCAATAATATGGCAAAAACCGACATATATTGATCGCCAATAAAACTTGCAAATACTTTTGGTAATCTTGTTAATGTTGAAAGAAATTCAAGTATTGGAATTGCAATATGTACAGTTGCTGATATTTTTGATAAATTTAATAAAACTTCAGTTAATAATTTATTCATTGCATCACGCATTTCTAATGTACATGTTGTTAAACTTGTTACACATTGACTTGCGCAACGTGTTGTTAATCCAACTTCTAAACATTGAATTAAACGTTGCTGTAGACTTGGTTGTAAATAGGCATGATATGATGTTAATGATGAGAGTACAGGAAAAACGTGTGTTTTAAATTCAGAAACTGTGAATTTTAATGGTACATTATTTAAACTTTCTGGTAGGCGTAATGTTTTATCGCTTACCATTGAACAAAGTGCACTTGTCAATTCATGTATATCGCTACTTTGTCGTGATAATATTAATGCACGATTTTGCATAACTTGTGGCAATTCTTTTAATATCATTTGTAAAACTTTCCAATCTTTCTCGTTTCTTATACATGATATTATTGCTCGACATGCGTGAGCTAAAGAAATTTGTGTTATATGACATGATAAATGTTGTAGAGGTGCTGGACTAGCTGGCGGTGGACTACTACCACCGCTACCAGTACTCAATTTATCGTTTGACGAATGTTCCAATGCTAAATATGAACTGAAACGTAAAATTGTGCCAGTTGATGAATTAGGATAGCCCAAATGATAGAGATCGTTTGCTCGAAATTTGAGAAGACATTCGAAAATCTGAAAGGAAAATTTCATAAATTTTTATTTATTCTCTAGAGAGAAAAATAGAAATTAGAAAACTTACGTCATATCGAATGACAGAGACATTTTGGAAGACAAAAGGGTTCTTGTAATGTTGTTCCAAATGATTTGTCAAAACTTTATAAGCCCGAATCGCGTGATTTGAAGGCAAACGATATAATTTCAACGTTAGAATCTTAATAACCCCTTCAATAGCCGTTTTCACATCTTTAATATCCAATTCTGATGTTATTGGTACATCTGACGTGAAAGGTTTATTGATAATCTGGAAAAAGAAGAAAATTATTTAGAAAACAATTTAGAATTGTTAAAAAAAATTTTTGTAAATTTTCTTTTTTTAATTTAAAATAAACCTTTTCTAAAATATCTAATAATTCTAAACATCTTTTTGTCTCGCATTCAAAGCATAGATCGACTAAAAGATTAGCAGCCTTGTTACGTATTACAATGTCTGAGTCTTGTTCAATATTTTGTAAATGAGGCACGACAACTCTTTCCATAAGTTCATCTTCATACCTTGACCTTAAAAAAAAAGTAATTAATAAGTTTTGTTCTATTTCTGTTAGTATAATAATAATTAATTTCAAAAAAAATAATACCTATTAACTTGAATGACATTCGTTAAGACGTCGAGAATTTTTAATCTAATATTTGTTTTTGTTTCTACTTTATAATAACGATCCATTAATAATCCCAATTTATATTGCCATTGATGATAAGTTGGACTTACAAATGAGGCTCTATAGTCAATTAATTTCAAAATTGATTCCTCCTGAAGAGAAAACAAGACATTTTAAAAGTACTTTCAATATAAAGTATTTAAAAAAAAGTTTTTAGTAAATGAAAAAAATAAATACTTACAGGACGTGCGTCTGAACATTTTTCTACTAATTCGTAAAACCTTTGTATGGAACCATTGAAGGAATTAACATAAAGTAGTCGTTCGATACTATTAATTGTTTCGTGTAAAATTGTCGACACTTGAGATTTTGAGGCTTGATTACTGGTTTCTGAAATTGAAAATTTGTTAGTAAAATTTTTAAAAAAAGTTTCTTGTATTACAAACCTGCGTGAGCAATAACGTCTTCTATAATGTCTAAAATAATACTCCAAGCTGGTTCCTGAAGATCAACGCCATATTTTTGTACCAGCCTTTGAATTGAGAGTGTAACTTCGTACATAACAATTGGATGATTACAACGTAGAGCCTTCAATTTAAAAAAAATATCAGTCATTAAAACAAAATTTTCTTAAAAATTTGTTTTTTTAATTAATTTGATAAAAATAATTATTGACAAACCTCATAAAATGATGGCAAAACAGAAGTGGCGGTACATTCTAATTTGGGAATTCTACATGTACCCCAAAGGCCCATATTAATATAAAATACAGCGCCACGCAATAAACGAACATCCCGTTGAAATCTTGGATCTTGCAATAAACGGCACATGGTGTATAAAGCAGAATGTCCCATATGAGTTCCTAACAATTGTCGCATGATCTAAAAAAATTGTTTATAATTACAATTTTTGAAAATTCCTGAAAAAAAAATGTTTAAAAATTACCTTCCAACTAATTTCACAAAACGATTCAGCATTAACACTGCGACATAAAGCGATAATAAAAGTTTCTAACGAATCGGGTTGTAAATTACTATAACAAACAATTGCATCCAAAGCTCCAAGACAACCTAAAACTACCTTTGGACTATTACTGTAGTAACATAAATGACAAATATTCCTGAAAGATAAAAAAAAAGTTTCAATTGAAATCTGTATTTTAAATTAAATTAAATTAATTTTAAAAATCGGTTTAATTTTAGATAGAAATAAATTTAAAAATTTTAAATTGTATTGTTTAAGAAATGTATTAGAAATTTTTTTTTTTTTACTCACTGAATTAGTCCTGATACAATATTTTCATCTATATAGGCCGAATTAAATTTGATAACATTAACCAGAAGGGAGAGAAAATCAGCTCCTCTCTTAACATCACCTCCAGTAACTATAGGCATCCATTCTAATAAAAACGAACCCATCTCTTCTAAATGTAAAATATCCTTGCCATTTTCTGTTAAACTTTGTAATAACTCAAGTCTGAGAGAAAAATTTAATTATAAATAAAATATGAAGGCCGTTTAAATAAGAAGGAAAATTCCAAAAATGAATAATTCAAATACTCACCGAGGACCAACATCTTCGTGAAATTTATAATCTTTGACAATTGTAAAAAATTTTACTCTCATCAAGGACGATATTTTTGTATATTGTCCTTGTACAAGGCAACGTAAAAAATAAAGTATAATATGCCTATGCTCACGTGCAACATCTTCTGCAAGTAAATCTTTAACAAGGTGCCACATTCTTTCTGCTGCTCTCTAAAATTATCAAAAAAATATTTCACATTCTTTTCAGTAATTTATCAATTTACACAAAATATTTAAATAATAATTAAAATTATAAAAAGTAAAAATAAAATACAAATTTCTCTTACTTCTTCCCATTGATTATTTAAAACATTGTCACAAAGATCTTTGATTGCTTTTAAACGTTGAGTAATTGGCGTTTCAGAACTTATTTCTTTTTCAATTTCCGGTGTTAATGTAAATTCCTCACGGCTTTTATAATTACCTAAAATAAAATTTATTTATTAAAGAAATTTTCTTCTATAAAATATTTTATCGCGATAACAAAGAAAGTAGTAAGAAATTAATTTCAAAGAAACAAATTAATCTTTTTTTTCCTATTCCACTTATATTTTTCTACTTAAAAAGAATGAAATCATTACAAAATAAATCATTTTCTTTTTTATTTATTCGCAATATTCTGAAAAATAGTTAGATAAAATATTTTTCCTATTATAAAAAAGAAAGAAATAGATGTGAATGGAAATGAGCTATAAATACATGTAAAATAGAAAATAAACACGAGATATATAGAGTAAAAGTCAAGTTACGTCGAATGAAATAACAGATTAATTAAGATAATTTTATCCACTAAATGAAATATAAAACGCTTGAATATATATAATATACATGTTTATGAGTTACCTTTACTGAAACGAAAGAATTGCTTCAGTTTGTCGATCGACGTTTTGTTGTCTTTATCTTTAATATTCATTTTTGACATTCTATTTAATTACGGATGTCGTTGAACTATTAGAATTTAATGAAAAACATAAAGAAACTATTGTAATTATTAAAAATTTAGTTATAGATCAAAAGATAATGTACATGAAGAACAGACATGTCAAAACGTCGGAGACGAAACTCAAGGAACATGGAAAAGGTGGACCAACAAAAACCGGCATTTAAAAGGAATTGGAACAGAATAGAACTAACCAATTAGAATTCTTTATTTTTAATCGATAACAATAATGGCCGCTATTAGCGGGAAAATTCAATTTCCCCCTTCAATGTTAATGGGAATCGTATTTTGTTTTTCTTTTCAAAATAGGTTATTGGAAAATTTGACAGTATTGTAAAATATTAAATAGATGAAATAAAAATGTTTCTTTGGAGAGATATAACTCCAAAATTAACGAAATTTAAAAGAATTCCCTTAAAATTGAGTGTTCGCGATAGTTCTGGACATAAGGAAGAAATTTTAAATTATGAGGAACAAATACGTGCTAAAATTGGAAATCGAGAAATAGTTGCCTATGGTCTTAATGGATGTCCTTCATATATTGATTTGCATTATTGTCCATTTCCATCTATAAGATTTCGTGAATTTGGACCTGAATTGATGGTATTATTATGATTATTACAACTGCCCCTAGTGAAGGGCTTTTTGCTTTTCTTCCATGCAAAGTGGTGTTACAATAAATCAACTTATTTCTTTTTTTAATTAAAAATTCATTTAGGCTTTGAGAGAAAAGGAAAAAGGAAATTGGAAAAAATTGACAATTAATGAAAAAAAATGTTTATATCGAGGAAGTTTTTGCAATACATTTGCAGAAATGGATGCACCAGATCCAGAATGGAAATCAGTATTAGGATGGGGTTTAATTGGAATCTCTGCAGCACTTTGGCTTTATATTTTTTATCAGTTATACAGTAAGTAATAAAAAATAAATATTATTTATTGAAAAATAACTGCTATTTTACTAAAAAAAAAAAAATTTTTTTTTAAAGTACGATTGCCTGCTCCATCATCATTTTCACCAGAATCTAGAATAGCACAATATTATCGTTCAATTGATTTAAATATGAGACGATTTACTTACAATAAAAATTGGGTTCCACGTGGTGCAGTAAAAAGAGTTCATCCGAAAAATCAACAAATGTTAGACGAATTAAATGCACAACTTAATATTAAGTCAAGATAAAAATTTTTCAAATTCAAATTTACCGCGTCAATATTTATCTTTAAGATTTTATAAAGAGTTAGATTAATTGCACATCTACGTAGAATGAGAAAAATATTTAAAATTACAAATTATTACTTAATTAAAGTTGTCAATGAATAATCATTTATTTATTTATTTTTTTTAATTAACATTAGTAATAGATAAACAAATTCGCATTCTAGTTACTTCCAACATTTCCCTAGATGTGAGAAAAAAATTGTATTTACTAAAACTTACTAGAAAAAAGAAAAAGATTAAAACTTGATAATTCGGTTTCTCGTTTATTTTAAATCAAGGGTGTTACATATTTGTAGAATGTATCAAAAAAAAAAGAGTCGTGATTGTAAATACACTATATCTACAAAAATTATAAATGTCTACGCAGTCCATTTTTTTAAGCCAGATTTTTTCAATGAATTATCATACACAATTCAAAAAAAAAAACTACATTAGATTAAAGTAGAAGAATTGAAATTTGTTTCAAAAAGAAACATTTCACTACAATTTCTACAGAAAAAATATTCTTCATTAAAAATTTTTCAAGACTATTACTGTCTTTCGAAGGCCATTTTTGAGCAGAAAATTAAGTTTTCTCCTGTTGGCAGTATCAACATAATTTAGGTCATGTATTTTTATTTTTTTTCCTCTCTTAATAATTTAAGAAAAATAATGTGATAACTGGGAATAATTTTCCTTTAGAATTCATTTCTTAACGCAACAATGAAAAATTACATATTTTGATCACATGATCAAAATTTAATTTTGATCTTTGTTGGCGATCGATTTACTATATGCTACGTAAGTTGTCTGATGCAAATAACATTTTAATTAATTAAGGTGAGAATCAAATGAGGTGGACAACAATCCAATGTGATTCAACATACGTAGGTGAAAATCGATAGGAATTTGTTTAAAATATTTTACTATTTAGTCTCATTTTTATCAGGTAAATCAATGACCTCTGCAACAAATGTTGCAACATCAGTTTCTTTTTCAGCATGATTAATTATAAAACTCTGTTGTAAAAGTTGATCATAATTCGGTCGTAATTTGTAATCTTTCATTAAACTGTAATATAAAATAAATGGAATTAATATTAAATAAAAATACATGATATTAAATATCAATACTCACCATTTGTTTATTAATTCCTCAAAACTGGGAGAAAATGTTCCATCAGGCAATTTTGGTGCATCGTCTTTAACAACTTGTTTAAGTTGTTCAAAAGGTGTACCCCATGTTTTGTAAGGAAATTTCCCAGTCGCTAATTCGACAAGTGAAATTCCTAAAGACCAAACATCAGATCTAATATCATACTGAGAAGGATTTCCCGATGGATCTATCCTTTCTGGCTGTAAAAATAATGAATGTTAAGAGAAAATTCAATTTATTAAATTTAATATACACTTACAGCCATATAAGGTTTGCAACCAGCGTCAATTGTTTTTGCTACCGAATCAACTAGATATCCAGATATTCCAAAGTCACAAATTTTAACTTCTCCTTTTCTATTTATTAATATATTACTAGGTTTCACATCTCTATGAATAACTCGTAATTGTGAATACAAATAATGTAATGCACTTACTACCTAAAAATAAGGCATTTTCAAAATGTTAATATTTATATTTAATATACAGTTAATTATAATGTAAATACGAGGGGTAAACAACTCGTAAATTAAGGTGTATTTTTTTTATTCCCTAAATATTTTTACAACTTGAAATATCGTCAACTATACTTTTGATAAAGTCATCTCTTTTTTTTTAAAGTAAAAAAACATAAATTATCAAGAATTATACCGAAATACCTGAATTACAGGTTGTAAAATCCCTCTTGTTAATCAATTATTGTTAGCAGTTGAAAATTAAAATGATATAAATCTCACTGCAAAGGCAATATTTCCTAAGATATCTTCGGGAATTGATCGTCCATTTTGATAGACTTTCATGTAGAATTTATCAAGACTCATATCCATTACTTCCATACAAATCCACACATCGCCTTCTCGAAATAGTGCCCCATAAAATTGAACAGTATAAGGACAAGCTGAACTTCTCATTGAAATATCAAGATCCATTAATAATCGTTTTTGTTCTTGTGTGTTTACAGTAGCTGCGATTCTCTAAAAAATTATAAATTAATTATATTTTAAGTTAATTAATTCTTATTCTTTTCAAAAATTACCTTTACAGCCATAATAGTACCACTCTGTTTATGCTTCATTTTGTCTACGACTCCATAAGCCCCTCTACCCAAAGTACAAAGCGTTTCGAGGTCATCAGCTTCAACAACAAATGTCTTTTCATCTATTGTTATTGTTGTTCTCTTATCAAGATTTCTTGGTGGCGTTCTGTTTTGTAAAAAATAATTGTTATTCACTAAATAACTGTTTTTATCAATTTTCAGATTCGAAGAATTGATAAATTTTATTAACTTTATAATTTCATCAGTTATTAAAAAAAAAATGATTTCTTCAAATATTTGTTTATATTCTTCATTAATAATACTGATTTAATCAATTATTAATTGGCATTTAATCTAAAAATTTATATTAAAGGGATAAATTTGTATCGCACAATTAAAAAAATTTACATCAATTTTTAAGCAAAAATAAAAATAAAAACTTACAAAGGAACAGGAGCTTCTGTTGAAACTTGGAGCTTCAAATTTTTCTTCGGTCGTCTCAAGGCCATGATTGAAATTTTTTGGAAAATTAAATGTTATAACTGTAATTGAGACTCAAGGGAAATTCACTTTTTACACATATTTTTCATCCCAAAAATTGCAAAAAAGAAACTGCTAATTATTTAGGACATACTTGCGCTTGTAGGCTCGTTTATAGGTTATTTTGAGTTACTTGAAATTATCACTTACGAATAAAATACAAATGTTCTTCATGGACTGTATTATTAAAAAAAACACAAGTCCGGCGTTATTTTCAATTCACCAATTTACATTACCTTAAAATATTTTACAATAAAATTCTAAAACACCGATGTCCTTATATGCACTTTTTTCAACTTTTTTATACAACTTAAATTAGTTCATGAAGTTAGTGACAGATAAAATTTTCAGAATCTTCAATAAGTTGGCAACTATGAATGAACATTTTTAAATTCTCCACTTCAAATATTGAACAACTTATCAAAATAAATTATTAATTGTAGAAAAATAATTGAACTTTCATAAAGTGTTAAAATTTAACATATAATTATAATTTTTTATAATTTACAAAGTAAATGTATTTTTAAAATATATGTAAACTTTTAAATAATTGAATCAACTTCAGACTGATGTCTTTCAGAAATGTCGTCTGCTAATACTTCAAGGTCTTCTATCGAAAGTGTCAAAACAATTTAAATATATTACATTTAATTTTTATATTAATTAATGATGGTATTAATAAAAATGACAATTAGCATAATCAATAATTAATAAAATAAATATACATTTTCTAAATGAAGATAAATAGTTTTTTTAAACAGGAAAAGGCTTTCGTTTTTTGTATTTGTAGTTAAATCCGGTACGTGAGAATCAATATAATGATAAAGTATATCAACTTTTGATAGTAATTGCATGAATTATGAGATTTTTATAGTTTGATAATTAAAAAATATATTACGTTTACATTTCTTTTCTCCACATTTATCTTACATTTCGAATTTTCGACTTTTTAGGTTATAGTGTTTTAATGTATTTATTTGCTTATAAAAAAAATTAATGTTTCAAAAAGTACCACGTTATATGATTTAATTTATTTATTTTAAGTAATAATTAAATGAATTGAGTAATATTTTGTTATAGATATTAAATATTCTTTAATTTATTACCATGTGGGACGTAGAAGTCAATACGGTTGTATTTCAAACAATATCGACGATGATATTTTTTATATTTACTTATAATATTGTTAGATATTATTCTGCTGAAGATCGTTATCTTCAAATAAGAGATTCAACTAAAAAGCACAGTTGGAAAATGATTAGTGGTACATCAAAGGTCTGTTTATTATAATAATTGAAAAAGAAAAGTTTTAATTTAAACTTTGCAATTTTATTTTATTACGCAGGTAGTTTATTGTACAATTTGTGAAGCATTATTATTGAATATGAATGGATTTATTTGTGATTCTTGTGGAGTTTGTGCAGATCATAGTTGTATTAAAGTAGCTGATAAAATGTTAAAATGCAAAGCTATAACTTTATCTAGTGATGAACCGATGAAACATCATTGGATCAAAGGTATAAATTTGATTTGAAAAAAATGGAATTTAATTTCATTGAAAATCATAATTCATTATTATAGGAAATTTACCACTTATTGCAATTTGCGATATATGTTCTGAAGAATGTGATACGGAACCTGGTTTAAAAGATTGGTGGTGTTGTTGGTGTCAACGATGTGTACACGACGATTGTAAAAGTTCACTAAATGAGGTATATTTTTTTTTAATTTTGTTTCCTCTATCGAAATTAAATTATTCTAAATTATTATAAGATATGATAAATTATTTTAGTATTTTCTAAAATTGTTTATTTAGAAATTAATTTTTATTTGCTTATAGATTTGCAATTTTGGTAAATTTAGACTGATGATAATTCCTCCTACAAGTTTAGAAGTTATTAACAAACGAAGTACAATGAAACGTCGTTTACGTCTTCGTTCTATAATTCCACCCTTGTGGGATAAGTGGAATCCTCTTATTGTCGTTGGTAAGTTTTCAAAAAAATTTTCTTTTTTTTTAATTATTGATTAAAAAATTATATTTATTTTGTTTAAGCAAATAGAAAATCAGGTAATAATGATGGTGCAGAAATACTGTCTTTATTTAGAAGATTCCTTAATCCCGCACAAGTGGTAGATCTTGCTGATCGTGATCCAGTTGCTGCTCTTGAATGGTGTCGTTTACTGGGAAATAATCCTTGTAAAGTACTTGTTGCAGGTGGAGATGGTACAATTGCATGGCTTTTAAATGCAATTCATAAACTTAAACTTGAGGTAAGTTTTTTTTTTCTAAAAAATTTGATATAAAAATAAGAAAGTACTTTTATTTCTTTTTTTATAATAAAAATGACAGCCTGTTCCTTCGGTGGGAATTTTACCATTGGGAACCGGTAATGATCTATCTCGAGTTCTTGGTTGGGGAAAAGAACATGATTCAGATTTAGATCCAACGGAAATTTTGAAAAATATTCAAATGGCAATTCCGGTAAAACTTGATAGGTAAAAAAATGTAATTTTTCAATTTTTTTTCCATAATTTTTTCTAAATATTCTAATATTTTAATTTATTAGATGGAACGTTGCGGTGAAACCTTCGGGAAGTAGCCTTGGATTTATTGGATCTCAAAAGCATTTATTTATGTATAATTACCTAAGTATTGGAGTAGATGCTCAAGTAACGTTAAATTTTCACAAAACTCGAGAAAGTCGTTTTTACTTTTTTAGTCATAGAATATTTAATAAGGTGAATATTTTTTTGAAAATTGAAAATTTTTTGAATTAGGAAAAATTTGAAAATTAAATATAGACATAGAAAATAAAATGATATTTCTTTTAATATAGCTTCTCTATTTATGTTTTGGAACTCAACAAGTAGTTGAGAGAGAATATAAAGATTTGGATCAAAGAATTGAGGTTTATTTAGATGATAAACGAATTGAATTACCTTCTATAGAAAGTATTGTGATTTTAAATATTCATTCCTGGGGTGCTGGTGTTGATCTTTGGAATATGGGGATTGAAGGTATGAAATAGTTGCTTTAAAAAATATCCGTTTCACAAATGTTTAATTATATATTTTTTTTAAAAAAGATAATGATAGTGTGGGTAAGCAAAGCATAAATGACGGTAAACTAGAAGTTGTTGCTATTTTCTCATCATTCCATATCGCGCAATTACAAATGGGACTTTCTCAACCCTTTCGACTTGGTCAGGCTAGAAACGTTAAGGTTTGCTTCTAAAAGAATTTATAATATATTTTTAAAAATAAATGATATTTTTTTAATCTAAAATTTAAATAAAATTATCATTTTTACAGATAAAACTTTTAGAATCCTGTGCAATGCAAGTTGACGGTGAGCCCTGGTGTCAACAACCTTGCGAATTCAATATTACTTACTGTAATCAGGCTTCAATGCTTATGAATTCTTCTTTTAATTTGGAAAAATGATTTTCCAATGATAAATCCAAGTTTTTATACATTTTTTTAAGTTATCAGATATAGCTTTTATAAATGTTGAAAGTTAGGTAAGAGTTTCTATATTTTTTATTTTAATATAATTTAATTATTTTTTATCTTTATAATATAAAAGTGATACTTGAAGATTCCTTATTTAAAAATAAATTAGTTTCTACTCGTCATGAATCTTATTAGTTAATAAGAAAAAAAGAGGTACTTATTTTCTAGTCATGCTATGCTTTCTTGTATTTAAATCTAAATACACAGATTTTATTCAAAAAAACAGTCTATTTATTACTTTATTTGAAATTTCTTTTTCAAATAAAAAAAAAAAAAAAATGAATGTTACAAAATTTGAAGCAGTATTCACTGCTTTCTTAATTTTGTTTAAACATCAAAATCGATAAGTTATTTTAAAATTTTCTTTTTATTATGACAGATCGTCAAATTGATATACTTGCTTTTTTAATTGTACTCTGGTTAATTCACGAAATTTCAAGAGTTACAAATAAAATTAAATAATACTGGTATCGATTGCTTTTGTAATTATGTTTATTATAAAATACATTTTGTTTACAAAAGCTTATTTAAAATACTAAATTTTCAATTTACATTATAAAAATTGCTACTTAACAAAAATGTACCCTTACAAAGTAAAATTTATAATTACAATCAAACTTTTACAAAATACAAATAATACTTGTGGAAAATAAAATAAATTTGTTGTTAATAATCATAGATGTAATTGATAAATGAAACGATATTTACAATTAATATTAAAAAATATTTTAATTGAGAAATAGTTTAAGTTTAAAAGTAAAAAAAAAAAAATCCCTACATCTATATAATTGAAAATATGTAATCTTAATTAAATTTTATTTTTGATTAGGTGTGAAAATTTGGTAACAAGAGTTTGTTAATTTACGATATTGATTTTTGTTATATTTTCATGGATGATATTAATGTTTATAGAATTAACAACTTATCAGAAAATTACAGAATATTTTTTTGCTTTAATTTTTATAGCGGTTTTATGTTTCTCTTAGAAGGATTCTTTTCGAAAACTAAAACCAAATTGATCACACTTGTACCTCAACATTCTTGCTAGCTGCGGTGGACCACAATAAAATACCGTCACCTTTCCTTTTTTTCGTTCCTGGAGCTGTTTGAAGACCTTGTCCCAGTTTGGACGCCCCGCATTGGTCCTAGTCTTCAATCCAGTAATGAGATCCCTTTTTTCCTGGATTTAATAAGAATTAACGAGGTGAGAGATTATGTACAGACAAAAAAAAAGAATAGTGTGACAAAAAGTACTTTTTTTGGAGAAATAATGTTTTTTTTTTATTAAATTATTATTTTAAAATGACACGAAAAATAAATTATACAATTTTTTTTTCTATTTTGAATTATAAAATGATGCTTACTTTTTCATGTAAAAGATCCATGGCAAGTTGAAGACCAATTGCTTTCATATCATTTTTCTGTAATGCACTTGTAATGTACATGTGCATTTCAAGGAATCGTTCCATAGTAGCTCCAAGTTCGGCTTGCTCTATTTCAAGTTGTGAGAGCAAGTTAACAAACCATTCAAACGATCGTTGATCTCGATTTATCCAAAAGAAATCCACCTTTCAGCAAAATAAAAGGAATTAACTCTAACGCAATATGACGTTGACCTTGTGTAAAAATCACAAGAAATTGGAAACTTGTCACGTTAAGAAAACACTTAATTGAAGTAAACTTTCGAGAATATTTATTGCCAGCAAGCATCTTGAATTATTTATATTACATTTTAGTTTAGAAATTTATTCTATTTTTTTTGGAATAGTAAAAAATTTATTTCCTTTTGCTAATTTTAATTTAGAAATTTTTTTTCCTTTGAAATATTTAAGGAAAATTTTAATTTTTATAAATATAATTTATGAATATCATGAGATAAATAACATCAATTTTTATAGTTAGTCATTAAATAATTTAATATACGAAAAATTTATATATCATTACCTTTCGCAGGTGCATGACCGTAGGCGGTATTTCGTTGGCCCAGGAAAAGGAGCATTTTGGACACGTGTGCCTGACTTTCCAGTATCTATGCATAATTGATTGAAGAATTGAAGCGAATGGAGTGACGCCAATACCGGCTCCTATCAACACCGCATGCTGTGCCTGGAATATATGACTGGAAGGTGCTCCATATGGACCATCAAGGTATATCTATAAAAAAAAATAAAATAATATATCTGACAAAATGGAATTTTTTTTTATCTATTTAAATCGAACTTAATTTAAATAAAATATCCATAATTTAAATTTGCAAATACTAAAAAAAAAATTCGAAACAATCTCTTACATCAAGTGGTTTTCCAACAGGATAAGTAATAGATGATTGACAAGCTAATTCTTCATAATTTATATCCTGCAATGTTTTTCGTCTAATTTCTTTATCCGGAGATTTTGCAACTCGACCTTCTTCTGCAGCTATTTCCGGTATTTCTTTGGAATTGATAATTCCTTCATTTGACTGGGCATTAGGGGAAGCTTAAAAAAAACAATTTCTAAAAATTCTTTTCTTAGATAAAACATTATTTTTATTATTTGAAATTATTTGAAAATTATTTTATATATATATATATATATATTCTTTAAATTACTTACATTCATTTACAAGGAAATTGTCATCGTCATCACAACTTTCCAAACTTGGTGTTTTAAATGCAATTATTGTTGGTTTTGTTCTCATATAACGAAAACTTTGTGCAAGTGATTTATTTTGTGGACTCGAATAGGCTATACCCAATGATTTGAGTCGTGCTCGACGAATTTTACATTCGTCGAAACTTTTCTCCGATTCAGATCTCATATAATCGCGAAGTCTAAATTGCAACAAAAAATTAAATTTTTTTTTTTTTGCTTTATGTTTTAATAAATTAAATTTTTATTATATTGGTATATGTAATAGTAAATTTTGGCTAATAAAAATTTATGTTAATTATTGAATAATAACTGTTAATTAAATTTTATGATCTGTTATCGAGTATAATTAATTACTAAAATAATTAACACAAGTAGAATCTTGTATTATTAATATATTAATTAAATTTTATTTTAATTAACTAACCAATTATAAATTAATAATGAAACAGTCTCGTGCGAAATAAATGGATCGATTCAATAAATTAGACTTTTATTAAATTGATCAAATTGATCCAGATTTAATGAGAAATCGAACTTACGCCATAAGTCGTGCTCGTTTCTTGATCTTGATTTGCATATCAGGCACAGAATGTGATTTTTCAAGGGGCATTTTATTGATATGCATCAATTGATGCAATTTTCGCTCACGTGACGTTTTCTCCAAAGTGCCTGATAAAAAAAAATGTTAATTGAGAATTATAATTAGTGATTAATAAAGAAAAGATTTTAATATATATATAAATTTTAAATATTTACTGAAATTAATTACAAACTTAAATTCTCGTTATAATAATTTTTTTATTTTTCGCTAAGAATTTAAATTATTTATTTTTCCATACTTTCTGTTGATGAAGATAACGTTACAGGCGAATTAATTATTGAATTTGATGTTTTACTTTCATCCGTTGTAAAAATTGGATTATCATGTCCTCGAGAATCATCTAATGAATCTAGAGAAAATTGCTTATCGCTAAGAGCCGCTCTTTTTGTCATAACATTTTGATAGCTATGTTGAAAAAAAAGAATTAATTAGAAATAAACAATTAAATTTCAATATTATTAAAAATAAAATCTTACGAAAGTTTTCTTCCATTATTGCATCCATCAGGTATAACACCTCCTCGATGTAGTTTGAATTGTTCTCTTTCAAAATAAGAATACAATCTACTTGTCCATTCGCCCACTGCTCTAATATGAAGCCACATGTAATCTAATAGATAATTAAATAAAATTTTTATGTTTTAACTTTATTTTTATTTTTAGATTCATAAATTTACCTTCTTGCTCTGGTGCACTGCTAATAGTGAATGGATGCCATTCATATTTTGCAATCACAGGAATATTAACAAAAACATAATCTCCAGGATGAAAATCAAGATGAGGTGGTCTTTTAATGACTAGGTGAGTGACTTTTGAAGGTAAAAGAAGACCAGAGCTAATGTACGTTCTACCACGTTGAGATCGCAACCACATAAAACGATGAATTCTTTCCATAAGATAAATGGCACCTGGAATAAACATCCATTTCCAAAAATTCGGCGCATGGAAAATTGTCAAAAACCATATAGGTATGTACAATAAATGTGTCCAGTAAAATATCTACAAAAATCGATAATTTAAAATTTCAATTAATTAATAATTTAATTTTAAATAATTTGATTTTATAAAAGAACAAATTTTTTGAGATAAATTGAATTACTTTTGATTTGATTCAAAGAAGTAATTATGGCTAATTAATTAAAACTTGCCTCAAAACAACCTCCTCTTCTAACAAAAGGCATTGAGCAAACAGCTAAAATAATTAAAAGAACAAGTATAATTAAACCAGTTGGATTTGCTGCTCCTGGTATCAGCCCATATAATTTCGGTCGAGTTGTTAAAAGCCATTCTGTCATTGTATAATTGGAACTGTTTAATTGCTCATCATTTACCACCATTATACCTAGAGAATATAATTTTTTTTTTAACACAAATTTTAATATAAAAATTAATTTCAATTTTTTTTGTTATTGCTTCTTACCATAATTAAGAATATGCATTAAAGCATGAATAAAGCTAAAAATCACAATAAATATTCCAGTTACTTTATGGAGATATATATGATGATCCAATGGAAGTATTGAATTGAATCCATGTGTTCGTAGAAATGTAATGGATTGTCGGAGCATTAAAATTAAACTAAATGTAAAATTAAAATTCAAACATTGACCTAAGGAAAAATTTCACGTTAAAAAAATATTTCTTTAAAGCCTAAATGCTAATTAGATAAATAGTATTTATAATAATACTCACCGCAAGCTCGGGCAAACATAACAAAACCATTTTTATCCTTATATTCAACAAGTTTCGAGAAAAATAAAATAGAATTTATCAATATAAAAAGTGACAGAAATGCAATGTATACATAATTATTTTTGATGTAAGGTTTTGTCAATTGATATGGACGTAAAGATAATAGAAATGCTAAAAAGGATTTTCTCTTTGGCTCTGGTTTTGGAGGCACCATCCATCTGTCTATGCTGTTAATTAAATTTCATTTTAATTAAATTCTTCTGAAAAAATAATTTTCAAATTATAGATTCCTACCTAATGGATAGATTTTCCAGAAGTCCATCATGTTTTTCAAGTTGCATTTTTAATGCTTCAAATGTAATTGCACCGCGATTTCCTTGATCAGAATCTTCAAATAGTGCCATAGTCAAGTCTGTAATTTGTTCATCACTAAATTTCATTCCATTTTCTTCCATGCAAGCTCTCATGACATCCTCCAATTCTCGAAGCTGAATCAGACCGTCCCCTTTTTAATGAAAATCAATTTCTCAATCATTTTCAATTATTATAAATCAAAATTTTTTTTTGAAATATTTTATTAAAAAAAAAAAAAAAAATGAAATCAACTTAGGTTATTTTTTTGTTAGCAAATTGTTATTTCAGATAGAATTTTTATTTTTTTCTAGATCAGTCAATAAGTGATCCCCATTTATGTGCGAATAGTTTGGTATTAATTGTAATTTCTCATTACTTGATCTCGTTTATGGACGCTTTAAAATAGCTCACCATCGATGTCATACACCTTAAATAGAAATCTGATTTTGTCATCTGGCGTTTTTCCGGCGAACTGGTTTATCGCATCAAGAAATTCTTGTAAGGATATCGAACCAGAATTATCGGTATCAAAAATTTGAAAGACCCTTTCCGTGAAGAATGGCTGTAAAAGAACAAACGGAAAGTTTTTTTTTTGTCCTTGAATTAAAAATCAGCTCATTAAAAATAATAATTAATTTGTCAAATTCTCGTAGTCTCTAAATTAAAATTCCAAACCACGTAATTAAACACATTCAAAATATTATACTTAATTATACTTTCAGTGCGAGCACAAGAATTTTCCATTTAAAAAAGTATCTTACATTTTTAGACACCATAATTTTTTTAAATTCTTCTCGACGAATTTCTCGTTCATGGCCAACAGTTTCTTTGAATAAAGTTTCCAACCAAACAAGATTCCTCGGATCAATGCAAAGAGGTGAACTAGATTAAAAGAAAAATGCGATTTAGAAAAAAGGGTGTTATATATTTTTTTTATCTTCTTTCTCAATGGTACCTCGTACTGCTAACATTTGAAAGTAATTCCATAATTTGTTGTATCGTTACATTGCCAATATTTTCTTGATCGATCAGTCGAAATAATTTGTCGACCACCTGACAATAAAATTGTAAATAAATAAAAAAAAAAAATTATTTAAAACATAATTTCTATATCACCAATAGAAATTAATTACCCCTTTTGTTTGAAATATTTGACAAAAAGCCGTGGGAGTTACAGGCCTATCTCCAATTAATGCATATGCGACACTTTCAATTTGATCGACCATCTCATTTTGTTTATCATTTCTGAAATAAACAATTCAGTAATTACTATTAATGATGATGAATGAATAAAGATAAATGACCCCTCGAATAAATGAGTAAATAGATAAAAATCAATATTTTTATTTCTCTATTATTTCCAAATCATAATGACATATAAAAGACAATTTTTTATTTAACTAATAAAAATATAAAATTAATTTATTTTACAATATTTTGTATTTGACTTTGAATTGTACTAAAATTATTTACTTATGAAGAAAACTAATATTAAAAAATTTAATTTCATTCATTCAAGGATTATTAATTTTTGATAATTTAGAACAAAAATTTTCTTTTCAACTGATGATTTTTTAATCATTTAAAATAATCATTTGTCTGAAAATACTTTCTTTTTGAATATTAAAAATATTATTTAATCGTTGATTATAAACTCACGTAAGTCTTCTTTTTAGGAAATGAATCCATTCATCTTGATTCAGTTGTTCATCTTGATTTTGATCAAAAAGGGTGAATAATTTTCCCAAAAATATCTAAAGTTGGAAATATTATATTAAAAATTATATTTAGCATTGCTATTTAATTACGTATATATTATTTAATTTGGCTTAAAAAAAATATCGAGACACGTGTATAATATTGTAATTTACATCCGGTTTATTATTGCTCTCGATATTTATTGAGAAACAGGTCAATGTCATATATATGCATACAAGTATAGTCAAACTTGGTGTTTTTAATATCCATGTGTAGTTACTGTTCTCACTTTTATCAGAGAACTTTTGGAACGTCTGTTGCAAATTTTATGACTTGGCGGCCTTTCCAAATTATTGCACCAGTAACATTTTTATTACCCATTTCTCTCTCATTTTAATGAGATTTTTTTTGTTGTTGATAAAGTCCGATTTAAAGAAACGCGTTACATTTAAATGCTTAAAATTAAGGCGTTACTGAATATTAAATACTTCTCTTAGGGGAAAATAAAAGCTCATCAAAATTCTTTTTGTGTGTTAATGCTTTTACATAATTGTCTAAAGTCAGATATAATAATATCATATTTGTAAAGAGAAAAAGATTTTTTTATTATTTAAATTGGATTTTTTTTTATTTTAGAGAAAAATATCATTTGTTCTTTTTAATTGAAAATTAGAAATTTTTTTTCTCTTTCCGATTGTTTATTATTTAAATTGGAATATTTTTTTTATTTTGAAAAAAAAAATGGCAAAAAAATATCATTTGTTCTTTTCAATCGAAAATTAGAAATTTTTTTTCTCTTTCCGATTGTTTATTATTTAAATTGGAATATTTTTTTTATTTTGAAGAAAAAATGGCAAAAAAATATCATTTGTTCTTTTTAATTGAAAATTATAAAATTTTTTTCTCTTTCCGATTATCTTTCTATTATGGAATCAATGGAGACGATGAAATTGGATCAGATATCTCTTTGCGATTTCATTAACATATAGAAAGAAACGTTTGATCCAGAATCTAGATCAAATGACAAGAATCAAGAATTATCTGCTACTTCTCTGTGTGTAAAAAAAAAAATGTAAAAAAAAACGTAATTCTTGTATACATGTGCACGGAATTTCGAAGCTACCATAAAGTCTCAACACGTTTATTCCAATCACTTTTGCTAATTAAAATAGAAAAAGATTTAAAATGAAGTCTGGTTTTCTTGGAGGTTCTCTCCCCACTTTTTTATATTTGAAATAAAAAAATATACTCGAGGCAATACAAGGTCTTGGGCCTCGGGCAATAAAACACCTTGATTAAAGAAAATACCCTGAATAGATATCGCACCTTGATTTCCCTTGCAACATCTTCAGCAAATCAATGATATATCAAAAAATACACGTTTGAATTAATAATTTATTTGCAATATTTTATTAAAATATTTTATTTGCAATAGTTTATTAAAATATTTTATTAAAATAATTTTTCTTAACTATATTATAACGAAGTTAACATATTTGCATATTGCTCAAAATTTTGTTCAATTAAACTTTGTGAAAATTTTATATTTGTAATGCGAAATAGAAAAATTTATCATCAATTTTTTTTTTTTTTTAATTGTAAAATAATAATTTAAATTCTATGAAACGTGAGCAATTTTGAAGTCATAAAAAGGCCCGCTGATAATTAACCTTGATAAAAATTAATGATTTTTTTTTAAAAGCGGAAGAGAAACAATTACGACACAAAATATTCCTTCATTTCGAAGTTAAGAATGCGGATACAACGAAAAGATATTGTAAATATTATTCTGATTTTCGTTTTCTTCTTCTTCTTCTTTAGAATTGAATACAATAAAAAAAAAATTTCACCATTTCACGCAAATTGATTTTTTTTATCATTTTTCATTGAAGCGAATATTTCTAAGTTGAATATAAAAATTTTTTATTTTCGTTTTTTTTTAAAAACAATTTTTTGTTTATAAATTTTACAACTTTTAAGACAATTGACAGCAATTTAGCTATAGAGAATGTATTAAATAAAATTCTTTAAATAGATTATAAATTGTAGGATTAAATTTTATAGGGCTGGAATTTTTTTACTTTTTAATTTTACATTTTATAATGTAAATTTTTTTGTAAATATTAAAGGTTAATCCTAAGAATTTCTATAAGGCTGATAATAATAGAATGGATTAAATAGTAATTTTTTTTCAGTTTTAAAGAACTAGCTTTTAATTTATACAAAAATGTGAAAATTTTTTTTTATTTATGTTTAAACCTTATTATGGATTCAATAAATTTAATTCAATATGGTTAAATAAATTTTTAGAAAATATTTAGTAAAAATAATAATTTATAATAATTTATATTATAAATTTTTTATTATATTTACTATTTTTTTTTTATTATTATATTTTCTTCGAATATTATGCAGAATAATTGAAAGATAAATTTAAAATTGAATTAAAAATACCTCTTCTTGAAAGAGCTTTTTAAAAGTCTCTCTATTATATCTGGGAGTTTGTTCATTTTGAAGAACATTGGAGATTTCTTTAAGAGTTGCAATTCTTCTTCTTTCAATCATACACTCTTCTTCCATTGAACTCATCTTTATCATACAGTTTTTCTTCGTCCCTTCTGCACATTCTGCAGCCACTTTATCATCGTTACAAGCCATTTGTACATTGATTTTTCGATTTTCAATTTTATTAAAATTAAAAAATTAATTTAATTTCTATTATAAATTCAACATTTTATATGAAGACTTGAGAAAAAAAAAGTCTGCAAATCTTCTTTGATTAATTAAAAATTCCTAATTTCACTCTCATCAATGTCACACTAACTTTCACACATTTGCACAATTATTTAAAATTTTTTTTTGGAAAATTGTTTTTGGTTCATCTTTTTAATAGTTTGAAAAAAATTATTTTTTTCTCCTTTTTTATTTTTGTCTATATTTTTTGTTTTTAATTTTCTTTGTTTGAATTTTTTGAAGGTACTATTGCGTTACATGGACAAATTAGAATATATTTAAAAAAAATGACCACTGTTACTCTCGTCGATGGGCCACGGTGGTATATGATCTTCAAGGGGAAGAGATCAGTTTGTAACTAAAGGGAATTTAGATTGCGTGAGGATCGAGGCAACCTTTCACTTTTTGACAGCAGCATCGACCTCTTCGTCCTGATCGTGTCTCTTTCTTTCACGAAACGCGTTGATCATGTCACTTTCGATCGTTTCGGAGGACGCGTGCTGACTTACGCGTGAAACTGACGAACCAAGAGTCATTATTTCATTGAGAAATTAACTACAAATTTTATCCTTTTCCAATTCAAGTAAATAACGATTTTTATATAGTATCACCACAATTTAATATGTGGAGAAAAAAAAACCTGCCTTGCGCAAGGAATCCACTAAAAAAGGTATAATTACTTTAAATTTGTGGAAATCAAGATAGACGATCCAATCGAAACGTATTATTAAAAAAAAAGAAAATTATTTCCATAATTAAAATTTTTTTCCATCTTTTTTAATTTAATTTTAATTTCGATTTTCAGAATTCAAAACTCGTCATATTTTTTTAATTAATAAAACAGAAGATTCTGATATGATTAAAAAAAATTTTCAATTGAATTATTTATCGAATGAAATTTGTTTTGGCAAAAAAGAATTTAATAATGAATATCGTTTTCTGACTTTCACAAATATTTTAGGCAATTAACATATGTTATGTGAAGGGCAATGAATGAAAGATTTTTCGAAACGATCGATTGTGTCTTCGATATAATTATAATAAACAATTTAAAAAAAAGTAGAATGAATTTTTAATTTGTTAAATAATTTTCTTAAAGATCAAACAAAAAAAATAGTTTGCCTTGAAAAATTACTTCCGAAAATAAAATATTTATTCTTTTTATATATATATTATGTTCGTTTTCGAAATCTTATGCAAATTTATTCATCATATTTAATGAATTTCCAACCAATACGACGTGAAGGTCGATTTTAAGAACCGCAATTTTTAGAAAGGCTTTGAAAACTAAATCTGATAATTAATATATATTGTATTTTTTTATAATTTAATAAAATTATATTGAAATTATAAATAAATATGATAGTTTTTGTATTCTTTATCAATTGAAAAGTTTTGCATATTTTTCAATACTATTGTACTATTATTAGGGGGAGGGAGTTATATACCCTGAGGGTATTATCTTGCATCCATTCTTGGATTACTCTTTTATAAGTTGACTCATTCGAGATTCGATCACTTGATTTCAAATGAAGGACAAATGATGCATTAGCCACTCGTTCCCCTGAGGATTTAAAATCAGAAGCAATTTGCAGGGTATATTATATAATTTTTATAAAATTACTGTAACCTTATTTTATTTTTATTTTTTTTTTTCAGCAAATTATTCAAAAATTTTCCACTATCAACCTCTGAGAAAATTAAAACCCAAACCAAATGGTTTTTTTTCATTTGTATTGAGATAATAGGATCCTTTTTTTGCATTTGTCGTATCTAATGCTCCCATAATTGCTCTACTTTTATTATTATTTAAACATTCGCCATTTTTAAATTTTTTATATGATTCACATTCAAGTGCAACAAAATTTTCACCTTCTTCTTCAATTTGTTCGGCTAAATATTTATAAGCACGACCATGTGAACATGCAGTGAAATATTCACCACTGCAACCATTTTGAAATGATCCACCATTTGGATAAAAATCATAATCACCAGTCACTGTTGGTGTTCCCAATAAACCTCCATTTGTATGTATTATTTCCACATAATGAGCATCATCATCAGATATTCTTTGACCATTGGCAAGACCAACAAAAAGAGGCCACGCTGGATCCAATCCTTGATGGGAAAATATTTCCAAATCAGATATAATTAATCAAGATTATTATATATGAGATGAAAAATAATGAATCGAAAAATTTTAATTTATTTTACAAATTAGATATTAGTGAATTTTCGTTGAATTTTTTTGAAAAAAATTTTTTTTTTTTACCTATTGTATGATTAACATTAGGTGTTGCTGTTTGACCAGCAAATCCCATGACATGTGATCCTAAAGAATGACCTACTAAAATTGTCGTATTAGGATTCATTCCATGTTTATATAAAAAGTTGATCAATTTTCCCAAATGGTTTCCAACTGATATAACCATTAGCCTTGCTATCGTGTACGATCCAATTGATAGAGGACTCCAATTGACAGTGATGACATTAAAGTCACGTTTTTTCAGATAAGCTGTAATTAAAAATAATTTTTTTTTTATTGCAGCAAATTAATTTTTTTGTTTGAGTCATCAAATGTAGAAAAATTAGCCAAAGTTTATTTAAATAAAAAAAATTTTTGCTTTAGCAAAAAAAAAAAAAGTACTAATTAGTTCAGTATTTTTAGTTATTGCTTTTTTCCAAAAGAAAAACCTTAAAAAATATTTATAGGTATACAATGGCAATTACCAGTTTAATTTTCAAGGTTTTAAAGATAAGCCTCAAAAACTGTAATTTTCAATAATTAGACATTTTAATAAATATTAAAATAAACTATACTATGAAATTTATTATCATGATAATTAAAAATATAAAAATATTTTATTAATAAAATATATTTGGAATGTAATATTTTATAAAAACATTTTTTTTAAATTCGAAAGTACTCTTTTTCTTTTGTAAATAGAAAATGCTAATTTTGTTCTATTTGATAAAAAAAAATTTTTGATATTAAAATTTTTACCGTCTCTCACAAGTGTTACAGATGTACCATTGGCAGATGTCATAAATCCATGAGTTATAAAAACCGTTGGTCGATTTGCATCAAAACGACTTTTCTTCAATTCATTCTCATCATCAACTTTCAATATATCAAAACTATTATTTCCATTTGTTTTGTCAAACAATGAAAAAGTAACTTTTTCATTTAAATTTGGACGTAAATTGAGTAAATTGAAATCTGGTATTTCCAATTTGAGTTTAAATGGTTTTTCAAAATCATCAAACATAAAAAGAATTTTATCCTTAAAATAATTGATTTGCTCTGTGAGAAATTTGGTAAGTGCCAATGGATTAAATGTCATTACTCCACCATTATTAATACCATCCAATGTAAGAATACCATTTAAATCACTTCCATTTAATGGATTTATTTCTTGTATTTTTTTAATACCCTTTGAACCTATTCCCATTATACTCGATGTTGATGGAATTGTACTAATAGATTTTTTTCTATATGAAAAAGGATTTCTCCAAAAACGCCAACCCCATCCATCTATATACATAAAAAAAAAAATTAAAAATTGTATTATTAATTATAAAAATTAATTAACAAATTTTATATTTTGAATATTACGTCTTAGTTTCCAGAAAAAACCTCTTCCACGATTATTATTGCGATATCGATATCGATATCCATATCGATAACGCCTACTTTCAATAACTATAATTTAAATTATCCATTTGTAAATAATATAATTGAATAATGAACAATAAACGATTTATATACAAATTGTTATTAATGGTTCATAAATAATTACATAAATAATACATAAATAATTTTTCTTTAATGACAAGTTGTTAAATGTACTTACCAACAGTTAATGCGCAAATTATTAAAAAGAATACTAGTAACTTCGTCCTCATTTTTTTTTTTTTTTGTAATAAAAAGTAGTAATTTTCGATTTATAATTGAATTTTTGAAATCGTTTCTATTAAATAAGTTTTTTTTTTCTCACTGAAATAAAAATAAAAATATTACATTATTTATAGTCATGCACGACGAGAATTTTTTTCTATTTTGTGATAAAGGAAAACAATTGTTTTTAATTTTTTTTTTGAGATTCTTTTTTGTGCGTCAGTATTTGAATATTTCAAATTTAAGTCCATAAAGTAAAATAAAATTGTAATTTATATATTAATATAAAATTATATTTAAAAAATTTTTATTATATTTAAAAACCTTAAAATTTGAAAAATTATGAAATTCTTGTAACACACTAACAACAATAGTGAATATGAATTTATTTAAATAGAAGACTCTTATCTGTGCCATATTATTTGTATAAGAATTATATGCACTTACATTTTAACTTGACAATGACCTTTCACATATTCATAAAATAATGTCCTATTTTAACAATTAACGACCATAACACACATTATTTATCTGTTATTGTTATTATTCAGTAAAAAAAAAGAAACAATTGCACGTCAACTCTGTTTCTATATTTTTGTTTTAAATTAATAGTGGTTCTCTTGATTAAATGAATACATATAATATAGAAAATCTATAAATCAATCGATAAACATCCGAGCTTCATGAGTCTCTTATCTATTAATGTAATTACATGCTAATCGGAAAATTTATTTTTAAAATCTTAATCAAAGACTGCAAAACTGATGTATCATTATATTATTTAACATTTATCATATGTTGGTGAGGTCGGGAAAATGACATCTTTTTTTCTTAATATATTGATTAAGAAATAAAAATATTTTTCATAGAAAAAAATTAGTATAAAAAATTAAAATAAATTCATTCTTTTTATGAGACATTTCGAAATTGAATTTCAAGAGAAAAATAGAATTTTGTTCGTTTGTTGTATAAAATTAATGAAAAAGTTTAATTGAATCTGATAAATTATAAAAACTTCTGTCTCTTGTTTGCGTAAAAAGAAAGGAATTTTCTCAAGAAAATACATGTATGTATTCAACTATAATCTTGATAATTACAGACTACAGAAAATTAATATTAACATCAAAAGATAATTAAAAAATTTACAAAAATGTTTTTTTTTCTAAAGTTCTCTAATTGCATTATTTTTTTCACATCTTCTGTTTAAATTTTTATATAAATTCAAACATCCTCCACCATATTAAATATTTTTTATTCTATTTTTTTTAATAGTAAAAAAACAATTTTATTTTTTTTTTTTTTTGGAAGGAAATAATTAATGTGTAAGTCTTCTAAAATTGGGCCCCATTCCATAAGGTGAATTGGCTCTTGTTTGAAGAAAATATTTTCCCTTTACCGCTGGAACACGTTCCAATTCACCCATTATTGTTATATTATTATCAGTACATTGTTTAGTTAAAAATTTTCCATATGATTCACATTGTAGTGCATAATATTCGGGACCTAATCTTAATAATTGTTCAGCTAAATATTTAAAAGAACGATTATGAGAGCATGCATCATATAATTCTGGTACGGTGCATCCATTTTGTAAAGTTCCTCCATTTGGATAAAAATCATAATCGCCAGTTGGTGTTGAAAAACCTAATACACCAGCATTTGTGTGTATAATTTCAACATAATTTGCATCGTCACTTGATATTCTTTGATTATTGTCAACCATACTGAATAACATTCTCGCTGGATCTAATCCTATAAAAAAAAAATTTTTTTTCTTCAGAAATTGAAAAATAATTTTTTTTTTATTCTTATAAATTATGAAATTATATCCAAGTATTTTTAGTTATTAAAAAATTTACTGATTGTAGATTGTATTTTATAGTCAATAATTATTATCACAGAAATAGTAATTAATTTTTATATTCACATACCAATTGTATGATTTACTTTTTGTGAACTAAATTTACCAGCAAAGCCCATAATCTGAGCACCTAAGGAATGACCAATTAAAATAGTTTTATCAATTTTCATATTATGATTTTCGACCAAAAAATTGATCATTTTTGCAATATATTTGCCTATAGCTGGTACCATAAGTCGAGCTGTTACATAAGGTTCTCTTGAAATTCTACTCCAGTCAACAGTAATTACATTAAAGTCTCTTGTGTTCAAAAAAGCTGTGTTGGAAAATAATACAAATTTTATTATTAATTAAAATTATTAATTATTAATTATTATTTATGAATTATAAAATATTATTTATTAATTATTAATTATTATTTAATAATTATTAATTTGATAATTAAATTACCGTCTCTAATCATTGTTACAGATACACCTTTATTCGAGCACAAAAATCCATGAGTTATAAAAACAGTGGATCTTGATGGACTAAAATGGCTAACATTGAATATTTCATTATTTCCAACTTCCAATGGATCGTAATGTGATTTATTATTTTTGGTAAAAAGATGAAAAAGTACAGTGGATTTATCTAAATCTTTTGTTAAATTTAATGCATTTAAATCGGGCATTGCTAAATTTAATTCTATTGGATTCTCAAAGTCATCATAAACATAAAAAAGCTGATCTTTAAATTTCTTTAATTCTCTTTCAATAACATTTTTTAATGTTTCTTTATCCATTCTTATGAGATCGTTAGGATTTTTTGGTTCTTCATCTTCATTACTCACGTCTTTGACAACAATAGTATCAATTAAATCAATTTCATCATTTAAATTATTATCATCAGTATTATTTTCAGTTTTAGAATTATTATTTAAATCATTTACAGTATTTGATTTTTTCTTCTTGTCATTCTTTCCAAATCCAAAAATACGTTTAATTCTATTTATGAAACGTCGAAAGAAACCTGGTTTCAATTTTTTCGAGTCCTGTTTTTTCTTTCCAAATCCAAAAAATCTTTTAATTCTGTTTATAAAACGTCTGAATAGACCTGGACGAGATTCTTTTGGATTTTTTTCATCTTTAATTGAATTATCATTAGAGTTTGACATATTTACAATACTATCTTCAATTTTAGGATTAAAAACATTATTTTGATCAGATTTTTTATTTCCAAATCCAAAAATACGTTTGATTCTATTTATAAAACGTCGAAATAGACCTGGTTTGGATGTTTTATTATTATCATTGCTAAAATTACTTTCAGCTGTTGATATTTCATTTGTATTTCTATATCCAAAAAAGCTTTTAATTTTATTTATAAAACGTCGAAATAGACCTGGTTTTGTTTTTTGTGAATTATAAGGATCATTTATGCGTCCTTTCTTTATTTGAATTGGAATATCCTTTTCATTATTGGAAGGTTTTACTTTTTTAACTTTTACTTTTAAAGCCTCACCTTTGAAGAACCATTTTTTCTTGGCTTTTTTAAAAACAATTGGCACATAAGTACCGTCACTTGGTACCATTGGTGGAGATTCGTTTTCAATTTTAAAATTTTCTCTTTTATGGGATATTTTATTTTCATTGGAAGAATTAATATCTTTATCTTGATTATTTATATTTTGATTGCCAACAATTTCTTTTTTTGAGTCGTCATCAATTTGAGGATTTTTCTCTTCAGATTGTATTCCATTTTTATCGAGTTGCATTTTATCATTTGGACCATTAGTTTTATTTATATGATTGGAGGAATTCTTATCACTTTTATCTTCTCTATTACTGGTATCAGTTACTGAATTATTAGAACTCATATCATCATCGTCATTTTCTAAATTATTGTTATCATCATTGGTAACGTTTTCTAAATTTTTGGTACTATTTTCTGTATCATTTGCAATAATTTCCGATTCAGTAATATTGTTTTCAGCATCATTGGTATTTTTATCACTTGTATCATTAGTAATATTGTCGATATCGTTTACTGAATCATTGCTACCAATTGTTTCTTGATTAATAGTTCCAATGTCGTCGGTACTGCTTGCTACATTATTGCTTTTGTTTTCTGTCTCATTTGTATCTGGAATATTGATGCGATTTTTTATATTTGTATTATCATCATTCTCATCTGTATTATCAATTTCTTCATTATTGCCATTATTTTCTTCTTCGGTTGTATCAGCCGAATTACCATCGGTAGATTTATTTGTACTATTTTCATCGTTACCATTTTCAATTGCATTACTATCATCATCTCCCGTAGCATAATTATCACCTGCTGCAATATTTTCTTCTGTATCAGAATCTAAATCATTGCTGTTTGTATCATTATTAAAATTGTCTTCTGAATTTTTGTTATCACTCGCTTTTGTTTCTTCATTGTCATCGGTTTCATTACCATTTGTATCATTTGTATCATTTGTATCATTTGTATCATTTGTATCATTTGAAATTATATTGCCATTAGCGTCAATTTCTTCATCAATGTTATCATTGTTTTCTGCACCATTTGTATCAATTGATGAATTACTATTCGTTTCTTTTGAATCAATATTTGTAATTGTATTAGTATTTTTATTGTCATTTTCTGTTGCATTATTATCGTGTTCGGTACCATTCATTCCATTTGCTTCATTACTTTTATCATTTTCTTCTGTATCAGAATCTGAATCATTACTTTCTGTAATATTTGTATCATTATTAATATTGTCTTTTGAATCATCTTTTGTACTAGTACCAGAACTATTTTCTTCTGTATCAGAATCTGAATCATCAATTTCTGTAATATTTTTATCATTATTAATATTTTCTTCTGTATCAGAATTTGAATCATTATTTTCTTTAATATTTGTATCATTATTATTAATATTTTCTTCTGAATCATTTTTTATACCAGTACCAGTACTATTTTCGTCTGTATCAAAATTTGAATCACCACTTTCTGTAATATTTATATTATTATTAATATTTTCTTCTGAATTTTTGTCATCACTCGTTGTATCATTTCCTAGATCATTTTTTGTTTTTGTTTCTCCATTGTCATCGTTCTCATTACCATTTGTATTGTCAGTTCGATTTTCTATAATATTTGTATTATCATCATTCTCTTCTGAATCACTATTAATATTTTCGTCTGTATCAAAATCTGAATCATTATTTTCTATAATATTTGTATCATTATCAATTTTGTCTTCTGAATTATCTTTTTTACTAGTACCAGTACTATTTTCATCTGTATCAGATTCTGAATCATTACTTTCTGTAATATTTTTATTATTATTAATATCGTATTCGAAATCATTGTCAACACTTGCTGTATTATTTATATTATTTTCTAGTCCATTAACTTCTTCATTGTCATCATTTACAAAATTATTGATATTATGTACAATATCATTGGTATTCATTCCATTATCATTATTTTCGGATTCACTATTACCACTTTCAGTATCATTTTTATCAAATTCTTTTTCGAAAACACCTTCATTATTGTTATTATTATTATTATTATTATTTTCATCTTTGTTTGAAGCTATATTACTATTTTCTGTATCATTTTTCGAATCATCATTATTTTCCAAATCAGTGGAATCAATACTTTGTAAAATATTTGTTCCATTATTTACATCATTTATATTATTATTCATGTTGTCATTATTTTGTTTTTTTGTATCATTACCTTTTGACATATTATTAATTTTATTTGTTTGACTACTGTTTCCATTATTTTTTCTTTTTTCATAAGAACCAATTCCGAGGGCATCTAAAAAATATAAAATTTTAACAATTATTCTTATAGAGGAAAGGGGTTAAATATTTTCATTTATTGAGAAATATATACTTCTCCAATTATTTATAAAAGGCTCAAATCCTAATGTTTTTTGAACACTTTTTCTTAAATCGATACTGTAAACTAAAAGCAGAATTTTAATAAAATTTTCTCAAAAATATAATAAGGATTTTTATAATTGAATAAAGAAATAATTCTTTTTAAATCATGTATTAAGAATTCTATTAATATATAATTTAATAAAGAAATAATTCTTTTTAAATCATATATTAAGAATTCTATTAATATTTTCATTATTATTAATAGTAAAAAGATGTTTATAAATTACCAATGGAAAATGCAGATAATATTCCAATCAAGAGTGCAATTTTTTTCATTTTTTAATTAATAAATGAAATTATTTTTTAAAAATTTTAATATTATTTTAAAAAATATATTCTTCACAATTCTACATTGAAAAAACAGTTCAGAAGGCATTTGCATACATATTGTAAAAAAAGTTAATATATTTTTTTAAAAAACGACGTCTTTATCTATATAATAGCATCATATTTTAAAAAATAAAAAATTATTGGCATTTTAATTATTGCAAGTAACCTTTTCTGTCTTTTCAGTGCCTTTATCAAAAATGATGAGCTTTTTTAAGTATTATAATTAGAGAAAAATGTACATTTACAAAATTTACAACAATTTAACTATTTATTTTACAAATATTGTAAAAAAAAACTAATAATTACCATTAAAAAAAGTAATCTCGACTATTTAAAAATAAGTTTTTTTTTAAAATTACCAATTACATTTTATTTAGAAATTAATTTATATAACAATTTTATTCGAAAAATTGCAAATTTAAATATTTTAGTTTTAATTTAAAAAATAGTTGTATCTTTAATTAATTAAATTTAATTTTTTCAGGAAATTTTCAAAAATTTTAACTTTTATATAGAAGATTATGAAGAGTCAAGCGCTTGCGCTTTTTGTTTGATAAGTTGAACATGCGCCCCTTTAACAAGGAAATTTCTGTCAGATAACATTGAAGGGTGATTTTCGACACGAGCAAAAATGTGAATTGAATAAAAAAAAAATGGCTAAAATGCAGTTTAAATCAACCTTGAATTTTACAAACAAAAATGCAATGGAAGAATAATTTTTGAAATTAGCTCCTGAGAAAGGTTTGTGAAAATTGATTTATTTAAATCGCCTTTTATTTTTGAGATAAATATTATGAAAACTAGTGTCAGTGAACTTTAATCAATATATATTATATGATATTTACGTTTTATCAATGAAAATATTAATATTCGTTCAAAAAAAAAATTATTTTTATTTTATCAAAATTATTTTTTCTTACAATACTGTTTTTTTCAATTGTAAAATATGATAATCAATGTTTTTTGTAAATATTATATTTACATATTAATTACTTGGATTATAATAAATTGAAAATTTGTTAATTAAAATTTAAAAATTTACAGATGGGGCTGAAATCTATTCATTATATATTATTTTTTCTTATTTGGAAAGTAAACATTCTTAATAGTCACAATGTACCCTGTGATTTTAATCCTATGTGCCTATGTTGGGTTCAAGATGATTCAGATTTTACAAAAATGGACATAAATTGTTTAGGTGTTCCATTTGCTAGATTTCCAGGTATGATTTGCAAATTTTTGTATTTTTTAAAATAATAATTATGTTTGTAATAATATTAATCAAATTTTTAGATGTTTCTGTAAGCTATATTGCACAATTGGATGTGGTTGGTTCAGGGATCCAAATTTTGGATAATGATGCATTAGCGAGTTCAACGAGTGTTGAAGCTCTTGGTTTAATGAGCAGTCAATTAATGAGTATCGGTGATAAAGCGTTGCAGTAAGTGTGTGTTTTTTTGTGAAAATTAAAATTACATAATAAGAAAATTTGTAAAAGAAAATAATTTTTTTTTGATTTTAGTGGAGTGTCCGACAGTCTTCGTTCATTAGACTTAAGTTACAATGCCCTGGAAGAGGTTCCATTCAAAGCTCTTTATAATTTAAGAAAATTAAATTGGCTTAATATGCACAGGTATTGAAAAATTTATTCTAAAAATTAAAATTTTTATTCTAGTTTAGAAAATTATTGAAATAAATTTCTTTTTAAACAGCAATCATTTGACATCTTTGGATGGTGATTGGGGAATGGTGAAAAATACTTTAGCCAGTGCTTTTTTTGGAGACAATTCAATAAGAGAAATTCCAAGATGTTTTGGAGATTTTGAATTTTTAGTATGGCTAAATTTGGATAACAATAATTTAGAAGAAATTATTGAATCATCACTACCTCCAAATATTCATACAATAAGTTTAAATAATAATTTATTGAAATCATTTCCAGCTAGTGTGAGAATTTTAAAAGAATTATCATTTCTCTATTTGGGAGGAAATGATATGAAAACGCTGGAATTACCCTATTTTCATAGTTCAAATTTGGAATTAATCGACGTAAGTGAGAATTCCATAGAAATTATGAAATTTATGGGTTATCCAAATCGTACACTATTTGTTAAAGATTTTAATCTCGCTAATAATAAACTTCAATATCTTCCTGCTGATATATTTCAATATATGGAGGTGAAAAGAATTTATTTGTCTTCCAATGGAATTCATACAATTAATGAAAATGCATTTCGAGGCTTGGAAGAAAGTTTGGAATATTTGAATCTTGAAAATAATGATATAAATGAAGTTCCAGAGGCTATAATGAATTTAAGAAGACTTTCATATTTATATCTAGCTAATAATGATATTAGTATTGTAAGAAATGATAGTTTTCTTGAATTTGCTGACAATTTGAAAGCAATTTCATTACAAACAAATCATCTTACTTCGATACCAGTTACTGCATTATCAAAATGTACAAATATTTTACATTTGAATTTGGGATATAATAAAATTTCCACAGTTGAACCTGGAAGTTTTGATTGGGCAGAAAATTTGGAAATTCTTTTATTGAGGAATAATATTATTTCAAAATTGGAAGCAGAGACATTTAAAGGTGCAAAAAAATTGAAAGAACTTAGCCTTTCATTTAATCATTTGACGGAATTGGAAATTGATGCATTTTTGGGAATAGGTGAAAATTTGGAAATATTGGAATTGAGCTTTGCATTTGCTACTGATGTTTTTCCACAAAAGGCACTTAGGCCACTTGTAAATCTAATGTGGCTTGTTTTAGATAACAATAATTTTCATACAATTGATCCAACATCATTTTATTCTCTACGTTTATTGAGATATATTAATCTTGAATCTAACAGGTAAATAAAATTAATAATTATTAGGTAAATTATTCTAATTTGTTTGAAATAAAAAAATTTCTTTTTTCTTCAGGCTCCATTATTTGCCGGAAATGATTTTTCTCTCTGACGTTCATCCGGAATTAAGAGACATTAAATTGGGATATAACTTCATAGAAGCAATTCCTGATGTTACATTTCATAATTTTACAGAATTAAGATCAATTGATTTATCTGGAAATCGTATTCGACATATTACTGCCAATTCAGTTGAAGATTGTCCAAAACTTTTGACAATATCACTGGCATACAATAGATTATCAAAAATGGATAAATATTCATTTTGTGGATTGAGCAGTTTACGATTTCTTCATCTCGAATTCAATAGATTAACTTCTTTGGATTTGGATGCAATTTTTGAAAGTGGAGATTCCGAATTTGCACTAAATGCCTCATATAATGCAATTTCAATTATAAATTCTGTTTTTCCAATGGAAAATTTGACACGACTTGATCTTGGATTCAATAATTTTACCCATTTTCCTGCTGAAGTTTTCAAAAATATGCCAAATTTAAAATTACTGGATGTGAGAAATAATTTTATAACGTCTCTAGATGCAGGTAAATGTTTATTTAAAAGAATAATTAAAAAAAAAAATTTTTTTTAATGTATTATTTTTTTTAGGTGTTTTTTCTTTGAAACAACTTGAGATTTTGAATCTTCGTGAGAATCGTCTTGAAACATTGAGAAAACAATCTTTTTACGGTCTTGAATCACTTCAAGAATTAGATTTAAGTATAAATCAAATTTTTCAACTCTCCACTGAACAATTTCGTTATTTAAAAAAATTACGAGTTTTAAATTTATCTCACAATAAATTACGTTCATTATCTCGTGATGTTTTTGAAGCAACAAGATTAGAAATTTTGGATATGAGTAATAATAAATTCACCGTTTTACCATCACCTTCATTTTTAGAAGTTGGCTATACACTTCGACATTTAAATTTAGCGGATAATTTAATTGATCATTTGGATTCAATGGTTTTTCCAATTTCACAATTAACATGGTTGAATCTTGCAAAAAATCGTATTACCATTCTTCCTGATAATTCATTTGTCTCATTAGGCAAACTTTTAACATTGAATATGTCACAAAATAGTCTTCAGGCAAATTTTAAAGAATTATTTCATTATCTTCCTGATTTGAGACAATTGTATTTAGCAAATTGTGGATTAAGAAAAGTTCCAATTCTTCCATTACCAACGTTAAGTACACTTGATTTGTCATTAAATCATATTAAAAGTATATCAGATAAAAATTTTCAAGATTTAGGATCGTTGAAAACTTTATTGTTGATCAACAATTCTCTAACTTCTATAAGTGGAATTCGATTGGGACTGTTGAGAGAATTAGACATATCGGGAAATCCAATAGAGGTGAGAAAAATTATATTTATTTGTAAACTAGTTTTAATATTTTTTTCTTTTTTTAATAGGAATTGTCAAGAGAGAGCTTTGTGGGATTAGCACGTTTGGAAAAGTTAAATTTAAAAAATTTGAATAGAACAACACACGTTGAGAAAGATTGTTTACGAAATTTGAAATATTTGAAACATTTAAGAGTCCAATCTTGGCCAGATGTGGCAGAATTTCATCTTCGTCATGTTCTTCAGGGATTACCTTTAAAAACCGTGGAAATACAAATGATGGAACATTATCTAAAGGATCAAATTCACAATACTTTTACAAAACAATTACGAGAGTTGACAATTACAGGCCACAATCTTGAAATGATTTCGCCTGATGCCTTTTCATCTATTGAAGGAGGGGATCTGATTCTTAGAATTAAGGACACTTCCGTTCGTAGATTACAGTCTGATATTTTTTTATCACTAACCAAACATTTATCACAGCTCACTCTCGATCTACGAAATAATCATATCAACGAATTAAGTCCATCTGTAATTTATGGAAATTTATCATGGGAGACAGTTGGAACCAATATGGTGGCTGGTAAATTATTTCGAAATTTTTTTTTATATACAACATTTATTTATTTCATTAAAAATCTTTTACATATTTTTTGTTGAATATTTTTCGGATTTAAAAATTTAACGAATTTGTATTACACTTTGTAAACTATCTAATCGGTAAATAGTTATTGTCCATTTTATACATAATCACCAAAAACGTCTTGCTGACACTTGGATAATTTAAAGCTTACACTAAAAAAGTTTCTTAATTACTAAACTGATGAGATGTTGATGATACGTTAGAATTATATACACTAAAAATAATAATAAAATTAATAACAATATTTTTTTTAGAAATTCAAAATTTTATCATCACGAATATTATCGATTTGAATTCGATTTGTTTGTATAAATTAATTTTAAAAAATTGATTTTAAAACTATTAATAATTTAAAAATAAACTTATAATCTAAAAAGTACTTTATAAGCATAATTGAGATATAATTTAGATATTATAAATATTAAAATGATGATTTTCAATGTTATAGATATAAAATTTCTATTTCCATTGTGAAAATTTCATCTAATCACATCATCTCTTTTCGGCGAGAGATTTTTTGCTGTAAAAAAAAAAGATGTACTTAATATTAATTTTTTTTTTTATTGCAGGTGGTTTACAAGTTTCCGGAAATCCATTGGAATGTGATTGTGAAATTGCCTGGTTGAGCTTGTGGCTAAGACGATGGCTTCGCGAATCGCGTCAAATTCACACAGCTTCACAATCTGATGCAAGACAACTGCGGACAATCGCAGGCCGAGCTGTTTGCACAGAAACAACACCATCATCGTCTTCAGATAAAGTTCTTCTCACTTTAGGAATACCACACACAGCGTGCCAGGCATCAGCTCTCAGTTCCGGAAATTATGAACGAATGGCTCGTACCTGGCTGACCATTGTCGAGTTTTTCATTTTAATACTCATAGCCAATTAATGCGCGAGAACATTGTAGAATCCATTATAATGATAACGCATTAATAATAAAAAAAAGGAAAGAAAGAGAAGCTATGAATAACCTCGCTAATTGAACCAAATTACTGGATTTCTAATAATCTCAAAACTGAGTTTTATTTTCCAGATTTAATCTCAGACTTTTTTTTGTTTTATAAAAAAAAAAAAATGTTTCTTTATGGTCTTTTATTTTTTATATTTTTGAGAAAAAAAAATCATACTGGAGGAGCTTGAGTGTGTTGAAGACAACCTTCAACATTTTCGGGCCAATCGCAAACATTTTCATTGGGATTGAAAACTAAATTTGCTGGACAGGGCATGTGATGTTTTCGTTCGCCCTCACACATATAGTACATTGTACAATCGTTTTTGTCCTTGTGATAAGAAATATGATTGTCCTCTTCATCGCAAGTGACTTCATTCGCTAAAAATTTAAATTATTATGTTTTATTTGAGTAGGAGAAAAAAGAAGTAAAAAAAAAAAATTAGTGAAAGGTCCTTACGATCTTTTGTAGTGTATTTTCCACTTCTTATATTTGCCTCATATGGACCATCGTACTCCAATTTAACGGAATAATCTGAAAGTTCTTTCTTCATGGCCTTGATCAATGGATATTTACCAGTTCCACAACTACCTCTGAAATCGTCCATGTCAACTGACCAGATCATGATACCGCCGAAGCCTTCTTCTTTCAACCATGTCATCTGATAATACAAAAAAAAATTCACAGGTATGTTTCTTTTTTGTTTAATTGAAATTTAAAAATTTGGAATAAAAAATTGGATTTAAAAATAGAATTTAAAAATAGGATTTAAAAATAGAATTCAAAAATAGGAATTTTCGAAAAAAAAGTTTACCTTATTTACGAGACTTCTTTCGTCATCAAATCCAACCCATTGATCATCTCGATAAGCAAATGGTACTTGCTGTTCGCTATCCCATACCAAAGTTGTGTTATCCTCGTTCAAAAAGCTACAAACCTGTTTTTAAACGAATGACGAAATTATTTTAAAGTGAAATTATATTTTGAAAATTAGAATTGGTTTTTGTTTTTTTAATTTACCTCGTAGTAGGACAAGAAACCAGGTTCATTAGTGAAGTTTCCTGCAGTTCCACCTCCTGATGCTGGAGCACCAATGTCAAATTTATCCTTATCAACAAGAGTGAAAGATCTACCATAGGTTGGCATACCAATCATTAATTTTTCCTTTGGTGCACCTTGTTTAACCCATTCACGGGCACTGAAATCCTAAAATTAGATTTTGAAATAACGGTTTTAAAATTTTTATAACAGGGGTTTCGTTTTCTGGTTTTCGATTTTTTTAAAATTTCTGTTTTCTGCCATCCGTGTTAAAAAACAATTTTTTTAGAATTTTGCCATAAATTCTATAATAAACGTTCTAACAGAGGAATTTTGAGAGACAAAAAAAATTAAAACTTTTCAGAATTATTCGGTTAAAAATTTTTTTATAGCCAAGACAGAAAACTATGAAAAAGGAGAAACCGTAAATTAAATTGTAATAATGACAATTACCACAGTTAGTTTCTTTTGATAGCTTGTGGCACTTTCAAGTGGAAACAGTGGACTATTGTGTCCAACTTGCCTTTCCCATTGACCATGAAAGTCATACGTCATGACGTTAATGAAGTCTAAATACTTGGATATTTCTGGAACGTCATATCTGCAATTAAAATTTCAAAAATCTCAATTAGAAAGTTGAAATTAAAATTGGTAATTAAAAAAAAAAAAAAAGATTTTAATTACCCAGCGGCAATTGCTTCAAAACTTGCAGGCACAGCAGCAGAAAGAATAAGTTTTGGTTCACCGGAACTTTTTGCTTCTCCCTCAAAAGCCATTCTTAATTCTTTTAATAAATTAACATAGGCTGTTCGATCGTCAGCACCTCTATAAATATCGAAATAATTAAATTATTATTGGAAATATTTAAATTTGAAATTTAAAAATTTATTTTCAGTTAAAACAGTTTTTTTTTATTTTAAATTTTGTAATACTTTATTTAAATGTTTTTCGAAGTAAATTTCTTTTTATACCGTGGATATTCCCAGTCAACGTCTAGACCGTCAAATTTATATTCTCTGAGAAATTCAATAGCTTCGTAGACAAATTGATTCATGCGGAAAGTATTGCCAGTGAGTTCCTTAAATGGAGTGGAACCGAAAGCCCAACCGCCGATTGCCAGAAGAATCTTTATATATATATAACAAAAGAAAGTTTTCTCAGTTTAAAAAATTACTCGTTAATTAAAGAGACGTTAAATGAGACGTAACAATAAATTAAGAGAATTATCAATGAAAATTTGCATATCAGTTCGTTGAACTTGATAATTTGAAAATAGTATTTAGAAAGTCTAATTAAATGACAGCTTTTAAATTGAAAAATAATTTTTTTCGTTTTATTTAAAAAAAAAAAAATCATACCTTGATGTCAGGATTCTTTTCACGCAATTCAATCAAGCGTTTATACATTTCAACATCTTTATCATTGCCTTCGGAGAGTAAATGATTTTTCAGTGTAGCAAAGGCGTAAATAATGTGGGTACATAGAGTGGGATCAATATCTTCAGGTAAAAATTTTCCAATTCCCGGTCGTTTATGAGACCAATTTGTCAAATAACAAATTGTCTGAGCTTCTCTTTCTGATAAAAAAAGAATGTAATTAAAAATGTATCTTTTCCAAGACAAAATTCTAAATAATTAGTAAAAAAAAAAATTTTATGTTCATTAATTTAGAATTAAAAAAAAAAAATTACCACGACTTGGTGTACTGATGACTAATTGTGTGGGTTTTTGAATTTTTTTCGTTTTACTAAGTACTTCAGCGAGTGATATTTTATAGGGTTCGGGTTTTTTAACAATTGTTTCGGTTATTGTTGTTGCAACTGCACTCCAATCAACATCTTTGGTATTAACGCCTCGTGAAACACCACGTAGCTCTTCTCTCATAGCACCAATTAATGGATATTTCACATTGCCAACACAAACTGTACCATTAAAATCGTCCATATCGACAGTCCACACCATAGCACCACCATATCCTTTGTCCTTGATCCAATGCATTTTATGTCTTATGGATCTTTCATCATCGAATCCTACCCATTGATCGTGATCCACTAAGTAGGGTACTTTCATCTCTTCGTCCCAAATGTAGGCTGCTCCATTTTGCAATAACTCACAAATCTGTTATACAAAAAAAAAAAAGATTCATTTAACATATGTGGTAATATTAGCGCAATTATTATAAATATTAGCTCTATTGAACACTAATTAGTTTATGTAATAAAATTTATAAGAGTAATTTCAACAACCGTATAATTCATTAAATATTATTTTAGAAATATTATTAAAAAAGATATATTTGTATAAAAGTTTTGAAAGTTACAAAATTGAAGGCGAAATTTCCACTTTAATCAGTTTTTGTGTTACGTAAATGAAGTCTTTGACCTCGTAATAAGTTTAAGGTCTTTTATGTCAAGAAAAAAATATTTTACAAAGAAAAAGTAGAAATTTAATGTTTCTTGAATTCAATGAAAATTAAGAGAGGATAAAATTTTAGATTTTATCCAATATTTTTATAATTCAGTGATTCGTTTTAAGTAGAAAATGTCGTTTTTGGTCAGACACTCAGCACTGGTATTTCTTCAATAAATAAGGCATTTTAATTTGAAATTAATTTTTTTTTCAAACGTTAAAAAAAATTTACCTGGCACAGCGAAAGGTTTCACTAGAATAGTAAAAGATTTAACTGAAACAATAAAAATTTTTGCTATTCTAAATAAAATCTTTCGCTGTTTTAGATAAATATTTTTTTCCGTTTTTTATAGAAACTAATATTCCATTAAATTTTCTTCAATAGTATATGAAACTAAAATAGAAAATTTTTGAATTTAAAAAAATAATAATTAAAAAAAGTAATTAAAAAAATAATATTTTAATAAATCAAACAAATAAAAAAAAATAGATAAAAAATAAATAAAATATTACTGTATCTAGCGGTATGCATAAAAAAACAACTGATTGACCTCGTAATAAGCGAGAAATCCAGATTCTTTTGTATATTCTCCAGCTTTACCACCTCCACTCGCGGGAGAATGAACTCTGAAGTTACTTGGATTAGATAAAGTGAAAGAACGTCCATAAGTGGGCATTCCAATAATAAGTTTTTCCTTTGGTGTTCCCAATCGTACCCACATTGATGCTGCATTATCAACGCTTAATTGTTTTTGCCATTCTGAATCAAGTGATGATGAATAAAGTGGAGCATTGTGTCCAGTTTCCCTTTCCCATTTACCATGAAAATCGTAAGCCATCAAATTTATAAAATCAAGATAACTGCAAAAAAATATAAATAATTTTTATTTTTTCAGATATAATTTGAAATAATTCCGAACAAAATTGACCAAAATTATACGTAAATTGTATAAATATGTAAAGTGTTAGATTTTTTTTTTTTTTAAATAGAAAACTACGTCAAGAAAACTTGATGTCAACGCAATATTCGAAATGTCAAGTTGTGTATTGAATATTGCTCAATATATAATAGAACATTACCGGTTTTTGTATAAAAAAAACTCAACGTGCTATTTCTAATTTTCTTGTAATATAAAATTTAGTTTACTTTAACAAATTACGTTAATTACACTTTATTATATTATTCAAGTTAACGTTTGATTTTGACCTTTCTTATTGGTGATTCTCTGATTTTATCTCTAATTGTATCCTCTCAATTATTTTAATTACTTATCAATTACTATTATTTTATAACAATTTATTACAATTATTTATTTATTTTAATTATTTTACAATATTATTTAAATTATTATTATTTAACATTTTTTTAAAAAATAAACTCATATTAAAGTGAGAGAAAAAAGAGATAAAGAATTTAAAGAATGCACGCGTTGAATTTTAACCCTCTTAAAAAAGGTTATCAGAAAATAAGTAGTTGACCCTGTGTAATGATAATTATTACACTAATAAAGATGAAAATTTTAATTTCTGTTTCTGTATAAAATCATCTTATCTCTTTTATTTATATTGTTTCTCAATTACCTGGCAACTGCTGGAACGTCGTAACCAGCTTTAACGTTATCTGGTCCAACTGGTACAGCGGCAGTTAGCAATAATCGTGGTTTTTTCTTTTCTTGAGCTTCAGCTTCAAAAGCTTCTCTAAGTTCTAGAATTAAATTTTTTTTATTATATTATACTTGAAAAATAATTGAATTTTTAATATAAAATTTTAATTATTTTATAGATATTTAAATTAAGATTTAAAATTTATTATTTTTTGAAAATTATTTTACCTTTTAACATTAGAACATAATTTTTTTTATCGTCACCGCCTTTTGGATATTCCCAATCAATATCTAATCCATCGAAATCTCTATCTCGTAAATAAGGTATGGCACTATAGATAAATGTTTGTCTTGCATATCGTGTCGCAGACATGTCCTTGAATTTTTGTGTACCAAAGGACCATCCACCTGTGAGAAAAATTTTATATAAATTAAATAAATTTTTTTCACTCCAAAAATTATAAATTATTAAAACTGAAAAATTATGCGTACCAATAGCGAGAAGAATTTTGAGTGAAGGATTTGCTTTTTTTAATGTCATTATTCTTTCATAAAGTCCAAGTTTTCCATCTTTTGTCTCATCGTTCGATTCAAAACTAGTTAATTTATTTTTCTTCAGCCAACCAAATGCAAAAATAATATGTGTACATAAATCTGGTTGAATATCTTCGGGCATGAATTTTCCCGTTTTTGTTCGATACTGCGACCAATTTGTGTAATAACACACAATCTATAGAAAAGATTTTTTTTATTATTATTATTACTTTTATAATTTTTTTTTTTCAATAAAAAGAAAATTATTTTTTTCTAATTATAAAAGAAAGACAATTTTTTGAATATATATTGATATAAAAAAAATCTTAAATCTATGGGATTCTAGAATATAAAATAAATGCAGTAGGATAATTAAATTCTAGATACAAAGTTATACTATTGCATAGTGAATAATTTACAATCGATTACTCCGCTAAAGCTGAGCATTTATTATTATTTTCTCTCGTAATTTTCTATTACTTCTGGTATGCAGAATAATTGTTGTTTTATTTTTTTTTTTGCAATCACCTTGTAATCGTCTATCGGCTTTCCAGGTTGCAATTCATTTTTCGTGTTCTTCGTGCTGACTCGATTCCGAGTTAATTTTGGTCTATTAACACTCGCTGAAACCTCTTGATCATTTGTTAGTGAGGGACTCGATGTCGTTGGCCGACGGAATCTTTTTCTTGCACCTAAATTTTTTTTTTTTTTTTTATTTTAACCAAATAATAAAAAATAATAAAAACAATTATTATAAAAATTATTATTTTTATAATTAAATAGAATTTATTAAATAGAAATAAATTAAATAATAATAATAAATTAATTTTAATTAAATAAATAAATTTATTAGATAAATATTAACTAGATAAAAAAAATAATAAAAAAGCAAAAAAAAAATATAGATAATACCTTCTGCATTTTCGGTGCATCCAATCCATAACACGAATAGACATAATAAAACGATCGTTGAAATTCTCGTCACCTGAAAATGATAATAATCATATTGTTTACTCAAAATTAAAACTCTCTTTTTTCTCTTGACCTCTCCAATATATATATATATATTAATTATTATTGTAAAACTTTCATAGTGATTAAACAAAAAAAATCATAGTTTCCTGCACGAGAAAACAATGGTACGAATTAAAATTAAGATTTCTCACATAATTATTATTTATTTCAATACGCGTTCCTAAGCAATAATTATAGAACTTAGAATATTATTATCTTTCTCAAGGATCAATTTTTTAACACCAATTCTCTTGTGTTATTAACATCGAGAGAATTCACAATTAATTTAATAGAGCAATTTGTAATTTATTCATTATAGAAAATGTCTTTAAAGAAGTCTTCTTTCTTTTATATATATTCTACCTACCTGATGTTTACGTTTTTTTTCTCTTCTGCTCACAAGAGAAATATATATGTGACACGAGAAAAGGGACCTTATGGTAAAGAAATTTTACTTTATATCTAGTGCTAGTTTTATATTGATAAAAAGTTTCTAATTAATTAGGTAGATTAATTAATTAATTTTTACTAGGGAATAAGTAAAATAATGATGTATATATAGATTTAATTATAATTAAAATTAGTATAAACTTTCGCTCTTTTAATAAGTTTTTTCAAAAATTCAAAATAGTTCCAAATATAGTCACGTGACCCGATGGTAGCGCTCCTAGTGTTCATAATTGGTAATACTAAACATTGCGCAGTGTTAAATTTAAATAGTCTCTGCTTAACCCGCAAGAGGTCAGTAGTGAAAAAGAAGAAAACGAAGAAGAAATTAGAGAAATTTCTTCCGTTTTGTCAAATAGTTTTATAAATGTTTGTAAGTAGGTATCAAGTGCATTTGTTTAAATTGAAAAAAGTTATTAAAGTGTTAAAATTTGAAATTATTAAGATCATTTTACTGTTGGTGATGTTCAACAATTATCATCATTTCCAGCACTTTGTGAGTATACATACCCATTATATGTATACACATTTTGAAGTTGCATTTTTTATAGAAAGTACAAATTTGTATCATAAATATTATTTTCGTGCACAGCTGATTAAATATTTTAACATATTTAGCTATTTCTGTCAATTAAACTAACCTAAAAATTGACAGTGTAGGTATTTTTTTTCAAAAATTCTTTTTTGCTTGCAAATGGAAAGTAAGTTCTTTTATACAATGAATATTGTGTACAAAACAAAAAAAAATTACTAATTCAGATTTAGGGAGTTAATTATTATTTGTTAATATGTAATCTCAACTTAAAAATTCAATACTTTCACTATTTATAATTATAATGAAAAGCAAATTTATTTAAAATGCATTTATTTTAATATTTTTGAAACGTGATTTATAATAATTAAAATACGATAAGCGGAAGGAAATCATAATGAAAATATTGACTCTGAATAAACGAAAAATTTAATTAAAAAAAATAATGCTTCTTCAATTTCGACAGTTTAAATATTGATTAGGTATTCAAGTTACTCAATAGTAAATATAGATTTTAGATCTTTATTTATTGTTACAATAAATTATGTATAGGTAAATGAACGTTGTTATATCTATAATCTAAAAAATGGTGATAAATTAAATAGACTTCGCAGAGTATAAAATAATATATATAAAAGTTACATAATAATTTCTTATCTTTAGAGAATTATAAAATATAAACAGACTCTTCTTTAAAATGCCATCACACATGTTTCTCTATGTACACCAGAATAAAAAATGTTGAATAGTATAAACAATTCGTTTTGCAATTCTTAGTTCATAACCGGCATGTTATAAGATTATGTATACAAGATATACAGATAAGTTAGCATCATTGTATTATCGGGATATATTTTAAAGATAAAAATCAATCAGAATTCTGCAGCTCGCTAATTCGACCTATATATACATGACGTAAAAATCTTTAATTTATTCTTTCTTTTTTTTCACTAGAATTCAGGTATGTAATTTTTTCACGATCCACTACCTTTTCGCATAGTTAATTTGCACATGACTGCACTCTTTTACCTTCCGGTATATTACGAAAGGTTTCATGTTTTTAGAAAATTTGGTTTTATCAAAAAAAAAAAAATAAATGTATACAAGTAAAGATTGTAAAAAAAAGGAAAATAATTTATTTAATTAAAATTGAAATATTATTTTTTCTTCTGTTATATTTTATTGAAGAATCTCTCGTTCGAGATGAGAGGAATTTCAAGTGTAATTTAAATCATTTCCTGTTAATGAAGAGGAAGACTTTCTAACAAAGTTATTCCCATTGAGGAAGAAGTAGAATTGCAATTCAAATCTTATCTGTAAAAGTGAATACTTTCTATTATATAAATAAAGTTATTGCTAATAAGAAGTTCAATTACACTACTGGTCGACACGATTTTGGCCTCTTAAAGAAAATGAAAGTGTTTCGGGTAGATTTACTTTAAAAATATTGTTTTTCAAATGTTGATTTACATCGATGCTAAAGAATTGATATTTCTTATATATACACTCAAAGAAATTTTTTACTTGCATTTGAGACAAAATTTATTTTAATTAAATAAAAAATATAGAGCCTAATAACTTTATTTTTGTTTTAATTAAATTATATTTAGCGTAAATAAAATTTATTTAAACCAACAAAAATTTGTTTAAAGCAAAAAATTTATTTTATAAGTTAAATTTTTATTTGTTGAAAATAAATTTTATTTTAGGCAAATAAAATTTTTATTTACACTAATAAAAAATTTATTTGATTTAAATAATCGGTTACTTAACATTACCAAATAAATATTTACTTGAAACAGATAATTTTTGAAATAATTGAATTAAATAAACTGTATTTGAACCAATAATTTCTGTATTTCAGGGTTGCCAAGGGTCAGGAAAATCAGGGAATAAAATGTACTGGAAAAATATCTAAAAATGGTACTGTATTATCTTTGAATTGACTGCGTATAAAAAGTTTCGTCAATTTTGCAATATGGTTATTGCATGACTACTGACTTGAAAAATATTTGTAATAAGACATTAAGATTGAATTCACTTGTTAATTATAATTAATAATAGAGAACGATCTGTTTATTCTGATTAAAAAAAAAAAGTGGAAGGCAATTTTTTAAATTAAGATTTTTTAATTATTAATTTTTTAATTTTTTTTTTTTTATTTTTCAATTTTTTTATTGAGTCTTAAGATAATATTCATTTCCAAAGTGAGAAAATTAAATTTGTAATTGAGAATACTTTAGAAATCTCAGAAACCGCTCTCTAGACATATATACATTCTATAGACTCGTATTCTGCATTCGTACAACGTGGGTGCACGTTGATCTACTCCGGAGGATATTTTATATGTGAGGAACGATGTGTTGCATGCAAATTGAGAAATGTCATCGACACATTAATTTTCCCATCATTTATCTCCATTTAAGATAAAAGGGTTCTTTTTAAGTTAGGTTGATATTTCGTTTTACCAATAAAAATGCACATGACAGTTTTGGTAGTTACATTGCACTCTTTACGTAATTTTCGTGTAAGACAAAATGTGATGTAATCGATTTGTAACTGGCAATGGGTCACGTGATGATAAAAAGTCACGATATTCGTGTTCACTTATGTGGATATTATGTAAAGAAGTTTATAATGATGTCACAGAAATGCAGTTCATGTGACTTTTGAAAGCGATTACTCTTATAAGATGACACAATTATCATATTAGGATTTTTAATTTTAAAATTTAAATTTTTTTTTAAATTTCATTTATTAATATAGATAATTAACGATATGAAATAATTTTAATACGCGGAAAAAAATTCCCTATGGAATAGGACAAAAAGAAAATTGTAAAAAAGAAATTTTGCTATAATTTTTAATTATGCAGCCTCAACGAGAATTTTTTTTTTTTTTTGAGTGACCATCCGTAACAAATTTCACTCTCAGATTCACTTCTCTATAATCATTTACATATATATAATCTGTGAAAATGTGTTCAACATTAATTAAAGTTCATTAAAACAACATAGATGCAAATTGGTAAATTACACGAATACATTGTTTAATTAAAAACAAGGCTTATTTAATTTTACCGGATATATTGTTTTGCTTTAAATATGGAAATTAATTTTTTTTTAGAGAGTTCATAAATATAAAAAAAAAAATCCGTAAATTTTTTTTAAGAAAATAAAAAAAAAATTATAGACATATAAAATTTTGGAAAAAGTTGATAACTTTCTTCTTAATGAATAAATGATATGGCTATTACTTTTACATATATATAATATTTATTCATGTAATGTCAGACAAATTCCTTTCTAACATATTATATTATATTTATGTATCAATATAAAGCAGCAGCAGATTTTGTAGTGATATAGGATTATCGTTAGAAAGTCATCTAAAGACGGATGCTTGACCGACTAATACTATCCATCCGGGTTTAAGTTTCAATTTTTCTTAAATAAAAAAAAAAATTATTTTTACTTGTATTTTTTACAAATTCCTATAGTTAAAGTCTAGACATTAATATTAAAAATGCTATTTATCAGCCGCAAATTGAAAAAATTATATAAATATTTACCTTATAATTTTGTTCCGTTAAAGAAAAAAAAAAAAAAAAGGAATAAATGAACTTGAAACATATAATAAAGAAGTTGGTAATCTCATTTATAATTAGACTAATTTTGTGTAAGAGAGAAAACGTGCACAGAGAATTAAGGTATATACATTTTTTTACAATTGAAAGTAAACTCTTAGAATAGAAATAATTATTTTAAAACATGTTTTTGTAGTAAAATGAGAGTTTGTTTCTATTCCTGATGTTTAACTTTTTTTTGCTGGCCATTAAATAATTTCTGCTAATTTATCACTTTTTTGCTCATGTAAAGTTTTACAAGCTATTTTTAATTGTAAAAACTGTTGATCCTTCGGGAGGATTAATTCTATATTTGTTTCGATTTCCGACTATGTACAAATAAATAAATAAATTAAAAAAAAAAGATACTCTCAGTCGAAAGTAAGAAGCAGAGCGATCGTCAAAAGGAAAGCTAAGCTCGAATATAAGTAGTGGGAAACGAGTCGCAGTTTACGGTACTTTCGAGTTGAACATAAAAGCGTTTATACATATATACACATATATTTATATATATATATATAACATTGTATAAAGGCGTGGTCCTCTTATTAGTTATTATCCTCCAAGTGTGCACTCATTTTCAGATTTACATTAATGCCCGAGAAACCTACACTTTTTTTATTATTAATTTCGCTCTTGCAGTATAATTCATTTGTTTCGCCTTTGAACAGAATTTTACTGCATAAATCAAACATTTTATTTGTCATATTGTATATTGCTTTACGCATTTTTGCAATCTTTTATAATTCTATCTATAACATGAAAACTATTTTTTCCTACTGAACTGAAAAAAAATTTATTTGATTCAAATAATCGGTTATTTCAACCATAATAATTTTTTTAAAAATTAAAATACATTTTATTTGACCCAAACAATTTTTATTTGAATTAAGTAAATTTTATTTGAACTAAATTAATTTTGTTTAAATTATTTTAATCAAATCATTTTTATTTGAATTAAATAAATTTTATTTGAACTAAATAATTTTTATTTTAATTAAAGAAATTTTAATTGAATCAAATAATTTTTATTTTTATTAAATAAATTGTATCTGAACGAATAATTTCTGTATTTGAAATAAATACCATTTAATTGACTCAAATAATAATTATTTAATACAAATATATTATTTAATAATAATCAAGTAACCGATATTATTTCAACAAAATAAATTTATTTTCCAATTTTATATAAAAATTTTCCTTCAACCAGATAAATATTTTATTTGAGGTAAATAAAATTTATTTCAATTAAATAAAAATATATTTATCTAATAACTTTTTATTTGTTTCAAATCAAAAATTTAATTTAATAAAAATAAATTTCTATTTAGAGCAAATAAAATTTTTTATTTAAACCAAAATTCATTTAAAAAAAAAAAAAATTGGCTCTAAGAGAAATAATTTCTCCGAGTGTATTATCTAAAAATTAAAAAAATTGCAATATTCAATATTAAAATAGTTATTAAGAAGGTTCATTTTCACTTTTGTAACAATTATGACAGTAATTTTTTCATTGGTGAATTATATACGCTGCTATATATATATATATATATATATATATATATATTGCGAAAACCGGATTATTCGCGTGTGAGAAACAATGTCTTCTTAAAAAAAGATTATTCCTTTGCAAAAAAAAAGGAGTTCGAACTTTTGCAGTGTAATGACTCTCTTGTCTCTCCTACCTTCACTTTTTTTTTCTTTTCTTTAACTTTGCCTCTTTTTATGGTCGCTCGGTTACTCATAGTATACTTATATTCATAAAATTCCCTTGCGCAATTTTTATACAAGAGAGCAAGTATTTCTGTAGCGCGAGAAGTAGATTGTTGTCTATAGATTTGTTTCTGTTATTATACCAAGATGAGGGAAAGGGTTGTTGGCTCAAGGATCAAGGGGTGTGCTATATAGTACATATAATAATAACCGATGTGATTCTTAACACTTCAATGATTACAAACTAGAACAGTGAATAAAAAGCAAAAAAAAAGAAAAGTGTTGGCGTGCGAATCGATCTTGGAAAACTACATTTAATTTTCCTTTTCGCTTCACTAATGGAAAATTTCTCAAAATTTTCTTATAACATTTCATTGGTAAAAAATTATCTTTTTTCTTGAATAATTTATTTTTCTCTATCCAATAATGACGTCATTAACTTGATTTATAAGAAAACATAAAATTAAAATCTAGATATATATATATATGCGTAGACGAGTTACAAAAACGTGTTTCCTCAAGAAAATTATAATTCAACAGTTTTTACTATGATTTCTCGATTTAGAAGAAAAGTCACCTAAATGGAAATAAAAGTGACAGATTCTCAGTATGAAAATTTCACTGCGATGTAAACTGAAAAAAAAGATTAAATAATAAATTAAGTAGTTATTTTATAAAAACTAACAGTGATATTAGATAATGTAAAAAAATTACATCGTTATGTGACTATGTTTTAAGTTTTGTATTTTCACTTTAAAAATCACAAACTTAACCTAAAATTTTGTTTACCCTTTTACTCGTGGAGTATCAAATTTTTGTTTTTTTTCAGGTAAAATATATTTAAAAGAAGAGGAATAATAAGAAGAAAAAGGATAATCTTCACTTCACTCTCCCCCTTTTAAAAGTTAAAAGCAACACCAAGATGACAAATAGTCCGACTGTCTGTAAACTTCAAGGTCGAGTGACGAAGAAACGTGCAGCACCTCCACCTCTGTGAGAACAGTGAATTATACATGCCGGCACAATTCATGTAAGTCTCTTTCTACTTCGCACAAATCACTTTTCAATGTCTTTCTTTTCACAAGACATTCTATCCCTTAGATTTAACATAAAATATATTGTTTCTTATATGCAAACAAATAGCTATAAAAAAAAATTTATAGCCATAAACTTTCTTTTGTGTTCTGGAATTGTTTTTTTTTCAATTTAAAGAGTCTAGAAAATACAATAATGGGAGAAAAAAATTTTTGGAGTTAAAAAATAGTAAATTATCTCCCTTCCTCTTCTGTCCCTCTGTTTCCTACGCCACTGTTGTAGATTGTTGTCGCGATTCAAACATAATATAAGAAGTGATTCTTGTTTCGCGTAACACAATACCTTTCCATTTGTTTTTCTTTAACAAAAAAGACGCAATTCGCCCACGACTAATGTGTCAGTATCAGTATCTGACACTCATTGTTACCAATCATAAGTGCATTGCCCTTCTCTCTTACAATGAGATCGTCTATTTTGTTTTTAACTCAATGTGAGTATGACTAATACATTTTTTTTCGCATTTCTAAATTAGTAAAAATGTAAAATTCAAAAAATAACAAAAACATAACCTACTATCGTCAAATAAATATTTTCTTAAAATAAGTTTTGAGTCAAATTTTACTTGCTTCAAATACATAAATTATTGATTTAAATATAGTAGGTGATTTAAATAATTTTTTCAGTATTTTTATAATGTAAAGTATGTTATTAATCTTAAATTTCTTCCTAGTCCTATATCGACTTTCTTTCCTTTCATTTTTCTTTCATTTATAAAGTCCCGTACGGTAGACCTCGATTTACATTTCTCGAAAAATTAGTTTTTTTTTCTGACACAGGACTGTTAATCTAGTTTGAGAAAAAAAATGAAACTAATATTTTATTATAATGACCAAAAGAAGGAAAAGATGTCTTATTAGAAATCAAAATAATTTTCTAGAAAGTTACGCATCCTCGTAATCTGTTAACCTATAATTTCATTTATGTATAACGCATTGCATCTACCACTACGTAATTACTCTCATTAACACACCTTGTATATAATTTTTTTTCTTTTTTTACTTTAAAATGCGCATTGTTCATCATATAAACATACATGTGTCTTCTAATATTCGCTCATTAAAACATTTCTTATTTTTTACGCGGATATAATTTTTTTTTTTTTAATAAGTGTTAACTTTTCTCTAGGAAATGTTTTTTTACAAATGTAGGTCAATTATTCAAATAATATCATTAGTTATCTTAGCTAATATTTTAGTACACTGAAAAAAACATTATTTAATTCAAATAATAATCGGTTACTTAACTATCAAATAAGTATTTCATTGGATCAGATAATTTTTGAAACCAAATAATTGAATTAAATAAACTGTATTTGAACCAATAATTTCTGTATTTCAGGGCTGCCAAGGATCAGGGAAATCATAGGGAAAGCACTGGAAAAATATCAAATTTCTAAAAATGATACTAAAAATATAATTTTTGAAGTTTTCAATTCAAAATTTTGCTTTTAAAAATTAATTTTTTATAAAACATAATCAGATGAAAACAAAATATATTTGTATTTAAAACAAATACCATCTCAAATAATATAATTATTTAATACAAATAAATATTTATTTGATAATAATCATTTAAGCAATTTGAATCATATAAATTTTTTTTTAAGTGTACCATAACAAAAAATTATAATTAACTTATTTTTCTCCGTGTAAAATTATAATATTTGAATGAACTATAATAAAATTAATTACAATCATAAAATTCATAATATATAATGGAATAATTAATTTATAATACAAAAATTTTTCGATTATAAAAATATATAAATTTTCTGAATGAAATTTTTTAATAATATAATATAAAAATTAGTGTTCGTCTTGAAAATATCTCATCATCGAATCTACACGATAGGAGGTCACTTTCTAATAAACGGTGTAAAACGAACTGACCGCGTAACCCGCGCCCGCGATTGGACACGCGGACATGATACTGCCACTCTCTGACATTGAAAACGAACTTGCTTTCATCGTCGTTCTTTGACTTCAATATATCTTTCGTAGGGTCCAACTTTTTTTTTGATCTTATTGTCCTTCCATCTTGTATATATATATATATATATATGTATATAAGATAAATATAAAAAGCAGATAACGATATATCCGACCTTCACAAAAACGAACCTTGTAATTCACTTCTACCTGATTTTATTTCGATTTTGTATATATAGGTACACATATTCACATATACAAATATTATAAAAAGATTTAAGAATATTCATATATATAATTTGTAGATTATTATCGAATATAAAATGAATTCAACCGGACTTGTTATATTCTTTGTCTTTTGTATAATTTATATATATTTCGAACAACTTTGTATATAGACATTCAAACACGATTTTCATTTTTACGATGTAATAATAAATTGGTAAAGTTGTTTATAAAATCAAATATATATGTTTTAGTCTTTTTGAAACTGAATTTTTTTTACCCACTGTATATGTGGGTAAATTTATTGGAAGTGTAAAATTAAGAAATTAAAATTTTATGTACTCTGTAAAATTGAATTAGTAACTTATTTTTTGCTTTTGAATTAGATAAATTTTACTAATTCGATTAAAAAAATAGTAAACAAAATTTTTTTACTATTTAAATTAGTTAAATTTTACTATGTAATTTAAAAGAAAAAAGTGAATCAGTAATTCGAATTAGTTAATATTTTTACTAATTCAGATTTAGAGAAAAAAAATTCAAATTCTTTTCAAAGTAAATAAAAATGTAAATTTAATTAGCTTCTGAATTAGTAAAATTTAGCTAATTAATGGTAAAAATAATTTTATATCATCGAATTAGTAAAATTTCAAATTAGTTACAATTTTTACTAATTCAGATTTAGAGAAAAAAAATGTTTAAATCTTTTCCAAAGTAAATAAAAATATAAATTCAAAAGCAAAAAGTCAGTAAATAATTAATACAAATTAGTTAAAATTTTTACTAATTCAGATTTAAAGAGTAATTTTTTTTTAATTGCAAATATTTTCCAAAGAAAATAAAAATAAATTCAATTGTATATTCTCTAAATTTAAATTAATGGGAATTCGTTAACTATACTTCTTTGTAAAAAATTTCTAATAATTTTTAGTCATTTTTCACTAAAAGTTTAGTAAAAAAAAAAAAATTATTACTGAATCAAATAGTAATATTTTACTATAAAAATTAGTAAACTAATTCTCACTAATTCAAATTTAGAGAGTAGTTAACGAAAAATGTTTTGTAAAAAAAAAATTCAAGTTTTATGTTCTAGTTTTTATAATTCCAGAAAACTAGTTCAAAATCGAAATGTAAACAAGTTTTCTGAAAAGATCTTTTACTTTCTCTCTCTCTCTTTCTCTATAATATATGGAAAAAATTTTGTCTGGTTTATGAACTTTGCTGTTCCACATATAAAATTATTTATTATCAAATTATTATTACATTATTATAAAATAAATAAATTTACAGCATTTTTAATGATTGCATAATAAAAAAATCTATTTTACTTTCTCTTATTTGAAATGATAAAAGGACACAAAACTTTATATTGTGGACACTTGACATTGATTTGAATTAAAAGTCATTAAAATGAAAATCTATTAATTTATATTAGATGAAACACGTAACTTGTCATCAACTTATAAAAGAAAATAAACCTCGTTTATAATAATATATATGTAATAGCGGAAATAATTGTGTCTATAAATATTGTCCGAATGCAACGAATCCACTTGATACTTGTCAGTTATAGCAGTTTTATGAAACAGACCTCAGGTGTCTTTCCTTTTCAGTGGCGACGCGGTCACTTTGACTTACATAAGTCTCATGATTGGTAACTGATCAATATATATATATGTATATACGCTAACCTAAAATCGAATCAAAGAGTAAAAAAAAAACGAAAAAAACTCAATTAGACTCAATAATTCGTTAACTCGAATCTGCGAAGACTAATCGAATTCGACGTGAATAAACTTTTTAAGCGACGCACGTTCTCCGTTTTCTCCACTTCCGGCGCTCAACGCGTTCCGGTGTAACAACTTCGTCCTTAACTCTATATCTTTTGTAAGAATGAAACACAATTGTAATTTTTTAATTAGTTGCTATTTTTTCCATTAGATGATGGGAAAAAAGAAAAAATCTTATTAGAAAAATGACATATTTTCCCAAGAAGTTTAAAAAAAAAAATTATACACTGAAAAAAAAAATTTATTTGATTCAAATAATCGGTTACTTGAGTATTATCAAATAAATATTAATTAATTAATTATTTAAAAATAATTATTTAAGTTAATTAAATGATGTTTGTTTCAAATAACGAAATACAAATATTTATTTCATAATTGTCAAGTAACCGATTATTTGATTTTTTTTTCAAATTATTCATTTTAATAGAATGTTAAGAATTTTTATATATTTTTTTCAAAACTTGACATTATTTATATATTCAATAATAATTTCTTGTCATTTGGAATTCCATTTACTTTGAAACTTTGTACGAGAAAGTAATTTTCTACTCTCCAGAGAGAGTGTAGAAAATAAAATGTAAATTGCACAAAAGTTTTAACTATCCCATAAAAAAAGGGTAAAAATAGATATTTTTAGTTTTTATAATCTTTTTTTTTATAGATTTAGATATTTGTATTTACAGTAGATACATTAAAATCAGCATTTCATTGCAGAAATTTTATTTCAATAAATATTATACTCATCTTCGTAATAAACTTCATCACTTTCTTGAAATTTTTCTTTTTTCGTGTATAAACATTGAAGCAAATCGAATAGAAAGGCTTAAATTAGCATTTATATTAAATAAGGAAGCTGACCAAGGTCAACAATTTCTGATTTTTTTTTTTTTAATGTAAAAATTGTATTATACTTTCCAAAACAAAAAGTGTAATCAACTTTCTAAATATAGTCATTATAAAGATGTCGCACGAACTCATTTTTAAATTTAAAAAAAAATTACATATTTCTAAAGTCAGATTGTAATGTTATTGAAGTAAATATGAAAATATTTATTAAAATAGAGATTAAAATAATATTTATTAATATTTTTAACTCTAATTTTGTTTTAATAAAGATAAAATCGGGATATATAAAGGATGTCATTTATAAAAGCAAAATAATAGAAAATTTATTTATATAATTAATATTGTTTCAGAGAAAAAAAAAAGCATGTTTGGTCTGCGAGACAACGCCTTTTTTTATCGAAATTACACACGAGGTTATTGAACGATGAAAGTGAGAGGACAGACTTAAGTTGAAAAAAAAGAGATAAATAAAAAAAAATGTACATGGATTCTATACCTGCGGCAATTTACAAATACGGGTCGAATATGTAATCATGCAAATCCAAGATCATCGATAGACAATTCAAATGCTGTAAAGTAATTAATATATGGAGAATACTTAACTAGTTCTAATTTATAAATTACTTCATACATATAATTTAGAGGGGAAAAAAATTATATTTTCTACAGTAAATATCTAGGTAAGTTTATTTATTTAATATTTAATAATAATTGCTAATAATAATTTTAAAAAATACTAGTAATAATAATAATAATAAAATAATATTATTATTATTATTAATAATAATAATAAAAATACTAGTAGTAATAAAATAAATATATATATAAATAATAATAAAATAAATTTTGCTGCAATATTCCAGTTTAGGTTAAAGATGAGTATTTATAATAATTGCGAAGCTACTTGAAACTTTTATAATAAGAAAGCTGTTTAATATGTCAAAGTGTTTCTATATTGTAAGCAAGGTGAATAGTCTTTTGAATTGCTTAATTTTTTCGCAAACGTTAGTTGAATTCGAGAAAATGAGGCCATCATAACACGCCGAACATATTATACGTTTGTCTGACTATTATCTCCTATGACTACTGCGCGATGCGATGAAACACTCGAAAGGGTCGCGCGAAGAACTATTGCAAATGTTCAAAAATACTTTTTATTAAATAACAAAATATTAAAGTTGATTTCAAACGAAAGTTAATTTTCTTTCAAAAATAATATTTTTTTTTAACAAAATTATATTTTTATAAAAATTATAGCTTGTGAGAAATTATAGTTTGTATGGAAATTATAATTTTTATAAAAATTATTTATTTCTTTTAAAAAGATTCAATTTTTTTTCGTATATATATTTCTTTTTTTTTATAACTGTATATAAGAGATGAATTCAGAGACATATATAAATTCAAGATTAGTGACTAGATTTCCTTGATTTTGAATTTTTTTTTTCTACTTGTTTCTCTTGCGAACTACTTTCCATAAGTGAAATATCATCAAACTCTCAAAGAAGGTACGAGATCTCGCCGAGATCGTACTTCGTGTTTTCTCGGGTTATAGCGAAAGGTGCGCTTTTTTACATAATGTCCTTGCTCCAAAATTGTTTTTTCGACTAAAAGTCTCTTGTCGCTAATCTCTCTACTAAATGGTCCACCATAATTATAAAACAATCTTTCTATTAGGCTCAAAATAAGTAAAAAGTTATAACGAAAAAAACAATTGCATTTTTTATATAAACTTTAAAATATTTTTAACTCGTATTGAAAAATAATAAAAAAAAGTACATTATTAAGTATATATTTTCAACGTTCAGTGAAAACAATTTTTAATATTTTATTTATTTTTCTGCAGAAATTTGAACTATGGACCGAAGGATAAAAAAAATCAAGGATAAAACAGGTAAATATTTTAAAGTTCAAAATATTACATTTATCCCTTACTATACAATTTTAAACTCATGCAATTTTTTTTCATAAACAAAGGAATTGAATTTTTTATTATTATTAGAAATTTTATGTTTTTTAATAGTATATATTTTCTAGGTGCAATGAAAACAATTTTTAACACTTTATTTATTTTTTTGAAGAAATTTGGACTATGGACCAAGGATTAAATTAAAAGATGAAAGAAATCAAGGATGAAATAGGTAAATAATTTTAAAGTTCAAAATATCTACTTCACGTTTGTAAAAAAAAAATTTCATCCTTCCCCATCTCTTTGAAATAATTTTTTTTTTCTCAAAATAACTAATTCAAAGTTTAAACGAACAGAGTTCGGAATATTGACTGAATTAGTAAATGATCGGGTTTCGAATATTTTCAAAAATTAAAGTAACAATGCAATAAAATGGTAAAAGATGATAAGAACTTTAATTTAATTAAAGCTCTGAGACAAATATACTTTTATTTGCTTCAAATGAATTTTGTCTCAAATAAACGCCAATCAAATATTTCTCTGGGTGCACATTTGTTACGGAGCTAAGTAAATATTTGATTTAAATAAAAATTTTATATCTCCCAAATAAAATTTCAAATTTAGCTTTTTCTTCAACATTTTCTATTTTGATTTTTCTTTATTTCTTAATAAAAGCTTTTTCAATATTTCTATTATAAATTTGAACCATATGAAATTTAAAAGTAAATTCATGTACATATTGAAATTTTTATATCAATTTGAAACTTTTGGTATCAATTCGATATTTTTCACTGTAACGCTATTTAAAAAGAAAAAATTATTTTATGTTATCTTTTTATGTATAAAATAATACATACCATTTTCGTAAATCCAAAGAGCGTTCCCGATGATAGAAAAAAAAGGAACAAAACTCGCACACTACACTATTATAAATTCAAAATTAGAAAAGAAAATTAAAATAGAAAAAAAAACCCCGGATTAAATAATAATAACGGAGGTGAGAAAACTTCGCGTTTTAATAATTGAGGATCATTCGCCTCATGATCTCGGTCGCGTGTATGATATTCTCAGTATTGTCTAGCACTGACAGCTGTTCAGGAAATACTGAAACTATCATTCTTAAATTTAGTACGTTTACCGCGGCAATATTATAGACAACAATTAAGCGCCTTTCATTTTAACTATAGTGGCGACACTGCTATGCACAACGACGATGCCCGTTCGTCGTGTTCGCGAGCACATGTCCAATCCCGATGGAGTTAAATGGGAACGCGAGAGTGAAACGCCAATCCTGGCTGAAAGAAACCTCGGTTAGAATTCATATATATATATATATAATATATATATAGTGATCACAGCCGCGAGAATTACTGTATACATATAATTTTGAACTATACGTGTGGCTATAAGAATTTTGAACCAGAAATTACAATATAATAATAAAAAAAGAGGGATAAAGCTGCGGAAATATAAGATAATGGAAAGAAAAAAGGGGAATGGTATTTAAGATTGACTATTGTATTTTACAAGATTGACACCGGCTTCCGCATTCATATTATATTTAAAGACATTGAATACTAATCGAAAATTAAAACGTGAAATTGGTACCTTTTTTTCTACTCTGATATCAATCATTCTAATTATAAAATATTTCTTATCGTAAAATTTCACCATTTTTTAGTCCCCATTTTTTTTTTACTAGAATAAAAGAACTCAAATTTCGAATTTTAATTCCAATTTAAAAAAATTCCGAAGAATTAGGCCAATTTTACTCCAATATTATGCATTTTTGATTTTAGATTTACTTCATAGTTTTGCAATTTGGTAGAAAAAAAAATTTTTTAATTTGCTCATTTATTACATGAGTACGCCGTGTTCGCTATAATAAATTGCATAATAGAATTATTGGTAAAATTAATTTCACACCCCTTTTGAATATATACAAATTATAAACATTATGTTTTATACTTCAATTAAAATAAATGCATTCACTTAAATATGCATTTTTTTTTCCTCCAACAATATTCTTTGGTTTATTTTATAATAAAATTTCTAAACTTTTATTCCTTTTTCTTTCATAACAAACGTTACCTAATTGCAATCAATGAAAATAGAACACAAAAATAATTAAAATAAATCAAAATTTTAATATCTCAGATAAACAATTAAATTATGCTATTATTCTTGATAAAAATGAATTTTTACTAAATCTTTTTTTTATTTTTTAATAAACAAAAAATAATTTTTGAAATGTGATATAAATATAAATCCGGCATCAGTAAAGAATTAATTAATTATTATAATCGTCTATCCCACTCAATGGTCAGAATTTACAAAAAAGGAAACAACCAAAAATTAAATAAAAACATACTACTTTAAAAATACAACACTTGATAATTTTAATATTATGACGTTTGTATTTTCGTAAGAAATCGTTTGATATTACATAGAATAAACAACTTATATTGATTATGACGTACATGTATATCTGAATATCGAAAATCAGTTTCAAGCATTATCGCTTTAGCAATAAATTAATGGGAAAAAATGATTATATTATTCGCTTGGGCAGTCTCATTTATCCCCAAAAATTACAATAAATGTCTTCTTTTTTTTTTAATAATTACATTAAATTATTTGCTAACTATTAAGTACAATTTTCTTCTTTTAATAAGTAAATAAGTAGACAGGTAAATGGTGTGGCGATTTCAAATAATGAACAAATTTTTTTTTTGTTGCAGAAAACAGTACCTATTACTTTTTTTCTAAATTTTTGCACGTTTCAAAATATAAGAATGCTTTTAATCAAAAAAACAGTTATCACAATTTTTTAATTTAAATCTTTTTATTTTCATATAAACCCTTTTGAAGAAGAAAAAAATTAACGCCAAATTATATTATAATATATTATATAAGGCGGATTTTTTATATCTCTGTACAAAGATTGTAAAAGTTTCCATTTGGAAAAAAAGTATTTCTCACGAGTTATTTCTTTGAAACGTAACTAAGGAGTGATTATATAGAGTTTGGTCTGGCAAAAATTGTTTTTACCCTCAAATTGCTTCCTTATTTTAAAAAGGAATTTTTTTTCTCGAAAAGACGGCAAGAATCTTCATATATTCACATTTTTCATTTAATGAGAAATTTTGTGGCACACCACAATAATTATTATAAAAAGTTGTTAAATCGTTTGTTTTTTTTTTCGTGAAATGATTTTTTTTTTTTGGAAAATGAAACAAAAAATTGATGGTACTGTTTGCAGCATATCCGCATAAACTACCAATTTTTTTTTCTCTTTTTTTTTAGGTAGATTATGTAAAGTGACTTAAAGATTTGATTTAATGGTAATGAGAAGGTGGAAGTACAAAATCGAAAAAGGTCGAAGCCACACAGTTCCGACGTCGTAATAGTTATTTTCTTCTCTTTTCGATATATTCTTTGGTTTACGTTCTTTGGCACTTGGTCGTCGAACTAGAGGAGAAATATTTCCTCTGGGAGTTTTTTTTCTTCTTTTTCTTAATTGTCAATCTACGATGTTATATGTCATGACACCGGAAGATCAACGAGATTTTTCTGTGTGACTCTGGCCATAGGTAGAGAAATTCATCTTCTTCGTCCTTTAAAAATTTTACATGATTATGCACTTGCCCTTTTCGGCCCAAGGATTGTTCTTCTTATCGGGTGCATGAATCAAGGGATCATTTTTTTCATTTTCTTCAACGTACTCACGCATTCTATAACAAAGAAATAAAAAATTGATTATTAAAAAAAATCTTTTTTTTTTTTTTAGTTAAATTCTGAAATTTTATGAAAAAATAATTTCGTAATTCTAATAATTTTATTTCGTGAAATTAAATTATGTTTATTATTCCATTAACATGTAATTAAATATATAAAATATTAATTAAAATTAACTGCAACTTTTTAACACTTATTGCTCATTAAAAACCAAGGTGTTCAAAAAATGAAAAATATAGTCTCAAGGACCGACTTTTTCTACTGTCCCCGAAACTATCTTGTTTCATGAATGTTTTATGAAATTTTTATTTAATTATATTCATAGATTCCACTCAATATACGCACTTTCTTTCAACTTATATATAAAAAAAAAATAAATAAAAAACTAGTACATTTTTAATGGACTTTGATATTTTTAAAAATATATATTTATACATTAGTCAAAATATTGGTTTTAAAAATACAATAAAAGTTTGAGCTATATTACATCAGATAAAATAAAACACTTTGAATATTGTGACAAAATGAAATACCGAAAATAAAGACCGGTTTTGTGCTAGATTTGTGAAGCTGTCAATTTTAAAAACTGGAAACTGAGCCTTTCTTTGAAAGAACGAAATGACTAGTTTATTTCCTGTTCTCAAATGTAAATTAAAACACCTTTTTACCGTATTTGTAAAATCAAATTATAGAGTCATAAAAATATTATTTGAAAAAGACGAATTTCGAGAATTAAATAAAAATAATTCATTGATTTTTTTTACATTCTTCAATCATTGCTAAACCAAAATCGTGCATTTCCATTTCGAGATCAGTATATTATTATAATTATAGTAAGTTGTACGCCAATGTCTTTCCAATTAACTATAAATTATAAAAAGGATTACAGAATAGTAACCTACATAACTCGTGATCCTGCGAAACGAGATTATACCTAAGAAAACATTTGTTGGAGAGTATTTATTTTTTTTAAAAAAATGTATAAATAAAATCATGTCAGGAACAAAGTAGGAAAGCTTCCTGAGCATCGCCTTGAACGCAAATCCTCGCTTATAGCGCAATTTCCTTTCACTATCTTGACAGCTCACTACACATTTTACCTGTTATATAGTTTATATTCGTAAAATAATTTTTTTTTATTAAAAAAAAAAAAAAAGAAATTTAAAATATATTTTAAGAATAAAATTTTAAAAAAAATTTTTTTATAGATATATGTAAATATTATTTTTACATAAAGAAAATAAAAATTGTCATAATAAAAAATCAAATTATTAATTTAGTATACTAATTTATTAGTGTCAAATTTAATTTTCACGAAGCAAAAAGTTACTATTATTTAAATTAGTTAAAATTTTATTTTTAAATTTAAACGATCGCACCTATTTAAGACATTTAATTTTAGGACTAGAAAAAAAGCTCTCAGGAAATATTTATTTTAAATAGTAATTAAAATTGTTAATGTCTTTTTTTTTTTGCTCCTAATCATAATTCGTTCTAAGAATAACGATATTCGTCTGATTTTGCTGAAAAACCAGAGGCACTAGGCTTTGAACGCCTTTCACTCTGCTCTCGACGACAGCGAAAGTTTTTGCTTTTGCTTTGATTCGCCAATTCGTTAACATCCGCAATAAGTAGTGAAACAAACTATGGCGCGATGGAAAATAAAGCCTCGTTACGCTCCAACTACAATAATAATAATTTTACTATTCCCAGAGAGAATATTTCAAACTTTTCTTCACTTCACTATAATATATGCGACAATTAAAAAAATTAAATCACGAAAAATTTTTCATCAAAATTCTTCAATTTCAACAAAATTAATTTATTAATTTTGTTAATTAATCAAATTTTGTTTCTTTTCTTGAAAATTTTTTTATAAAGGGGTAAAAAATGTTTCTATATTATTTCACTTTTGTTTAAAAAAGAAAAATCATTGAACAATGATGATTGTGTGATTGATATTTTTGAATTTTAACGAACACCTTTCTCGTTATATAAAACTGAATTATATATATGTTATTTTATTTTCAGTCAATGGGCGTTAGATAATTTTTATCATCATCATCATCATCATCATCATCATCATCATCATCATCATCATCTCAATCTTTTAAAGACCAGATCAATTCGCGCATGTGAGAATTTATTTCGAACAAATTCTTTTTAAAAAGAGATCAGGTTCAAACTTCATACATTAATTCATCAATTTTATTACGTCTTGATTATGTCAACATAATAACGACTCACATAATATCATAATCATAATCATAATATATATATATATATATATATATATATACATGTTCATTATCCTTACTGAAGGTATTGCCTTCATTTGATATATTTTTAACACGTTCAATGGCAACAACATTACAAAGTATTTAACCGCATTGCGGTTTTTCATGTACATAATTATAAACATTTTATTTAATTGCAATAAAATATTGTATAATTATTTCGTGGAAAACAAAATTATACGCAGTGCAAAAAAGATTGTGAATTAAATGTTGTTTTTTCAAAAATTGCGAGTTTGATGGATAAAAAAAAATTGATTTTTACTTTAAATTAATGGAATTCAAATATTTTTTACTTAAATTGTTTTCTAAAAAATGATTAAATGCTTTTGAAAAAATTAAAAATTTTTAATAAAACAAATACTTGAAGAGTGAATGAAAAATTTCAGTATTTTAATTAATTATATAAATATATCATAATTATTTTCAAATATTGTGGGATTTTTTTAAAGATATTTTGAATCTTTTCTTTTGCACTAACTTAAATTATTTTGAAAATGATAATTGAAAATAATAATTGAATTATATTAAAATATGTAAATTATCTTTAAGGGAATGTTTTAATAAATTCTAAAAATAAATTATTAGAATTTTAATTTTATAGAATTTCATTTTATAGATTTTTTTTTAGACGAATTTTTATTTGTTCAAATTATTATTTTGTGAAATTTTCATTAAACTGATTTTCTACATTACAGAATTTTTATGTAACCGAAAATTCACTTTACAGAATTTTTATTTCTTTAAATTTTTATTTGCTCGAATTTTCGTTTAGACCAATTTTTAATTTTTCTCAAATTATTATTTAATAGAATTTTCATATTATATTCGATTTTTTATACTACAGAAATTTTAGTGAACCGAAAAATCATTTCACAGAATCATCTAAAATTTAAGAGAAATCTGAAAGAAACTTCTATGCAATGGAAATTCTATCTAATAAAAAGTCATTTAAATAGCTATTATCAAAAAAGAAAATTTGAGAAAATAAAAATTCTGATAAATGAAAATTTAAGCAAATAAAAATTTTTTAAAGTGATATTTCAGTTATATAAAAATTCTGTAATATAGAAAATTGGTTTAATGAAAATTCAGCAAAATAATAATTTGTATTAAATAAAAATTCGGCTAAAAAAAGGAAAAATAAAAAAATCAATGAAATTTTATAAAATGAAAATTCTAATAAATGATTTTTAAAAATTATTCATGTGTTCCTCTGCAAAAATAATTTTTGAATAGATCGTAAAATTGTTCTTTTTTTTAGAAAATCTTTGAAACATTAAAAATTATTTTAAAGAAATTAGTTAATTTTGAAAAAAAAAATTTTAATTCTAAATCCATAATTTCTCAAAAGGCATCTATAAGTAAAGAAAAATAAAGAACAAATACAAATCAATAGTTAAAAATAAATTGCAGATGTAAAGAAATATTTATCTCCTATCCTGTTAAAACCATTAGAGGATTATTTTCCTCTTTTGATTCAAAATACATCTCCCATAAGATTTTCTTAAATCTCTGTTTTTTTTTTTATTTATATTGAAAAGATCTTAAAAGTACTATGAAGACCAAATTAATTCGTCTTCATTTAAATTCGCTGGCCATGGGTTTCATGATTTTTTTTTTATCAGCTATAAACATCAAGCAGATGGATGCAAAAATTAAAAAAATAATTATCTCGTTTTTCAAATGATAATTTAAATAAAAAATTTGTTTTTTTTAATGTTAAAAAATAATTTTAAACTTACGCTGCGATACTTTTTGATAAGGGCCATCTTTCCATGGTTGCTTGATATTTCATGTTCTCAATTTGCTTCTTCAGTGCGTCCTTATCCATGTTGGCGAGTATACTGGGATCCATGGTAACAACCGCACCCCCCTGTTATAGCCAAGAATCACGTAGCGCTTGCGCCTGTTAGAAAAAAATCAATATCATAGTACAATATTAAAAGATTTAAGAAGAAAAAACATATATGTACCACATAGATTAAATTGTTGCAAAATCTTGTAATTTTAGTTTTTAAAAAAAAACTACCCTTGCGCCGTATAGTCAATCAATTTTTTTCTTTAAATTTAATTTAGTTAACGAGAGACAATAGGGGTGGTTTTTGAGAAGAATTTTATTCTTTTCTATATTGAAACAAAAATCTATTTAATGCAATATTCTACTTTGGAAAAAAATTTATTCTATTCAAATAATCGATTATTTGTCAATTTTAAAATAAATAATTACTTGAACTAAATAATTTTTAAAACCAAATAATTTAATTAAATAAATTGTATTTAAAACAAATATCATCTCAAATAATAATTATTTAATACAAATAAATAAATACTTATTTATTCGATAATGGACATAATTATTTAATAAGAATAAATATTTATTTGATAATTTACATAATTATATCCAAATCAATTATTTTTTTTCACTGTAATAGTACATTTTACAGATATTTTGGAAAAAAAAATTTTTAAACAAACATCTTAAATTTCCCCAAAAAAAAAATATATATTGTTTATTTTAACAGAGTTCTTTATGAAATTAATGATAAATAACCAAAATGTTATAAAAAAAATTATTACATTTTTATAATAATGAATATTTAATTATAATGAAATTCATAATTGGATAATTTATAACGACAATAATTTCATTAAAATCGGTCAAAGATTATAATATACAAATTAAGTTAATGAATTTAAAAAAATAAATTTTTTTTCCACTTTTTAATATTTTATATTTGACCTTGTTGCGTGTTTTTACAAGGTATATATTTATTTTAATAAATTACATTTGAGAAAGTCATGCAACCCTCTTTAGAGTTATATTTGAGACGTGATACTCAATATAGAGGTCAAGAAGACTTTTATAAAACTTTTATAGTACATCCTGGGTATATCTTCATTTCTAAGATAGGTTCAAAGTTCATAAAAATTTGATAAAACATTGATCAAGTTACTTATTAAAATAAATTACAGAAATTAAGAACTGTTTTTTTTTCTAAAAAATGAAGAAATATTTTGTCGACAAAATTTATATGCTTTATGTTCCCTTATATTTACTAAAGAAAATTATTTATTCAGTGAAACATTGAATTATTTTTTTATCTTTATCACAAAGATGACGTAACAGAGAGTAATAATAAAAAAAAATTAAAATAAGATATAAAAAATAAGTTAATAAATTAATTTTTTTATATAAAAAATTTTTATATAACAAAAATTATTTCTATTTGTACCTGAAAAATTGTTATACTTGTTCTGTTTTAACAACTAAAACTGATACAATTTTCTTATCTATGATTCATGTGACTGTTGTAAAAAAAAAGGAAAAATTAATTAAATTCCAAACAACTGTGCGAAGTTCCTTCAGGGCAAAAACACTTTCGTTATTCCCTTTCGAAATATAAATGTAACCAGTTAATGTCACTTCCCTCTGATGAAATAAACTATATCACAAATTGTTTTTCTTTCTTTTTTTTTTTTTTAAATTCACAGGTGTTGCCGACACAATGACTGTTTACGAATTCTTATTCAAGAAAATTTTCTGTTGACATTAGCTACAGGGCCGCAGTAATTAGTTTAATTTAACTGTATAACAATCAGTTTTCAAATTATATAATTTATACTTTTGCGCTTAAAATCACTTTCTATATGTGAATAAATTTATAGTAAATAATTAGTTTTTATTAAAATAACAATTTTTTGTGAAATTGATGATTTTTTATGCAAATTGACGTAATTTTGATGTAATTGAATTTTATAATAGAAAAATGTATTAAGAATATCGTGAGGGAAGATGATAAATTTACAAAAATAAAATAACTATAAAAGGAAATAAAAAAAAAAATACATTTTGTATTGAGAAATTTATAAATAATCACTTTACTTACTTTCTTGAGAGATGAAGTAATTCTGAAGAGAGGTGACTCTTAAAAGGTTTCACTATTCATTTATGGAATCCTTATAAAACATAGAATCCAATTTTGTTCCGTCATGTCAATACGGACGAATTACATGCTGTATCAACTGTACATATTTCATGAAAATTGCTTTGGAAACCTCTTATGAAAAAAAAAACTTCTATTTTTATTATCTTTTAATTGTAAAACTTGCAAATAACAATACTTCTCTAAAATGACGAAAATTTAGTCTGGAAATATATATTTTTTTCAAATAAAATTCAAAAGAAAATTAAAAATAAATTATGATGACTTTTTTTTAAAATAAAAGTTAAAACAATTTTAATTAAATTATTTGTTTTAAGTTTTCGAAATTTTTTTCTCGAATTTTATCGAAAAATTATTTCAATTTTCGCTCTATTAGCTTCGATACACTTACCTCTCTGATTATCGATTTCAAAGCGCGAAATTTAAAACTAAATAAAAATTGCATATAAAAAAAGCGTTCTCCAAAAAAATTGACATAAAATGAAAAAAATAAATTTTATTTCAATTATTTGCGTTTTAAATTACAAAATAATATTTATGCAAACATTATAAAATAACACTTTTGAAAATTAATTTGTATTTTTTTATATTTGAAAAGCTTTCAGAATAGTTTCCCAGGTAACGATATCAATTGTTACGTTGCGCGAAGGTGTTGTGGAAAAATCAACAAATAAAACAAAAAAGTAACAAAAAAAAAAATATTTAAACGTGTTAAAATATTTATAAATTTTTATAAATTTTGTAAGTATGTACAGTAACGTAATGAAAATGTTTCTTCTTAATAGCTAAACATTTTTTTTCCAATAATCAATTACACGCATTTATTTCTTTTTTATTTTTACTAATCCAATAAAATTGTCATAAATTTTATTAAGACATTATGATAGCGTGCAGGACCTTTAAAATAACCTTCGTGCTAATCGCTATAGTTTTAAAGAAATAAATTAAATGACAATTTATATTCAGTCCAAAGTCACTAGGTTATTTTTAATTATTTGACAGTAAATGAATAATACATGTTATTTGTACAAAAAAAATTGTTCACTTTTCAATTCAATATATTTTAAATTTTAATTTTCTTAAAAATATTTATATTTTTCAGATTTTATTATTTTTGTTTTAACTAATTAAAAAATGTCAAGAAATTGCTACAAGTTTTTAAAATACAACTTTTGTTGAAATTAATTATAACTTAGTAAATGTATTTGACATTAAATTTCCTTTTTTTTTATTCATATATCATTTTTTAAACTTTTCTATATAATTATATAGCCCTGTATTAGTTTTTTCTTGATAGACTTACTAATATTTAACTATAAGAATTCGCGTGCCTTCAATATATCAGCGACATCCCCAAGAACTAACTAAGAAGAAATTATAAGAGCAATTTTTTTTTCGAAATATATTCAGTTCATTGTCGGACTTTGGCGAATAAATGACAATATCCACTGGATATAGTATTTTTTTAAATTAAACAATTTTTTTTTTTTGAATTATAATAGAAAAATTTCGATTCAAAATGTTTCGAGGAAAAAGAGTATTAAAATTTATTTAATTAAATAAATTTATCATTGATATTTATAGTGAATTATTAATTTATTTTATTTAAAGGGAGGATTAAAAACTACAAGGAGAATGGCAAAAAAATCTCAGCCAGCAGCACTTCAAGCAGAAGTTTCAACTGATGATGAATGGGACAAAATTTTAGAAAAAGATGGTTTACTAGGTAAATTTCAATTTTTTATATTTTTTAATTTTTAGTTCCTTGTTTTAATTTTAATTTTTATTTAATTTAATTTTTTTTTTTCGTTTAGTTGCAGACATTTATTCCGAGTGGAGTGGACCCTGCACTGGAATGGTTAGCATTTTGAAGAAAATCAAAATGGAAATAGGAGGCGATACACTCAACTATGCCATTGTAATAAAAAAAATTAAATTTCAAATTTTATACTATTTTCAAAAAAAAAAAAAAATTTCTTAGGTTAAGTGTGACAACATCACGTCTTTAGAACGTTTCAGAGGCAAAAGTGAACCAACTTGGATGATTATTCACGTAAAAATACATTTCAGATATAAATCTTTAAATTTTAGAATGAGAATTATTGATTTTATTGATTTTTTTTAAAATTCAGAATGGTCAAATGGTGAATCTTGTATTTGGTGCCAATTGTCCAGAACTTTTGAGGGTTTTAAATATTGAATTAGAAAGAGTACAAAAAGGAGAACCACACGAGTATATCATTTTTCCTAATTTCTAAAAGTTTTTTTTCCTAATTTTTCTAATTTCAATATTTAATAAAACTGTTATAGTTTTAGCATTCCAGTCTCTCAGAGAAGTCCAGAAGAAGAAAATAGACTAAAAATAATAGAAGAATCAAAATTAGCGAAAGAAACTGCAAAAAAAGCACAAAGAGGTCTCTCTAAACGAAAATATTTGCGATTTATTAAAATTGTATTGTAATTATTAAAAAGAAAATACTAATTTGATTTTTTTGACATTACATACAGAAGCTGAAGCAAAGGCCAAATATGAAGATGAAATACATCATTTAACAGTATCATTGAAAGGTGAAACTTGTCTATTATTATATCCATGGATTTTAAAAGATGAAGAAGGACATAGACGTGATAAAAAATCTAGTCCACCTTATGTTGAACTTGTAGAGGAAATTTTACCCGAAAATTTCAGTATTGAACAAGAATTTAGAAAGTCTGTTGATGAAAATATGTTGAACGAAATGTTTAAAGAAGTAAATATTTTCAATAGTAAAACTCTTTAAAATACTAAAGAAATAAAAAATATTATTAATTAATTGAAATAATTAATTAAATTAAAAAAATAATTTTACAATTAAATTTGTAATTTTTCAATTATAGTCGGACTATAAAATACCAAAAGAAGACGAAATATTAATGTTAGATGGAAAATGTATTTTTATGCGTCTAAAAATCAATGAAAAAAAATCTGAACTTCATGTTGAAAAACATTTAATTGGTCTTTTATTTGGAGAACCAAATTTTCCCCAAGTTGGTCAAGAATTAATAGAAGGATCGTAAGTAATCAACAAAAATTATTTTCTTAAAAATGTTAAAAATTTTTATAATTTTTAGTTATGTTCATAAACATCAGCCAAGTGTGATACCAATTGACAGAGAAAATCGCATTTTTCCCATTGTATGGACACCATTAAATTCACGAAATAAAGCCTTGGTATTCAAATTAATTTTTCGCAAATATTTGGATTCTACATATCCCGTAAGAAATTAAAAATTTCTTTCTACTGTTAGATTATTCAAATAATAATTTTTAACTTTATCTCAGTATGAAGATAAGACCTACAAAATTCCTATAATTGTCTTCAAATACGATAGTACGAGAAAAAATGAATTGAAAGTAGTTGTAGAAATTTATAATTCAGAAATTGTCCATTTTGGAGTATTTGAACGAGATAAACCACCTGAAGCAAAATTAATAGCCACATCTATTGAAGAATTTGAATCGATTAATTGTGAAAAAACAAGGTAAATTACATATCAAGTTTTTGTTAATCTAAAATTAGGAATAATAAAACTATTTTAAAATTAGCTACGAAACGTTTGTTTGCGCTGTAAAAAAAGTTGGTTCGGAAGCATTTTTGGCATTTGCCGGTATTGGTCCTTATCATGTGAGCGAAAATCCAGAGAAAGCTATTGAAGAATCAAAATTATATTTCCCAACTGTGACATTTACAGAAGATCCACCATCTGATGATGAAGAAAAATTGGAGGAACTCGAAGATGGAAAATTAGATTCAGAAATGGTAATTATATTAATTTTAAATATTAATCTAGATTAAACATGATTTTTTTCTTTTTTACATTTCAGAAAAACGAAGATACTAAAGGACATTAAAATGTAATTATACATTTAAAAAAAAAATTGCGATATTTAATAAAATTTCTATAACTAAAAAATTGAGTTTAATTAATTTAAAAAAAAAAATAGAAGACTGATTTTTGAAAGAAATTGTAACACAATTGCCAATATTTATTTTCCACTGACCTTATACAAAGAGAACATAAAGATAAAAAATGCCTTGTAAGAGGTTTGTAGTACAATAAATTTCGGCGATGGATTAAATTACTTCTTGTAACCGCAGCTACGTCTGCGACCTCTAGCTCTTTCGAATTTGCGACCCTTTGATCTAACAAGGGGTTTGGTATGTGAGTGTGGTACACCAGGAGCTAATCCAAAGTGTTTAACAGCTTCACGTGCATTTCGTCTTCCTTGAAGCATAACAGTTTTACGGCCAGTGGGCGAGCGTAGAGCAAGTTGATCAAAAGTGATAATTTCACCTCCTGCTTTTAAAATTCTGCCTCGAGCCTTTTCAGTCACTCGAAGTGCGCACACCTACAAAAAAAAGACCAATTTATTTATTTATAACGAATCCATTTTGTCGAAATCCTATTATTAAATATAATTTGCTTTAAAATTTAACTACGCCATTTAATTTACCAAATATTTAATTATAAAAGTAATTAAATTTAATTTAATTAAATATTTTGCATTTATAAATTTGAAATTTACCGTCAATTTTGGAACATCAAAAATTCTAGCATCATCCGTTACTGTGCCGACGATAACTGCGATACAGTTATCACGACCAGGCTTTTTCATCAATCGTACAACTCGTGCTAGAGAAATTGGTGGCCTGTGAATTTTACTCATGAACAACCTCTTGAGAACGATTTTATTGAACTTGGAGTTTGTTCTTCTTGCCAAGAACCGATAAAGCTGAAAACAATAAATATTTCAACTAAATGTTCTACAAACTATTTATTTCTATAGCTATTTTTTTTAGCTCTGTATCAGCTAGAATAATCGTCTTTTAAATTAATATATAAAAGCCGGAATAGGGTAGCCGAGATTTACTTTAGCGAACATTCAAATTGGACTAGTCTCTTAAAATTTAGACTAACACAGAGTGCAGTTCGCAAATCATTACTTTTTTAATTTAAGACATAAAATATTTATTTAGCCACGAGTTCAAGACAATACAAACGAGATTCTAACCTCAAAATAGGTTAAGTTTGTTAGGTATGAAAAATTGAAGTTTTATAACAAAAAAAAGTTAAGTGTTTTACAAATATAACTAAAAAATGAGTCTAAATTAGAATAAAATATAGAAAAAACCATAAATACCTTGACAAGAAGTCGCAAATAAACATCCTGTGACTTAGGTTCTGTTCGACGCACCTTTCGGTCATGTTTATGATTGATGTCGATACCCTAAAAATGAAACTTTATTGTAATTTCGATAGATAAATTTCTTTTGCACTATATTATTTATTTAAAAATGCATTATTTGCACAATAATAAAAGATGTTTCTGGATTTAAACGACAAATTCGGAAACATGTATACTCTTACCATTTTGACAAATCGGAAAAGACATCCAGGTGGCGCTTCAGATTCAACAAAATTCACGAACCAAATTCAAAGATATTGAAACAAACAACTCAAACTCAAATAATATTAAAAACTTGTTTTATTCTACTAAACAGTTTTATTATAAAAAATAAATTTAAATACATAAGATAATTTTCAGATTTATATTTAATTAAGATACTTTTTTTTAACAAAAGTCACAAAAATAATGTTGGTAAAATTGGTGATTGTAGATTGATTATAGTAAAAATTACAAGATGGCGCCACTTTGTCAAAATAAATCATATATTGAATAATTTCTCTTCTTATATAACTTACTTATATATTTTTTATATAAAATTTAATATAATTTACAAATATTTATCGGTTTTAGTAAAATAACTAAATAAAGTTGTAAATTATAAAATTTTTTTTTCAAATGCATTAAATATTAACATAATTTGAAAATCGCGCCAAATGAAACGGTCAAATTCATATCATACAAACGCGCCTTACTTCACATAGTTCATAATTTCGTAATCGTTATTGTTCTAATTCTAATTAACTTTCTAAATAATTTATTAACATTGTGTAATAATTGTGTATAAAGGTTTAATTTATTGCTGTTCAATTAATTTATGTAATTAAGTGTGAAAAATAAGTGTACTATTATCAAACAGCTAATGAGAAAAGTTGAAATTTCGCACAAGTTGAACTAACCTCAAAACCGGCTTATAAATTTTATTAAAAATTAAAACGAAGTAACAAAATCATCTAGTTGTTAGTGATCAAAACTTGATTTTAAAATTAAATAGTTCTTTGAAATAGTAAAATATGATTATCTTCGAAAGTCATCGCTTATTACAGTCATCAAAATATTTTGGAAATCAAAGCAGAGCACGCATGGTATGTACTATGTAATTACAATAATATATATGTAATGCTAGTGGTATGTTCCAATTAGTTTTTTTTAGTAAAAAATTCAAATTAGTACTTTAAAATTCAAAGTGCTTCATTAAAAAAGTAAATTATTGCAAATTTATATAATTGACAAATGTTTAATTAACGTAGTAGTATTTATGCCGGGTATTAAGAATTCAAATATATTTTATAATACCACTTTATTTGTGATGAATAAGTTAAAATTCTAACATCTTAAAAAATTTAAAAGAATATATAGATATGCGTATACATGTATTCTTATTGTTTTCGTACTTTTATTAAAAATTCTTTTGAATTAAAGACGTGTGTGGTCGTAGAGATGGATCTGGTACAAAATTTCCGCCAGATGTTGTTTTCTTTTCTAAATTTACGAGATGTATTTCGTGTTGAGATCTAAAAAGTAAAAATATATTTCTTTTTACTATAGTTTATTTTTAATATCATTTTTAATATTATAATTTATTATAATATATAATCATATGATTTCATTTATAAGCAAAAGATTATGAAAAGAAAAAGAAAAATATACCTTGATGAATTATTTTTGTAAGCATTATTGTCTTTGGCATTTTTAAAGTAAATAACTCCTGTCGGACTATCTTTATCCAATGTTCCATTATATATTAATAAATCGTCTACTAAAATCTGAAAATCAAAAAAAAATTATTGCAAAAAATATTATAGTAATGGAGGAAATATATTTTTTAAGACCTACATACACCAAATTCTTTAACTTTTCTTTGTGGAGTTTTTCCATAATTCCAAAATTTTATTTTAGAAACAGCAACTGGTTGGTAAAAAATTATATAAATTCTATTAATCTGTAAATAAAAATTATTTTATAGATTGACAAAATTTTTATCTTAAATAATATAATTTTTAAAAAATATTTCTAGATTTTATCCTTTAAATTCAATATAATGCTTACCTGTCCTGGAAAAATTGGTGCTAACCAAGAATGTTGTCCATCACAGGAATCATGAATATTATCAATAAGTTTATCTGGAGTTCTTATATCATTATCCATTCCCTCTAAGACATTTACGCTTTCAGGATATGCTGCAACGTCTGAAAAAATTAGCATATTTTTTTATCTTTTATTCGAAACAATTAATTTATTCCTTTAAATGAACTATCTAATTTACTTACTGTCTGCCGTAAGTAGAATCTTTTGACCTTCTGTGCCATACATTTCTATACCATTGAGACCAACATAATAAGGATCTCCCCAAGTTGAAAATATAACAATTTGATATACAAATCCAAGAGGTACTGGTGGTGCTTCATAATCCATATCGTCATTTGTTTCTACGACTGAAAATCAATTTAAATAAAATAATTTTTAATTTTTTAATTTAAAAAAAATTAATGAGCCAAAAGTTTTGAACGTCTAAATGAACAAGATTTTTTTTTTGTAACTTCTTTAAACACAAATTTTATTACAAAATATTGTTTTAAATATATCTAAAAAGAAGTTATTAATTTAATATTAGTTTAATTTACTGTTTTATGTTACATTGACATTATAATTTTTAATAATTTATAGAATGAAAAAATATTTTGTTCATTTGAACGTTCAAAACTTTTGGCTCATAAAAATTAATAAATTTTTTTTTAAAGAATTACCTTCAGATGTTACAGAATGATACAAGCCTTGTTGATTTGGATGTATCATTTCAGTTGTTGGGGGATTTATAAGGCTAATTTGTTGTACAAAATTATAGTGACAACATCCAGGTGCTCTTCTTAAAATAAATCCATCAATAAGATCGAATACTGGTTTTCCATCCAATTTTACAACCATTTGTTTTACCTTCAAATTAAGAACTGATTTTCAACACCTATTTCAATTATTTAATAATAATTGTTTATAAAATAAAAAATAAAAAATTACCCCACAATAAGAAAGATCTAATGAGGCATTGTAATTCCAAATTTTAATTCCAGTGACAAAAATTTCTTTATGAAATTTAATTGTTACAATAACTGTCGTGTCCATTGAAAATTGAGTTGCCCACATATGATTTTCATCAATTGTTAAATTATATCCATCTATAAGTCTCATTAAATTGTCATTGCCAATATTACAAGATATTTTAGCATGAGCGAAAGAAATTTGTGTATGTTGATCAGTGAAAAGTTCTATTCCTGTTAATCCTAAAAAAAAAATAAAAATAATGAATTATATTTTCATATTTTTCAACTAAAATATAATTATTTGATTAATTCACCTATCATATTGAAGAGTCCCCAATTAGAAATTAATACAAGTTGAATTTCTTTGCAAGATATTGACATTCCATTTTCGTTTTCACCAAAAATTTCAGATTGATTCAAACAAGAAGACGAATCAGCTTCCTATAATTATTAAAGAAATAAATATAAATAAATATGAATTATAAAAATAGTACTAGAAGAAAAAATAGAAAATAATAAATACAGTTCCAGTTATGGGTCTATCAGCTTCTGTATCAATTTCTTTAAGATAATTACAATCCTCAAAACTTAAATCATTTTCTGATATTAATTCCAATATATTTTCGTCGGTGGTGAACAAAATAGTCTGCAATAAAAAAAAATTGAATATTACGAAAGGAATAATAAATAAATTTTTTATTCGATTGTTTTTTCTAGTTACTCACATCACCAAAGGAGCCTATACTACCAACTATATCACCACATGCTCTTGCAATTTCACCATCAAATATTTTAATATCATCCAATAGTATAATAATATCTTTTGCTCCTCTATAAGAGTGTATTCTCGATTTATTGTAATTCTAAAAAGAGAAAATCAATCAGCATTGAATATTTTGTTTTTGAAAAATTTTTCTTACCCAAATTCGTATCATTGCAATACGAGTAGCTTCTTTAAAATATACATGAATCAAATGATTATTTCCATTTATAAAAGGAGATAACCATATATTAGTATCGTCTCTAGTTCGATTAATTCCATTAATTAAATTATTAATTCTTCGAGGGTCATTAATGGACAATTCATCATTAGACAATTCCTTTAAATCAATTTCTTCAACATAAATCTAAAAGTAAGAGAAAAATGAAAAAAAATGTCTCATTGGAAAAAAAAATGATGATAATTACCTTTTCTATAATTACAGGTTTTCCAAATTCAGAAAATATTTCCACTCCATTTAAACCAACATAATTTTTATCACCCCAGGTACTTAAAATATTAATCATCAATGATTGTCCATATGGTAATTCGGGAATGATAAAATTTCTTTCTGACTCCCTAACTGAAACTAATAAATATACATACTTCTTGATTGAAACAAAATGTGATCAGTTTAGCAACAAAACACTGACCTGATAATTTTTTTTTTTTTCTTCATAATTGTGAATTAACAATCATAATTAATATTTTCATACAGCGAGTGGGTTTTTTTGTTCAATAACTTGTGAAAATCTAATTGCATTCTTTTTTTATCATCACAATATTTAATTTTATATATTTTTTAAAAATATTTTTCAATACTTTTTTTTTCATATTTTTTAATAAAGCGAATTTTGAAAGAAATTTATCAAAACGAACCTTTTGCTGAACCCTCTTCATAACGATATACAAAATTAATTTTATTCTCCCCTGAATCTTCTTTTGATTTTTTTAATTTCCATATGTCATCTTTAATTATAATTTCAGAGTTTTTGATTTTCTTTTCTAAATCTTTACTTTTAATATTAGATTCGACTAATTGTTTTGTACTTTCTTCAAAAATTGAATCTTTTGGTGCAATTCCTGCCAAGTAGTCCAATTTTCTTTTAATAATTCCTAAGCAAACAAAAATTCATTTCATTCTAGTGAAGCTGAAATTTAAATATTTGAAATAAAATATTCAAATTAAATATTTCAAACCTGTAGGTAAATATGGTTCAACTTCTGATTTTGTAGATTCATTTTTTGAATTCGAATAATTAGACTTGTATCTACGTTTTTCTCTCTCTTGATAATCAATTCGATTTGATATTCTAAATGGAGAATCAGAGACAGTGTACTTTACTTTTTTTTCATCTAAATACTTATCCAAATTTCCTAATCTATTTTTTTGTTCAGCTTGATAAATATCGTTCAATGTGAAAAAAGTTCGATTCACATCATTTGATTCACAACTAATTTCCTGACGTGGAGAATTTGGAAGCGATTTGACAGTGGATTGTAAAATTATACTACAATCCGAATTTTCAAGTTTGTGCGTTGTAATAAAAGTTTTATCTTTTCTAAAAAAAAAAAAGGAATTATTTTTCTCTGTAATCGTATATTAATTACAAAAATATTTTCTATTACTTACTCATTAATTGATTTCTCTGAGGTATTATTAAATTTATTTTCCAAAAAAGGATGAAAATCATTTGTTTTTATTAATGAATCTGAATTTGATTCAATTTCACTATTTTCATGTAAATTTAATCTTTTCACTGTCCTGTAAAAAATTTGTATTTACAAAATTTTTTTTTTTTTAGCATGTGGATATAAAAATATTTTGCTACATACTCTGTCATTTCCAAAAGCCAAGGAGGTAATTTATTGGTGATTCCCACATAATTGAAACCATCAGATTCTTCGTTAGTGATTCTTTCCATTTTTTTTCAAACAATAAATGCATTAAAATAGAAAATTTTTTTACGATTCTCGTATTGAAAATAATTAATGAAAATTATCAATTGTTCTAAAGTTGAATAAAATTTTTTCATTGAGTAATTTCTATTTCTATATTAATTTGCATAGGTTATGGAATGAAGTTCGAAATTATTAATGTTTGTCAATTAGGTGTTGAATAGATAACAAAATTAGATGAAACTTTGACGTAATACATTTGTTTTGATTAAAATTGCATGATAAAAGAAATTTTGAAAATCATTTTTATTTTTCTTTTTTTTGTTAATTTTGTGTCAACACTTTAAAGTGCATGTATACCAATTTAACGGAACTTGACAGAACTGATCATTGTTGACGATTTCACGTTGCCTTGGTTACTAAAAATCATAACATTACTTTCTATGTGTACGTAGACATTTTTATTATGTATTTCTAGGTATTATGTATAAATACATAAATGTACATGAAATGTCATTGCTCCCTTATAATAACAATTTATAATTATTTTTCTTACCTGTAGGATGGATTTAAAATAAAAAATTAGAATTACTGAAAATTAAATAATTTTAATATTTTTTTAAAATAACGTAAATTGTCTAAAAGTAAAATTAAAAAATTAATTTTAAATAAAAAGTAAATTATATTTGTTTGTATTTATTTTTATTGAAGAAGAGCAAGGTAACAAGATTGCTTATCATTATCAATATACTCATATAATATCTATCTGTAACTTTTAATCTCAAAGCAAACTGAGCAAAACGTTGATTCTGTAGGAAAATGAATTTACATATTGTTAAATATTTCAATCATATACAGTAGTTTATAAAATATTTAAAATTTAGGATTTTTTTTTCATAAGCATTTGAAATACATATCTGAATTTTGACACATTCTTTAGGCCTATATAAGCAAGTCTTTGATTATTTACTGCTTCAGTTCTCGTATTTTATTTATTTATTTTTTTTTTTAGTGAAAAAGCGTTTTACTTTTTTATACTGTATTTTGGCGCTTTTATTATTTTTTTCAAATATATAAAATTTTTCTTTTTTTTTTTTTTAGAATGGCACTATAAATTATTTTCTGATTTTGGCACTGTTTTACAAACAAATAATTTTATATTTCTTACAAAATTTTTTCAACATAATCTCATTTTTTTCTACTATTATTACTATAAAAAAATTATATCCTAATTCAATTTTTTCTATAAATCATTTTTTTTAGCAGACTAAATATATATTTTTGAGATCGAAAAATTATTTAAGAAAATTTATTATATTCTTAAATAATTTTTAAGACACTATTGTGTCTTAGATATTTTTAAAAAATTGATAACAGTAAAATTAAAAACTGACAAAATACAAGTTATTTCATTTTCTATTGTATCATCTATATCAAAAGATCTAAATTTATTGAATATTTATTATACCACATTTTTTTATATATATTACTAATTTAGATTTGGTTTAGAAAACAAATTTTTTGTTTTATATTTTCACGATTTCTTCATCACCAATAAATTGGAGTCTCTTGAAGACAATGAAGATGAAATTAATTTTCATTTGTCTTTGTTTTTTTAGATATTCGAATTGCGCTAAATATTTTCTAATCATTTGGTATTATCAGTGGCACTTTATTTAGCAGTGATGTTTCGTTTTTTTTTTTTAGTTTCGAGAATTCTACTGCGTTTATTCTCGTGTTTTTTTTTTTTTTTTGTTTTTGTTAATATCATGCTTATAAAATATATAAAATTCAAAATATCAATCGATATTGATTTGTAAAATTGATTGATAAAATTGGAGATTTAAGACACCTAGAAATTTTAAAGTTCTAAATGAGATTCTATAAAATTGGATAAAATAGGATTTTTCAATGTACTGGATCCTTTATCATCATCAGCCATTGGATAAAGATGATTTAAAATTGCAAAATAATGAAAAGCAGCTCCTGAGACAACAAACATGTGCCAAATTGCATGAGCACAAGGAATTCGTCCATCGGATTTAAAAAATATTATTCCTATTATATACATTAATCCTCCCACTTTGAGCTCTATAATATCGTTATATTCATTCTGAAAATTAAATTGGATATTAAAGTTATATTTTTTGAGAAATAGTAAAATTATTAAATACTTACAATATCGACAATTGCTATACTAGGTCCTACACCCATAACCAGATAAAAAACTGTTTCAAGCTTTTTGTATCGTTCATGGAAAATTTGCTGATAAAGAATACCAAGACTTGCCATGATCCATATTAAAATTCTCATTGTAGATAAAGTTACATGCGATTGGAAGCGCTCATTATTTAACCATGGAAAATAAGTGGCAGCTATAAAAATGTAGATCATTGCACGATCAAATCGATGAAGAGCGTCTTTTAATTGTCTGTAAATGCATATAAATTAAGAATTTAATTTTATTCATATTTTTTGTCTCAATTATTAAACAATAATATTTTACAAATACATTAATAAAAAAAAAATACTTCTTCTATGAGGAAGCAATATTAATTACAAAATAATTATTTAATTAAAAATTATTGTTTCTAAAATTTGTTTTATTTTTTCAGAAAATTACCTGAGCAAACTTACCCATTTTGATTATGATAATGAACACAATGAAAAAATGTTGACACAGTGAAGACAAGAAGCAAAGATGTCCCATAAATAGTAGCAGACAAAAATTGTGTCCATGTTGTGGAACGTTGTAATAATTCAAGTGCTGCAACCAATGAAGGTATGATCCAAATTCCATGGGTTATTACATTTGCAACGTGCTCCACAAACGTAGGTGTGTATGCCTCGTTTGTACATGATCGTGGATTCTTCCATTTAACTCTAAAAAAAATGGACAATTTAATTCTATAAATTTTAGTCAAATTACAAATTAATAACTATTATTTATTGCAATTAATTTTTACATAAACGATTATAATTTTTTTAAAATTAAATTTTAAAAATTTGTTTTTTAATTTTTTTCTGAAAAGAAAAATTTAAATTTTTTTTTTTTTATTAGTATGTAAAAATTTGTTATTGTCAACTTACAAGTTACAAGCAACTTGTCCAGTTGCATTGAAATCATTTTGTGCGTGCTGTTATGATGAATAGATATAAAGGAAATGAAAATTATGCGACAAAGCGTTAGTCATTCCAAAGGTATATATTCTACAATGCTTTAAGAACATTAAATACTTAAATTCTTTAAATCAATATAATGTAAGCAATAAATAACAAACTTAATTTTTCTATAATAGGCTATTATTATGATTTATTAAATCTCATTTTTTTTTTATAAATTTATATATGCGTTTATGAAACTAGTATACGTATATATGCAAATTTTATCTAATTGTATATATAAGGATCTGTGGATTAAGTTATGTAAAGAATTACACGGCTTTTCTTATATAAGATATAGGAAGCTTCTGAACTAGTAAGACAAAAAGGTTTATAGATAAAAAAATCTCAATTTAAAAAAAAAAAATTGTGATTTATTTATATTTTATGACAATTTAAATATTTGAATCTTAAGACCCAGTTCTATCTATAAGAGCAAAGTTTAACGACCTTGATTCAATTTAATTTATCTTTTGCTTTATTTGTTTCAAAAAGAATTTTAATTAAATTTTTAGTTTTTATTTGACAAATTTCATATTTTAATAAAAAAAATTATTAAATATAGTCAAAATAAAATAAAATAAATTTTTGAAACGTGTCTGAAGATACAATTTGCATTTTATTAATTTCTGAGTCCAATAGCCAGTGGTAATGTGGTCAAGTGGTCAATCAATGTATTAAAATACGTACTTGCAGTTTTTGCTTATATCATTCGTAGATGAAAGCTATTCCATTTCTCAAATCATTGCAGATAAATATATATCCATGTCACCGAGCAAAATTATTAATGTCAGTCGTGTACTTAGCCATTCAGTGAGTCCTGTTCACATCAATAAAAAAATATCCCAGAAGCATGCATCACACGTATCTTTTGAAATCATTTAAAGAATAATAATTTTCATTTTTTTTTTTTAATTTAGTTTTTTTTGTATTCAATAAATTAAAAACATGTTCAATAATAAAAAAAATTAATGACATTTATATTTTAATATTACTTTTTAAAAATATATATCATTTTATTAGAAAAGGCCATAATGTTTATTTGTGATTGAAATTTAAATGATTTCTAAATTAGAAAAATGCATACATTAACTACTTAATTTATGAAAAACAGGCAATTTTTTTTTTAAAATAAACATGCAGATTTATAAAACATCGAAATTTGAAATATTGAAAATAGAAATTTAATTTACTTACTCTTTGATTCGCTGTAATTTGAGAACATTTTTTACAGGTGCTGTAATCAATTGATGCAAAAATGGTCCATCCATGTTTATGTTAATTTACTCGTAATTAACAAAAAGGATATTTCTTTTGGCTGAAGAATTCAGATTAGATTATTCCCTTTAAATGGGATACACCTTACACATCTCCAGAAATTTATCCTGCTGAACTTTGACATTCTTCATTCTCTCTGAGTAAGTGTTTAAAAAAAAAATGATCTTTTAAATCAAAAATAAAAGTGAAAGTTTTAATGAAAATTTAAAAAAAAATTACCATTAAAATATTAAAAATATTTTCTTTCCAGTAATTTAATAATTTGAATGGTTTTGCAATTATTTTTTTTTATTTTAATATTGTTACTCTATTTTGAAATTATTCCATTAAATTAATGCATTGACATATTAAAAGAAATAATAACATCTTTTGAATTCAATAGTTCTATTGTACTATAGTTAATAAAGTCTAATAAAAGACTTAATATAGAGTAATAAATAATGCAAACAATTGTTACGTGAGAAATTCGCAACAAATTATAATTCACATAATTTAGTCAATATATTAAAAAAAAAAAAAAAAATCTGGAGCAACTAACCATAATTTTCTTCTTCATCACTTTTGTTTTTTAATCACTAATTATAATTGATAAACTCTTTTACGAGTCTGCCTGTCAAAGTACAACTAATATAGAGAATTGTTTGACGTATAAAGCAAAGCAGACTAAAAGCCCATCAGCTGGTATCTATCTCTTCTTGAAGTCTTTTTCTCTCGTCCTCTCTCTCTCCCTTGCTCTCCCCGATTCGTTCTAAACAGGCTGGCAAGCTCTTTGAATTCCCCTAGAGTTTGTAACTCAATAATCGATTCTTCCTGCTTTTAATGTAGAAGCAAAAATATATTGGAAAAAGGGATTTAAATAGCTAAGATATTATTAAATACCTTGATATTTAACATATACTCTAAGACCCTGGAAAATTATAATTTTATAATGTAATATATATTTTTTCTCTTTAAAAAAAAAATGTCAATCAGGAATACCAATTTTTAAATGACGACCAAATAACGTTAGGGGTTTATTCTCTTCTTACTTGTTAGAATATTAAAAATTAAAAATAATTATTTTATTATCAGTGAATAAATATTAATCTAATATCATTAAATAAAAGAATCTTTCGATTTTTCATATATTCAAAGAAATAAATACAATCGAATAAAAAGCAATATCTGTCGGATGCTGTATTATTTTTTAAAATAGTTTAATAAAAATTATTATTTTAAATATAGATTTTTATAATTTCATTATGGAAATTATTATATTAATGTTTGTTATCAAATAATTTAAAAATAATCGCTCTTGGTACATATTTAAAAATTATTGATGAAGTAAATTTTAAAGAGCTTATAATTCAATGTGGAATTTAATGAATCAATAAATTGATATTAAATTTTGCATGAATTGAGTGAATGTTCGGTTCACGTAGCAACCTTGTACCTTTATATTACATGTATAGAGATTGTTACTCAATTAAAAAGTGGAAACTACTTTAAATCGTGAAAGTAGGGAACATTTTAAAAAGTCAGAGATATTATAAATACGTGAAAATATTTTTTTTTTGTTACTTATAACAAATTACGTTTACTAATAACAAAATTTGAAAAATTTGTTTCTAATTTAAAAAATTAAATTTCAATTCTAATTTTAACATTTAAAACTATTATTTAAATAATTTTAAAAATCTATCCAGATGGTAGAAAAAACAATGAAAAATATAAATTTTCCACAATTAACATTTTATTGTTATTACTCAATTTTGTTTACTTAAATAATAATTTTTTTTTTAATTTGTCCACTAGTATTGCATTAATAATGTTTATCGCTTATAATAAGATAATAATAATTAAAGGCATAAAGTATCGCGTGATGTATTTAAACTCCGTTTCCATGGTAACGGAATGAAGGAATGAATGGTATAATGTTTTCAGTTCAGTTTCATATTCCTCATTTTTAGACTGCGTTTGTCAGCTGTTCAGTTCAGTTCAATATGGAATAACGCAGTGTTACAATTGCTTTGTTATAAAGACTTTGGAGCGAGATTAACACAAGCAAAATAGCCTGTGTGCAATCGTTATCGTGCAATTTATGCAAAATTTCGCCCGTAACGTGGATGTGTTGACACAAGGTCTCAAGTACGGTATATCCGGCCTCATGAACCTCGCAAATCAAACTGCTGATCCTCAGAATGGTGTTTTTTTTGTCAATTTCAATCAAGATTGCACGTAAGTAAATGTGCAACCTTTCATGCATTGAAATGATAAGTTTTAAAAAAAATTAAATTCACAATCGTCATGATTTGACGCTTCATATATATACTGGATTGTTTAACTCCCTTTTTGTCACCCGCGTAAACGGGGATAAAAATTTTTTATTCACGCATGGCGTCACCCCGTGCTTGCGCGTTTCTTCTCGCGCAACTGGTCACTTGTGTTTTAATTTTTTTGCGTCATCTCTTTTGGTTTCCCCCTTTCACTAATTAATTGCGTATCAAGAACAAACATTAGACTGTAATCGTAAACTAATGCTGTGTTTACGTCGATCAGCTGTGTCACAATAATTGTCCTTGTCATTCTTGTTTAAATGTCCTCTCTTTAATTTCTTATTCTCATCTACTATATACACCTGTGATTCCTTTTGTTGTCTCTTGCAAATGTGTTTCTTTTTCATTTTCTTATAAATGATATGAAAAAAAAAATGAACGTAACAGTCTGTTCTTTTTTCACCTTGACGTCAATAACCAATGAAAATCAAACTATACATTTATCTTAGTTTGATTAGTCATTTACGGAATTTCACTAACAAAACAACATTTTTAACTCCCACATGCAAATTTTATTATTTATTTAGCTTCAAAACTAGAAATGCATGATATATAAATGTGATGATTTAATGTAAAAAGAATAAAAAAATTCAGATCAATTTTTGTTTACTGTTTGTAATTTACATTTTTTTTTCTACAAAAAGGATAATGTTTTTTAAATTTTAGCAATTTTATTTGTACTTTAAAGGGTTTTTATTTTTATTTATTTTTTTCATTCGTTTTCATTTATTCATTTATACATGTTCTCTTATTCTTCAAGATTAGATAACTTTTTATCTAATCTTAAAGAATAAGAGAACATGTATAAATATTATTTTGAAAATATTTATTAATTAGAAATGCAAAATTCGAAATTTAACAAAAAAACAAATTTTTCGAAAAAATTGATAATTTAAAAATTAAAAATTTATGTTTGTAGATCATTAGCAGTTGGCTCGAAGTCTGGATATAAGATATTTTCTCTTAGTTCAGTCGACCATCTAGGAAAAATATTTGAAAATGGTAATTTAAATTCATTCTATTAGAAAAATTTCTAAATATAAAAATTTATATTTCATTTTTTTGTTTATAGACACAGAAGATGTGTTCATTGTCGAAAGGTTGTTCAATAGCAGCCTTTTGGCCATGGTTAGCCTATCTTCCCCCCGCAAACTCAAAGTTTGTCATTTTAAAAAAGGAACCGAAATATGTAACTACAGTTACTCCAATACAATTTTGGCTGTGAAACTCAATAGAGCAGTAATTATTTTTTTTTTTTAATTTTAAAAAAGATTTGCAAAAAAATTTAAATAATAATGAATTTTTTTGCTTTTAGAGATTAGTAGTATGTTTGGAAGAATCTTTATACATTCACAATATTCGAGATATGAAGGTGCTGCACACAATTCGAGAAACACCACCAAACCTAGCTGGCCTTTGTACACTTTCTATAAACAGCGACAATTGTTATTTGGCCTATCCTGGTTCAAATACCATCGGAGAAGTTCAAATTTTCGATGCTACTAATCTGGTAAATTCAAAAATAATGAAAAATATTTCTTATTTTGCAAGCTAGTTTTTAAATTATAAAAATATCAATCATCATTAAAAAAGTGATAAATTTAAATTTATTTTCGCAGCAAGCCAAAACGATGATTCCAGCTCACGATAGTCCATTGGCAGCTCTTGCTTTCAGTCCTAATGGAACAAAAGTTGCAACTGCGTCAGAAAAGGGCACTGTCATTAGAGTCTTTAACGTAAGATTTGTAAATAAAATATCAAAAAAAAAATTTTATATTAACAAATTTTTTTTCAGGTTAATGATGGCACAAAACTTTTTGAATTTCGCCGAGGGGTGAAAAGATGTGTCTCAATAAGTAGTCTTGCTTTCAGTATGGATTCGATGTTCCTTTGTTGTTCTAGTAACACGGAAACAGTACATATTTTTAAATTGGAGGAACCGAAGGACGCGTGAGTGTATAAATTAAAAAAATTTCCCGTTTGTTTTTTTTAACGAATACTAAAAAATTTTTTTTCATAGGCCTCAACAACAGCCAGAAGAGGCTCAAAGTTGGATGGGCTACTTAACGAAAGCAGTTTCCGCGTCGGCGAATTACTTACCTTCTCAAGTCACCGATGTGTTTAATCAAGGTCGTGCCTTTGCAAGTGTTCATTTACCTTTTCAAGGATTAAAAAATGTTTGTGCCATCACTACGTAAGTAATTCGAATTTTTGTTTTTGTGAAAAAAAAAATTTTAATCCACTGATTGGAAATAATTTTTATTTTTTTCTACAGCATACAAAAAGTGTTGAGGCTTCTCGTTGCCAGTGCTGACGGTTACCTCTACGTTTATAATTTGGACACGAATGAAGGCGGTGATTGTACTCTTTTGAAACAACACAGGTAAAATTTTGATTCATACGAATCAATTGAAATTGTACGAAATTTACAATTATTAAATTAAATTTATTTAGGTTGGATGGTAAACAAGACGAAGTAGATTGTGCTACTGTTTCGACAACTGGCTCGGGAGAGAGTTCCGTAACTGCAAATCAAGCTGTTCCAAATTCAGGTATGATAATGGCATATCAATAACTTTGTCAGAGTGAATTTCTTTAAATTTAAAAAAAAAAAATCAAATTATTGAAAAAAATGGTGACAACTCAATTTCATTGATATGACCAATTAGTTTTATCTATTAGACTAAGTAATTTTTGCATGACAGAGTGCGTTTGAAGATTAAAAATAATTGAATAAAATCAATAAAGTTGTATGCAAATATTACTTTTAAAAAAATAATATTCGCCTTGAGCGTTCGTGGTTGCAAATAATAATTATCCTTGTCCGTGTCTAAATAACAGATATATTTCTGTTTCTTTAAATTAATTTGTGCATGGCTAAAGTGTTGAAATCATCATAATTGCGTGTCAAATTAAATAATTTAAAAAATTTGATGGAAATCTAAACTTGTTTTTATTTGCAAAATATTGTTTCTGATTTTTTTTTTTTGTAAAAATATTTTTTAAAAAATAATTATTTAATGTACACGTATTCCAGTAGGCTAATTACACGATAGTTTTTGAAATAAAAGACAGAAATGATTTTTTATGAGAAATTAATGTAAATTTTAATATTTAGCAAAATGTTGCTATTAGGTTACTATGAATGTGAACACATTTTCAAGTTTTTTTTTAAATGGCATTTCACTGTATTTTTAATATTTTCTCTAATTTTTGCACTAAATCTGTGGTTAAATTTTTTTTAGATACACACATTAGTATTTTTTTTTTTATTGAATTTGTATTTATTTAAAAAAAAAACCATGCACAACAATTTAAAAAAAACGAGTGAATGGTGCGGAATAAAGTTAGTGATTTTTAGAGGCCTTTTTTTGATTGCTTCTTTCTTTTTTTTCGCTTCTTGTGATTCCCCCCCAAAATGTAAAATTGCTAGATAAATTTTTCTTGGGGAATTGGGGGCCCCCCAAATAGTTGACCTCACTTGATGTATTTTTTTCTTTTTATTCGCTGAAGCCTGCATAAATAGCTACGCGGGTGCGTTGCGTGGCCGCTCGCCAGACTCCATGTCAGGTACTGGTATGTCCTCTATTCTCCCCCTTTTCTCGCTCTCATTCTCAAACACATTGGGCCCTTGGTATTATATTGCCTTTCTCTTCGCTTCATCAAATAAAAAGCATTCAATCACTTAATAAGGGACACTCATGTTCACACTCATTTTTACTCTATTCTTCAAATATAATGGTTTTTTATTAACGATTAATATTATTAACAATATAAATATATATTTCGCTTCTTTTAGACGCATAGAAACAAGACAAAGATAAAAAAAAATTTTTAAGTAACACAAGTATTTCTAGAAAATTATTGTTTTTATGCGTTTTTTTATTATTAACTCAAAATAATGTACACTGAAAAAGAAATTATTTTATTTCTATATAATCGATTGACTACTATAAAATAAATTTTTCATTAAATAGTATTTGTTTCGAAATTATTGGTTTAATTATTTTAAATAAATATTTATTTTATAATAATCATATTTGCATTTTTTTCAGTTTACTTATTTAATCTCTACTAAAAATTAAGTGTTAATAAAAAGATTGCTTCTCAAGCTAAGGATAAAATAACAAAGAACTTTTTATCTGCTATAATTTATTCAATTTAAAAATTATACGTGTAGATAACGTGTAATTAGCCTGAAAATTTCATTAAATAGAGAAATATTTTTTTAAACTCTTTGTGTTACTTTCTACATTGATTTTGAAGAAAATTTTTTTTATAAAATTTCTACACGATTGAGATTTCCCACAAATTTTGAAACAATTTTTTTTTATCTCACTGCATGCTAATTCAATTTTTCAAAAGCAAATATTTTTTTTTGTGTTTTATAAAGGCATGAAATTTTAATTAACGAGTTTTGGTTGACGAAATATTTTCAAAAAATAAGTGTCCGCATGTTTGTACAAAAATTGCAAAAGGGTTTCTTTTCTTTCTTTTTAACAACCACGTTATATTGTAGTTTTATTATTATCTTCTAAATGTAAGTCGTACAATTTTATTATGATAAAAATGAATATTTTTGTTTTTGTATATTTAATTTGAAATCGAATTTCATTGTCCTCATAATTTAAGTTTTAAACCTTTATATTGCACATTTAGTTTTTCAGGATTTTAAATTTACAGATAAATTAGTTCTTATAAATTATAAATATTTTCAAATGACATAATCGTAAATTCGCTTACAAGCATTGCTTCAAAGGCACTCATTAAAATCCACGTCATTATTGTCACAGCAACCATTTATTCACTGTACTTAAAAAAAACCATGTTTTGCAAATAAATTTTATGAAAATTCATATTAATGGAGATTTTAAAATCTACATTAAGTGAACAATTTTATAATTTGTTTGTAATGCACCTCTATAAGCTATATAATGTCAAGTCGATCGAATTCCAAATAATTTGGAAAAAAACGGTTAACATTTTTGTATTATGAATTTATTAATTTGGTAAATCTAATGCTTTTCAATTTTACTATTTATCAAAAGGTAAGTATTGCTTATGATTTTTTTTTTTTTTTTAATTAAAACGTAGATAAAAATAGGGGTGATTCTTTTTAGTATAATTAATATTTAATTGATAAGTCATCTGGGTAAAAAAAAAACTAAATATTTTATAATAAATTTGCACTTTTCACAAAAAACGTAGATTGCACGAAAATAATTTATAATATGGAATAAAATATAAATTTCTTTAAATATAATTTTGTTTTAAGACGGTGAATGTGGGTATTGAATTTGGTTTATTGTGGTATTTAGAAAATATGCTAACTTTTACATGGATAAATTATAGAGTAAAAAAAATTTTTTTTCGTTCGTAATTGTAATCAATTGAAACCAGCAATCAATGTCACTTTTAACATTTTATTTTAACAAAAACTAATTAAAATTTTTTTGCATAAACCTGAGTGGGATCGGAAATTTACTGGGTAAATGTTTTAATTTACTTAATGTTGATTTTTGTTAATAAAACTTTGTTGAATCATAAAAAACAAAAAAAAAAACTTTTGAAACGGTCAAATTTTCGGTTTTATTTTTAGATTGAATGTTTTAAAAATTAAAAATAATTTAAGTTCTTCCAAATTTCTATATTTTAATTGATTTTTTTAGTTTTAAAATGATTTGATAAAAAATTGCAAGTATCTTTTGAAAAAAAAGTCTTTAAAAACTGATCGGCTTGACATTTTACTTATAAAAAAAAAAATGTTAGAATCTTTGATGTATGAATTTAATTTTATAGAATCGGAAAAGTATCATGAATGGATAGCAGCAACGGAAAGTCCGCCAAAAGGTGGTGGACCTTTTCGTTTGGATGACGACACAGAATTTCCACCTGTTACACAAAGAACGGATTGAAGGAATAATGATCCGCATATCAAAAAAAGGACGAAGAGATTTTTCCAGAGGATAGAAAAGTGAATTTTGTGATCAAAATTTCCTCTGTGATTTTTAAACACCAAGATTATTACGAAAAAAATAAAATTTGCAGTTTATATAAAAAAAAAAACAGAAAAAACAAATTAGACTATATTTCTCTTCAACTTTAGTTCTTGAATGCAATAATATCAGTTTTGGAAGTCTAAAAGCTGGAAACACGACATGTTGTGGAGTACACAATAATAATAAAAAAAGGATAGGAAATAAATATATTTCCGCAGTGTTCATAGAATATGGCGTTTATATAGATTATTTGTATGTAATTTATTAATTTAAAAAAAAAATCATCGGTGCCAATTCGTAGATCCGTTGGGACTCGACCGACATTGATAACGCTTCCGAGCGAATTATTTGTACATTATTTTAATTTTTGATTTATTACCATTATTCTCAATATGGTAGAAAAAAAAACACACACACTGTATTTGTCGTAACTCTTGTCTGTGTAATAATATGTAACCAAATGAGCATGTATTCGAGTTACCGTAGAAATTACTGAATGGAGGTGTACGACTTGCATACGATAGGCCAGTGTCATACATATATCCACAATATGTCCTTCGGTTTTATACTAACGAACCTTGTTTAGTATATATAAATATATATAAAAAAAAATAAAAACACTGATGACAAATGTACATACATACAAATGTTAACACATTGATGTCAGTACTCGTAAGATTATTATTTTTATTATTATTATCATTAATACATACATAAATTGTATGATTTAGGCTCTCATGCATTAAGACAATGCTTTCCTAAAAAAAAACTTCCACTCTAAGGTTTTCGATATGACTACCCATAAAGTGGAAAAAATGTGATGATAGGATGTACAGTTATTATCAAACGATTACTTGTTTATCAACATCTCAAAGTAGGAAGTAAAAACTTTTTGTCTAATAAAAATTCACTTTTCTCTAATTATTTACTTATTATTCAAATATCCCAAAAAAAATTTTTTAGAGCCAGTTTCACCAACTCTGGTTAAAAGTTAATTAAAGCCAATTTAATCGCTCATGATTGGTGGATTAGGGATTTAATGGCTGATTAACTTTTAATCGGAGTTGGTGAAATTTGCCCTTAAGGTTTAAAATGTTTCGATTTTTAATTGAAAATGCAGCTAGATTAAATTTTGTAACTTCTTTTATTTCAGTTTACAGTATTTTTTTTACCCATAAGAATTTTACATCGACGTGGTCGATTTTAAAAATAAAATTGTGCACCAAAAAAGGAAAGAAAATAAAATTCACAAAAATTTAATATTACGCACAGTTAATGAAAAATAAGAATAAATAAAATTACGAATATTGTAATTGAAAAATTCAAATTTTCATTACAATGACTTTTCAAAATTTATGACATTACAGACATGCTGCACAATTTCTTCCTTTTTTTTTAAGTATTTTAAATAGTAATTTCTAATCTGTAAAATTCTTAATATATAAATATTTTTCGATAAAAATTTCCACTCTGATTTAATTGTAGAATTATGACTTAAAAAAGTTTTAAGTTATTCTTGGATATGATGAAGAAAAATTTGACATTTCAAAATCGTATAACGGTCGAAAGAAAAACCATAATCACATAACGGGGAAATCTTTACAAAAACGAATTTTACAGGATGGAAACCAAAATAATTTCTATTATCTTATTCCTATGTTTGTCTGGCGCAACTATACTTGTTTTTTTTACGCGTACATATTTCAAGTTTTCTACAATTAATGCATGCGTTTCTTAGCACTTTTTTTTTTTTTTAGAGTTTTAGAGCGCCAACAATAAAAATAATAATAATGCTAGTGCCGCTGCAGCAAAAGGGTCTATCTTTGAATGTATGGCGCATAAAAAAGAAAAATGAATTCGATTTAATGACCCTTGTATACAAATTCGACATTGAATAGAAAAAGAATTGCAAAGATTACTACTGCACAAAACAGTTATCTACCATTTTACATATCAGTCGAATTGGTGCTTGATAAAATATGTACGATGATTAAGGCTAAAAAAAAATGAAAATACTCAAACTTCAGACATACATCATACGCCCTTCATATAAAAAGTTCGTTACTCAATTTATTTATTTCGAATTTTTCATGAACCATATTTTTAAAAAACATTATCGTGCAATTAACACGTTAATAGACAGGCCCTTTTGTCGAATGCTTCACTGCTTTTCAAATACAGAAAACTTAACTATATAGATCATCATCGCCATCGTCTTGGAACGGTTGATCTTGTGTAAGGTCTTGAGTACCTGGTGCTCCTCCACTTTGTGGAAATCTGTGTTAAATTTCAAAATATTATTTTTTTGTCTTTTTCAATTTTTTTTTTTTTAATAAATAAATAAATTATTACACACCTGAAATTTGTTCCAAAACCTCGAGATTGTTGAAGAGTTTGTGCAAACATTTCGTATTTGCGAATATCGTTATCCGAAACTGAACGACGAGCAAACCTCATTGCTTCTTCGAAGTGAGCTCTTGTAATTTCCGGTACAGGATCCTCTTCATCCATCTGCGTTAAGAATAATTTAATTAGTTTCAAATTTTCATATTTTTTAATACGCATTTTAATTATACTTACATCCATACAGACAGAAGGATTAGCAACTCGATCTTTTTCTCTTCGAATTTCAGTTTCAATGCATTGTCTAATTGCAAGTTTACAAGCACGTTGACAAATTTCTGTCAAATCGGCGCCAGAAAATCCGTGTGTTACTTTAGCTATGTAGCACAAATCAACATCCTAAAAAAAAAACAAAAGGATTTTAAAATAAAAAAAGTAAACAAAAAAAAAAATAATACATAAAGAGGCAAATTCTTACTTGAGCTACGGGAGATTTGCGTAGATTTGCTTTGAAAATAGCTTCACGCGATTTCTCATCGGGAAGTGGAATATAAATCAATTGATCCAATCTTCCTGGACGAAGAATAGCGGGATCAATAATATCAGGACGATTCGTTGCTCCAATAATGAAAACATTTTTCTTTGCCCCCATACCATCCATTTCAGTTAAAATCTGATTAATTACTCTGTCAGCTGCGCCGCCAGCGTCACCGACAGTTCCACCACGTGATTTTGCAATTGAATCCAATTCGTCGAAAAACAATACACATGGCGCTGCTGATCTGGCTTTATCAAAAACATCTCTAACATTTGCTTCCGATTCACCAAACCACATTGTCAATAATTCAGGACCCTTTACTGATATGAAATTCGCTTGACATTCATTGGCAATTGCCTTTGCCAACAATGTTTTACCACAACCAGGTGGTCCATAGAACAAAACACCTCTTGATGGTTGCATGCCAAATTTCAAGAATTTATCTGGATGCTCAACTGGATATTGAACCAATTCTTGAAGTTCCATTTTCACGTTCTGCAAACCACCAATGTCATCCCATGATACTGTCGGTACTTCGACAATTGTCTCGCGAAGAGCACTGGGACTGCTCTTTGTCATTGCGTACTGAAAATTAAAGTTAAAAAGTTGTTCATTTCATGACTATTTAGCTTCATCAGGAGGAGAGGAAGCAAAAGATATTAATTTCCAATTTCTGATCTAAAAAGTTGTTTTAGCGTAAATATTACCTTAAAGTTCTCCATAGTAACAGCAAGAGAATTTAATACTTCGGCATCTACAACATCGTCTTCTAAATCAATTAAATCCATTTTCTCACGAATTTGCTGAAGAGCAGCCTCTGAACAAAGTGAAGCCAAATCTGCGCCAACGTGACCATGAGTTTCAGCGGCAATCTAGAGAAAAATTTAATTTAAAATTTGGAAAAAAAAAACTAAAATTCATCTACAAACCTCTTCCAATTCAACATCATCGGCAAGTTTCATATTTTTTGTATGAATACGCAAAATTTCCAAACGTCCAGTCGCATCCGGAATGCCAATATCAATTTCTCTATCGAAACGACCAAAACGACGCAAAGCTCCGTCAATGCTATTAGGCCTATTGGTAGCGGCCATAACAATAACATGAGCACTCTGTTTCATGCCATCCATTAAAGTAAGAAGCTGTGAAACAATACGCCTTTCTACTTCACCATGGGTTTTTTCTCTTTTTGGTGCAATAGCGTCCAATTCGTCAATGAAAATAATGGCCGGTGAATTTTTTTCAGCCTCCTCAAATGCCTTTCGTAAATTACTTTCCGATTCTCCAGCCAATTTACTCATTATTTCAGGTCCATTAATTAAGAAAAAGAATGCTCCAGTCTCATTTGCAACAGCTCGTGCAATAAGAGTTTTACCTGTTCCCGGTGGTCCATAAAGAAGAATACCACGTGGTGGCTTAACACCAATAGCTTTAAACAATGAAGGATGTCGTAGTGGTAATTCAACCATTTCCTTAATTTGTGCTAATTGCTTTCGTACACCACCAATATCATCATAACCAACAGCGTTCAATGCTTCTTCCTCCTCCTCACGCTTTATCGGATCGCCCTCACAATGAATTACTGTATCCGGTGCAACAATACAATAAGGACCGGGATCTGTTTCAACAACTTTGAATTCAACAGCACGCATTCCTCCGCGTACAATAAAATTGTCATCCTTATGTATTGGTCGATAAGCTTCCAAAAAGTATGGTTTTAAATAAACTTCAAATAAATTTCCAGTTAAACCTTCAACAGTATCGTCCATTGGTAAAACGTGTATACGTTTACCGTATTTCACATCTGGTGCCGCTTGCACAGAGACAACGTCACTTAATCGAACTCTTAAATTTGTTCGTACAACTCGATTCATTCTTATTTTTTCATCAGGACATGTGTCATCGGAAAGAACAATGCAAACTGTTTCTTTCCTACGTTTTCCTTTAAGCAAAACAGTGTCTCCACGAAATAGTTGGAGTTCATCCATTTTCGCTTGGGATAAACCCACAACGGAATTGTCATCATTGGTCGCTTCATCAACAATTAATCTGTTTGGCCTGTCCTTTTTGCGCAAAATTGCTGTAGCTAAATCTTCACCACTGAAACAAACAAAAAAATCAAAATTTTCATTTTCTTTGTTCTAACAAAAAAAAAAAAATTCTCAATTAAAATATTTTTCATCTCTTATCAAATATTCCAATAAAAAATTTGTTTATAACATGAAAAAATTGTATAAAATTAAATATTAGTTTGAAAAAATTATTTCAAACAGCCAATCAGAACAAAGCAAGTGTAGATCTTTCAATCGTACTGAATCATTCTGTTCAGTGAATATATTTTTAGAATTAATTATTCTTCCAAACAATGATAATACAAAATTTATTAAAAAAAATACCCCTTTGTTAAAAGAAAAAAAAATTTTTTTTTGACAGTTTTTCATTAATAAAAAAAAATTATCATTGTTCTAAAAATCTGGATTTGTTCCAAATTGTTAGGTTAGGAACAATTATATAAATCCGTCTAAAAATTTTTAATTACTTTGTTCTTATAATTATTAGGAATTTTTACATTTTAGAAAAAATATTAACATATGACTGACATTTTTTTGTCGACTCGTTTGTTGATCTGGCAAACTGGAAAAGATACCGAAACATAATTTATCTTTATACTATAATTAATTATATAGAATTTAAATTAATGGGAAAATTTTTTAATATATCGTCTATCAAAGATATTGAATATAAAATAGAATTATTTTAAAAGATAAAACTTGTCGAGTTTTGACGCAAAATTTTGTGAAACAACGCGCGGCGTCGACATGATGACAACGTGAAATTGATAGAGGCGGACCTAGCGTACATTTCGAAAATGCATTTAATATTAGATGAAAAGCAAAAGAAATGTGAAAATTACAAATTCTCGAATTTATTAACATATTTATTATACTAAAATTTCTCTTACCTTTTTGGGTCACTCATGATTCACAAGATATTTTTCTGAAAAAAGCACAGGTATGAAACGCTATACTTCTTTTAGAAATCACTCGGGATACTGCAGGACACGAACTAGCACAATGAAGTTTTCCACATATCGGTGTCTAACATGAACTGACATGAACGAGCCAATCCAATTAGGTTTAACGTGTACGCATGAACCAATCATCTTCATCCATTCAAAATTATTTATTTATTAAATAATTTCATTTAATAATTTTATTACAATTTTTCTATGCAAAAGTTTTAAATATATATTATGTGACTGAAATCTTTTGCAATAAAAAGAAAAAAAATTCATTATAACCTATACTACAAATTCTTGGTAAATTGAAATTCGCGCTACATTCGAGAGAGGCGGTAAATGGTGGGAAATTCAAAAGTAGTCAGGATATTAATTATTGTTAAACAAATAAACATAGGGTTTTTAAAAAATTAAAAATAATTTACTGACTAGTTTTATATGAATTAATTGAATTCTAATAGTTATATATTATATATTATTTTTGAAAATATTTACTCTTGTGAACACCTCGTATTTTCGAACATTTGATGAACGTTTTGGTTGAGTTTTTTTTTGTTTGTTAATTAATATTATTACACAGTTAATTTTCATTTGTACAACAATAGAGAATAAAAAAAAATTCAGTAAGTAAGTGAATAAAATGATTATTAGATCAAAATTTATTTTAGATATATAAAAATATATATTCTAACCTATAATTATTGTTATTTTTCTTTGTTTAATTTTTTATATATGAATATTTAAATAATACAATATTAAATTATATAAATTGTTTGTATATTTGCCAATTGTTTATTTATTATTTACAATATTGTTGACCTCAAATTTATTACGTTTTAATATATGTAAATAATTAAATAAGTTTTGTAGATGAATGTGTGTATATATTCTAACATATACAATTATGAATTCTCCATGCCGACAATAACGTCACAATACTGATATATATGTAATTCAAAATTGCTTCAGGGTCACAAACACTTATTGGAGCCTGAGAAGGGAACACGTTCCATCTTTTCTTTGTGTTTAAGAGAAGCATTTATTACTTTCATAAAAGTTTTTTTTTTGGATAATTTTAAAAACTTTTCAAGAAAAAATGAATAGTGGAAAAATTGGTAAGAAATTAAAAATATTTATTTTATTTTTAATTAAATTTTCTATTAAAAAAATATTCAATTACATTAAAGCACGTGGCAATTTGATCTCTTGTACCGGATGTAGGAAAATAATTATTGTAAATTACAAGTAGAATAATTTGAGATTTTATTCTTTTTATAAGAGAAAAATTAATGAGAAATATTGAAAAAATTACTGCTAATTTAATTAATTATTATTGAATTTCAGCTTTGTTAAGTGTCTCCGATAAAACAAATCTTTTGCCATTTAGCAAAAAATTACATGAATTAGGATTGACATTAGTGGCATCAGGTGGTACGGCAAAATCATTAAGAGATGCCGGTCTTCCAGTTAAAGATGTTTCCGATATTACAGGAGCGCCTGAAATGCTTGGAGGACGTGTAAAAACACTTCATCCTGCCGTTCATGCTGGTAATTTGTTTACTAATTTTTTTTTTTTTTTCAATTTATGTAAAAAGGAAAAATAAATTTTTTTAAATAAATTAAATTTTATTGTACAGGAATCTTGGCAAGATTGACAGATTCAGATCAAAAGGACTTACGAAATCAAAATTATGATCTGATTCGTGTTGTTGTTTGTAACTTGTATCCATTTGTGAAAACAACATTGAAACCAGATGTGACGCTAGAAGATGCAGTCGAAAACATTGATATTGGAGGCGTTACATTATTAAGAGCTGCAGCCAAGAATCATTCAAGGGTGACTGTTATCTGTGACCCAAACGATTATGATAAAATAATCAATGAATTACAAAACTCTACTGACAAAGATACCAAGCCTGAGACAAGGTATATATTTATTTCTTACTTTGCAAATATAATTTACTTTAATTTACAATTAAAATTTGAATAATATTTTTTAATTTTTGTATTTTTTAGACAAACATTAGCACTGAAGGCATTCACTCACACTGCCGAGTATGATAATGCAATTTCTGATTATTTTCGAAAACAATATAGCGCTGGTGTTTCACAAATGACACTTAGATATGGAATGAATCCACATCAAAAACCTGCTCAAATTTTTACTGCTTTGGAAAAATTACCATTGACTGTTGTTAATGGTTCACCGGGATTTATAAATCTTTGTGATGCATTGAATGGTTATCAACTTGTTAAAGAATTAAAGGCAGCTCTTAATTTACCAGCTGCAACTTCATTTAAACATGTGAGTCCAGCTGGTGCCGCTGTTGGTGTTCCTTTAGATGATGCCAATGCTAAATTATGTCAAGTTGACGATATTGTTAATCAATTAACTCCATTGGCGACAGCTTACGCTCGAGCTAGAGGCGCTGATAGAATGTCAAGTTTCGGTGATTTTGTTGCTTTATCCGATCCTTGCGATACACCAACAGCAAAAATCATCTCAAGGTAATTTAGAAACGAAAAAAATCATCAAAATACAGTTAAAAATTTTTTTTTTTTTTTTTTTGTCTTTCAGAGAAGTATCAGATGGTATTATTGCCCCTGGATATTCGGAGGAAGCACTTGAAATTTTGAAAAAGAAAAAAAATGGTGGCTATTGTATTTTGAAAATTGATCCAAATTATGAACCCGCTCCAATGGAGCGTAAAGTTCTTTATGGATTGACTTTGGAACAAATGCGTAATGATGCTGTTATTGATAGAAATACATTTGGCAATTTAGTTACCAAGACTAATAGTTTGTCTGATTCTGCAATTAGAGATTTAATTGTGGCAACAATTGCTGTCAAGTATACACAAAGTAATTCTGTATGTTATGCAAAAGATGGTCAAGTTGTTGGAATTGGAGCTGGTCAACAATCACGTATTCATTGCACAAGACTTGCTGGCGATAAGGCTGATAACTGGTAAAAAAAAAAAATGTTAAATTATTTTATATTAGTAATTTGTAAAATTTGTTTAATTCAGGTGGTTACGTCAACATCCAAAAGTGACTGGCATGAAATTTAAAAAAGGTGTTAAACGAGCGGAAATTTCAAATGCAATTGATAATTATGTTAATGGAACTGTTGGAAAGGATATGGATGAAAAAATTTGGGCCTCAATGTACGAAATTGTGCCCGAGAAATTAACTGAGGAAGATAAAGTTGAATGGATAAAGAAATTGAATAACGTCGCTTTAAGCAGTGATGCTTTCTTCCCATTCAGAGATAACGTTGATAGAGCACGTTTGGTAAGGAATTATTTTCTATCATAATTATAATTCCATAATTATTGTTCCACAATTATTGTTTCTTTTTTATTACTTACTTAATTTTAAGAACATTGTTTTAATTTTTCACAGAGCGGAGTTGGATTTATAGCAAGTCCTGCAGGATCGACAAATGATGAAGCAGTGATAGCCGCTTGTAATGAACACAATATCACTTTGGCTCATACCAATGTCAGATTATTCCATCATTGAATGATTAAAAAAAAAAAAATGTTATTTACATGTTACATACAACTGGGTCCAAATATATTTTTCTATTACAATTTTTATGAGATTCCGATCAAAGACTGAAACTCTGTTAAGGACCAATGTTAAATTTTATAATATTAATTTTACAAACACACACAACTGTAAATGTTTCATTTGTTACAAATAAATTACATCCAGTTATTAAATGAAAAAAAAATTGTCTTTTATTCCTTTTAATTTGTATTTAGCGCCTGAATATAAAGGCGAGTTCATAATTCGATTGCTGGTGTCGAGTTGTGAAATCTATTTATAATATAATGTTTATGATCTAAGCAGACGCCGGCTGCAAAAATTGTTAAACGTCAAGATTCACAATTGTTTTTCTTTTAATTATTTTAAAAAAACAAAAAAGTAACGAAAACAATTGCAAAAATGAGTAATTCAGGACTTTCTGATCAATCCCTCATGGATAAATCCATGCGAAGTGTTTTTGGTGAGTAATTGTATTTCCCATTGTGTTAATATTTTTATAAAAAAAAAAAAATATTTAATTATTTTTTACAGTGGGTAACATCCCCTATGAAGCAACAGAAGAAAATTTAAAAGATATTTTTAGTGAAGTTGGACCTGTTCTATCTTTTAAGTGAGTAATTTTATTTATTTTGCTAAACAAAACATAACCTCACATTTATTGATTATTGAAAAACATTTTAATGGAGAACCTTTTTTTTATAGATTAGTCTTTGATCGAGAGACTGGTAAGCCAAAGGGTTATGGATTTTGTGAATATAAAGATCAGGAGACTGCACTCAGTGCAATGAGAAATTTAAATGGCTATGAAATTGGTGGGAGGACACTTCGTGTTGACAATGCTTGTACAGAAAAATCCCGTATGGAAATGCAGAGTCTTTTACAAGGTCAAAATACTGAAAATCCTTATGGTGAAGCAGTACAATCTGATAAAGCACCTGAGGCAATAAGTAAAGCAGTTGCCTCACTTCCACCAGAGCAAATGTTTGAATTAATGAAACAAATGAAACTTTGCGTTCAAAATAATCCAGTTGAGGCTCGTCAAATGCTTTTGCTTAATCCTCAACTTGCTTACGCATTATTACAAGCTCAAGTTGTTATGAGAATAGTTGATCCTCAAACTGCTGTTGGTATGTTACATAAAGCGAATCCAATTCCCGGGGCACTTACACCATCTGAAAAACCACCAGTACATCAAGCACCACCAAGAATTGAAGAACCCTGGACACAAGCGAGACCGACACCAGCACCTAATCCACCTACTTCTATTTTTGCTAGTACGTTAATCTTTGTAAATAAAAAAAAAAAACAAGAATTATATATTATATTTTTCAGGTGGTCAAGATGTGGACCTTCGAACATTAGACAGACAAATTGATCCTCGTATGGCAAGAATGGATCAAGATTTAAGAGGCCCTCCACCTGTTCCGGCTGCAAATCCAACACCTGTTGCACCTCCAACTGATACAAGGGCACCCGCACCATTTAATATACCCGAGACGTAAGTAATATTTATATTAATTATTTTTTCTGATTTAAATTGATTACATATTTTGTCATTTTTAATGCAGCGTTCTTCCTATGGAAGGGATTGACAGGTTAAATAAATTTATTAAAATTAAAAATATTTTTCAAGAAAAATACAAAAAATTTTTTTGAATATATGTATTTATTTTTAGCTTTACAAGAGATCCAAGAGCAGATAGATTTGGTCGCGATCCACGTGATCCAAGAGATGCACGAATGCCCGTTGATCCAAGAATGACAAAAACAGTTCGTAAGTGAATTTTTCAATGTTTTTTCGACTTATTTTAATAAAATGTGAATTTTTTTTTTTTACAAAATTTTTAAACAAAATACTTTTTTTTTTAGTATACAATGCAGATATTCTTCAGATCTTTATTTTTATGAAATTTAATAATTGTTTATAGTTTAAAAAAAAATTAGCAACTAAAATTACCAAAAATTTTTAATTCAAAATCACTGGAAATTTAATTATTTGCAAAAAATTTCAATTATTTTTAATGATTTTTATAATATTCATCGAAAATTCAATTATCTGAAACCATTTTTTACTTAAAAAGTTTTAAAATTATTATATTTTTGTCTGCAATTTCTAATACATTTTTTAGTGAAATCATTGAAAAATTTTAAATTAAAAATCACTTAAAGTTCAATTAATTTCAAAAATCTAAATTGTAAATCTTTGAAAATTCAATTAATTGTAAAAAAAATGTTACCTAAAATTATTTGATAAATTATTTTTAGTTCTGTAAAATTTAATTATTGTCTGAAAATTAACAAAATTTATTTGAAATTCAATTATTTCTAAAAAAATTTCTACTTTAACTCATCCAAAATTATTATTTAAAAATCTGTAAAACTTAATTAAGTATTGCCTGAAATTTTTTTTCACCATCAGATTTCAAAAAAAAAATTTAAATGGAACTTTAAGAATTTTTTTTGTAGAAATTTGTCCTACATAAATAAAATTTAAAAAATTTGTCTTACAATTAGTTCGATTCTGAAATATTCGAAATTAATTTTCTTGATAATGTTCATTATAGAATTATTCTCATCACAGAATTAATATTAATATTATTATTTATTCATAGTCCACACCTTTCGGTTTCGGACGAACTTCCGGTTTACATCTTTCATATTCTTATCATTACAGAATTAATAAAAAGAATTTAATATCTAATAACATTAGTTATTTACCTCATGTAAAAAGATATATCTATGTTACATTATTATGAATAAATAAATAAAATAAATAACATTAGTTATTTAAAGTAAAATATTCATTAACCAATTAAATTTTGTTAAAATAAAAAAAAAATTAATTTTTTCGACTTTTTTCGAAATATAAATCGACTAAAACGACTTTTTTTGTGCCTTAAAGTCGATTAAAGGCCTGTTTTTCAAAAACATATATACATATATTTTAATAGAAAATTTTTAAAAGAATTCATGGAAATTATTTTAGCTCCACCAGGACCAGTTGCTCCTCCTCGTCCAGTTGTAGCGCCTACAGGACAGCCTCCCGTTAATTCAGTTAATTCTACAGTACAATCTAATAATCTTTCAACGACTACGGCAAGCAATAGTAATAGTACCAATAGAATTATGTCAGGAATGTCACCAGCAGGAAATATTCCAAGTGGAGCGTCTGATCAAGAAAAAGTAAGTTTATAAAGAAATAATGCTTTTATTTTGTTTTAATAAAAGTTATAAATGATCGTAGATTTTACTCAAAAATGATTATAAAAATATAAAAAAAGTTTTTTTTCTTTCTTAAAAATTACATGTTTTTCTTCAATAACATTTTTCTCATTCTTTTAGGCTGCATTAATAATGCAAGTATTGCAGTTATCGGATGAGCAAATCGCAATGCTTCCTCCGGAGCAGAGACAAAGTATTTTAGTACTAAAAGAACAAATCGCTAAAAGTACACAACGATGAGTGTTTATAATTTAAACAAAAATTTTACATAATAAAGAGACTATAAACGTAAAAAAATATCGTAATTTTGTTTTTAACAAAACATTCTTTTTCTTAATTATTCTAATTTGAATAAACAATATTACAAACTAAACATTGGTTGTTATAATTCTTACTTGAAATAACATAATTCTTTTGATTTACAGCTTTCATAATATAGAATACGATTTCTATTTATTTAAAATAATATTTGTAATTATACTTTTACGTCTTATTCTTTAGACTGGTATTTTAAACTTTTGGCGAAAATAAGTCTTCTTTTATGAGTGGCAAAAGTGCTGGTTGTGTACATTTATTATCAAAAAACAGTTCAACTGTAATTATACGATTGTGGCATTCCTAAAAAAGAAAAATATATTTTATTATTGAAATTTGAAATTTAACAAAAAAATTTTTAATCTTACCTTAATTTTCGCATAAAGTGTTTTATTTTCATAATAATTAACAACTTTTTGTGCAAATTCTGTTTTTGAATGGCCATACTTTGGAACAAGATTATAAACTTTGCAATTTACTGCCATACGAGGTACGGATTTCCATTTGTCATCCATTTGTCTAAGCCTGAAAGGAAAAAAATTCAAATATTCGAAATATCAAATTATAAACTTATAAAATTTATCATACTCATTAATGTCTTTAACGGCACTGTTTCCAAAATCTATATATTTCACTGTGATACTCCATTTTTCGGAACATCCTTCGTATTTGGTTATTAAACCTCTGTACCAATTATTGTCTGTGTATAAAGCAAAACATGGCATATCTAAAACAATGAAAAAAATATTTTACTATCTTTAATATTTATTTAATAATTTAATGAAAAATAATTTTAAGACGCAAACAAAATTACATCAACTTACAAATCTTTGGTTCTTGAATAAATGGTTGACTTGATGCTATTTTTTGAATTTCTCTATCCATTTGATTATATCTGCCAACAACTTTGTAGATATTCTTTAACGCAAGAGAAAAAAATATTAGTTAGTTAAAAATATTGATTAGTTAATTAATAATTTCTTATTAAATGAATAAAATTAAATATACCTTATTGCCTCCAGTTATGTGACCAAGAAATTCTACTTCATTTTTTTTCAATCCTTTCTTCGTAATAGTTGACATTTCCAGTCGTATGAATTCATCATTTTTAAGTAGATTGAGAATATCCGGAAATATATTATCTTCACTAGACTCCTCAATTGACGATGAAACAGTGTTATCAGATATTTCTGAATTTACTTCGGAATTATTTAATTCCACCTGTGGTGTTGAAGTTGTCATTCGAGAATCATTCTTCACCAAATTATGCCACGAAAGACTTTCTAAACTACTTGCTATTCCCACTGTTGATTTTGTACATTTGTCTCTTGTAGAAGTATTTAATGTTGGAAATTCAGATTCAAATTCACTACCTCTATCAGAACCTGCATTGCTATTTGATTTTTTACATGACATTTCGCTGTCTTTTGTAAAAGTTCTTAAAAGTTCAGACTCGTACTCTAGACCTGCATTTGGATAATCTTGACAATTAGTTAAGAAACCCTCAATAAGTACATCATCAACGTGGTCATTATTAACTGTTGTCAAACTTGTATTCTTTTCCGAACTGGATTCTTCTGACTCAGAGAAAATCTCTTTAGGATCTCGAATATTCAATTGCATTTCTTTATAAACATATGTAACAAGATCGCAATATTTCGGTTGCAATAATGTAATTGAGACCTAAAATTAAATAAATTAATTTAAATTTTAAAATTATTAAAAATTAAAAATAATTTAAAAATAATTACATGTAAAATTTCTGGAGAACTGCCTGTTCTTTTTATCACATTTACATCAAATTCTTTATCAACCAAAAGACAGTGTATTTTGTCTAAATAGGGCGTTGGCCAAATTCCTTTTGGATTATCCTATAAAATAAAGATTTAATATTAAAAGAAATATTTAATTTAAAATTAAAATAAAAAGATTATTTTTTTATATATAAATAAAAACTTACTGGACGAAAAGAATGGACAATACACTTTGTATATTGAATTGGAATATTCTGAAGAATATTTATTTTCCTTATTGCTGTGATTTCGCAATCCTCTGTATTTCCATAATCGATAAATTCAACCTAATTATAAACAAAAATTTAAATGAATATTTTTTTTTTAATTTTAATTAAATATACTTTAATTAAATTCTAAAGTGTTTTTCTATTTAAAAATTACTGCATTTTATAATAAATGTAATAATAATTATTTATTACCAGAACATTATCTTCTTCGATATTTTTAATTTGTGCTCTATACCATTTTTGATTGTTATGATATTGAGCTGCGCAAATATCACCCACATTCCATTTGTGATTGTATGATTTCCTTTGTTTTCCACTGTATTTCTGATCCAAATTATTTTCAATCTTTTTTATGGTTTCATCTAGAATGAAAAGCAAAATATTTAATAAGAACATTTCTAATTTTTAAATAATTTCTAATTTAAGTTGATTTTCAAATAATAACCGCAATCTTTTATTTGATTAAAAATAAAGAAAATAGAAGAAAAAAAGAAATCTCACTTTGTTCAACTGGATGCAAATATATATGGCATTTGGTGTCAACGTTGGTTGCAGTGGCGCGAAATGCATCTTTATGAATTTTAGCTGCTGGAATCCATTTTAAATTTTTCTCTTGGCTTTCAGATTGACTGTAACTATCTGAATTTGATTCAACATCATCATTGTATGTTGAATTATCCGAATTGACTAAAGTATTTTCTCTACTATTTATTTTAGTCCATGATATTTCACCAAAGTCATTTTCACAGTTTTGTTCACTTTTATCTAATTGTTTTTGCACGTCCATTGCAAGGGCTCTGGTAATAGCTTGCGAATAACTGTAAAAAAAAGAATTTTAATTTCCAACTTATATTTAATCATTAATAATAATAATAATAATTACTTCTTAATAGGAATTGCCAATCCAACTTCTGTCAATAATCGACTGACAGATTGCATCTCAATTTTATCTGAACCAAATGGATCATCAAGCTTTGATACTTTCATCCAAAGTTCCGCTGGTATTACTTCGTCTACTGTTTCTGCCTGAAATATTTCAAAATTTATTTATTTAATCAACATTTTTTATAATTCGAAATTATAATATTTTTTATATTTATAATGTAATATTTACCACTTTCGTGATGTAGAATCTGAAGTTTTCATTTTCGTTAATAATTTCACGTAGTTTTTGACATGATGAAGAAGGCCACGAACCTGTACCGCCAGGTGCAATAATATCAGCGAGTTTAATTTTAAATTGATAACGCGGTGTAGATAGTAAAGATTTGTCTAATGGTTGTACATCATCCTTAAGAACTGTTTCCTCTAAACCAAAATCAATTAAAAGTACACTGAGTTCTGTTTCGGATAAAACATTTAATATTTTAGCTCGAACAAATGCTTTATCTTTTCGTGAATAAACTGCACACATTTGATCTTTTTGCCATTCAATTTCTGATATTGCAGAAATATGCTTGTTGTAAAATAATTGCATCTCTGCTTGTAGAATATTATTCATTTGCTCTTTCATTGGATCGGCAACATAGATGCAATCTGGTGATTTTGCATTTAAGACAACAATTCGCAATCTATATGGTTCCAATTCATCGACAACTTTTTCAGATCTTTTTGTTTCAGATGCAATCGATCCACCATAATTTGATTTTTTACTTTGTACTAAGTTCGTTTTGTTTTTTCTTACTTTTGGTGCAACAATTTCTGAACTAAAATACAAATAATTTTATGAAACTTGAATTTTTAATTTAGAAATATTTCAATTTTGCTTTAAATACCTTATTCCTGTGCTGATTGCAAAATTTGATGAGACAAGTAGAACATTGACGTTCGTTTTATTTTCATCTAATAAATACATGGAAACACTGTACGATTTATAAAAAGGATTAATTTTATTTTCACTGTGGGGGAATACTTTTACTTTAGCATTGTATAAGAAATTTTTCAGAAACTCTATTGAGCACTCATTCCATTTTGTGCTTCCAACTGAAGTCGGAGCTACGTCTTGCAAGCTAAGATGTATCGCCTGTTGAAAATGAAGAGCAAATTTTTTTTTTTTTAATATTTTATAATTAAAACATAATATTAAAAGTAGAGGAAAATAAAATTACCTGTGTTGCGAGATACATGAATTTCTGTTGAATTTTACGAATTTTGTCAAAACTCAATATTGCCTTTTTTCCAACGTCGACGAAAAATACTTCAACCGTTTGTGCACAGGGATCATCACAGATGATAGCTCGATACCAATAATTATCAGTATATAAAGCAGCGCAAGGCATTCCTGTAAATAATTAAAATTTGATTATATTCTCCAGAATTTTCTTCTCTAAGTGAACTAACCTTTTTCTGGTGATTGAATAAAATGTTTTCTGGATTTTCCTTTCTTATATTCTGTTTTCATTTCATTTCGCATTTCTTTATACTTTTCGGTGCTATTATTTATCTACAAGAAATGAATTATTTATTTTCGTATTTTTTTTTTTTTTTTAAACGACTCTTGAAAATTAAAATAAAAATTCTTACCAAAACAATGTATATTGAGTCAGGAGATTCCACGTACGAGCACATTGCATTTGAAAATTTTGATATTTTAAGATCCTGATGAAAGAATTTTCTCACCGAACTTGGATTTATTATCTGATAATTTGAAAAATGTCAAAAATAAAAATTTGACTTTATAAGAATGAAAACTATTTTTAAAAAAGTTTAAAAACTCACCTTTAGAGTTCTTGAATTTGTATAAGTACCTAATCCAGTCATTAGCAAATTATCTCTTAATGTCAGTTTTCTATCAATAGTGTTTATTTCAAGGTCGACGAAATAGGTATTATCAACAATATCAAATATAGACATTGCCGATGGTACGACACTAGAAAATAATAGATTACGTTTAGAACATATTTTTCTAAAAATTATTCTTTCTATATTAAAAAAAAATTATATATTTTACTTTTCTTTAATAAAACGCTGCATTGTTGCATTTGCTGTCATGTTCCATTTTTCTCCCTTTGGTACAATATCATACAAAGAGCATTTAATGGCGTAGGCAGGTTGAGTTGAGAATTGTTGGGAAATATATCGTATATCCTGAATGGAAACACTTTGTAAGTTTCCATAATCGATATAAAATATTTCATATCTTTCTTCACCTTGCTGATTTTTTTGAAACTTTAGTACTCGGCCACGATACCAACTATTCATATATTTTACGATATACAATGAACCTAACAGTAACATTATTATTATATATATGAAAAAAATTATTTGAAAAAATATTTTTTTTTCTCTAAATAACAAAAACTAACCTATTAAAATTTCCTTAGGACTTTGATCACTTTTTGAAACATATTCACATAATTGTTTATTAAATGCCTCAACTTCGGAAAGAAGATGTGCTTGTTGAACGTAGAAAAAAGAGGGATCTATTATGTGTGTTACACGTACCATTACACATCCTCCTGTATTTAAAAAGAAATTTTATTTCATTTTTAAAAAATTAACGATAATCAAAAAATTAAATCTAATTAGTCTTTTGTTGACTGTACCTTTTACAAGAGAATCTTCATACAAGCGATTGGACTTTATTGAAGATGTTGAAGTAGCTATTGAAGGCGTTGGTGATGGAGGCCGTTCTTTTTCTTCATCTTCCCATAAACCTTCAAAAAAAAAAAAAAAAAATGTTAAATATTAAAAGTACTAATAATTTTTTGCATTAATAAAAAAAATTTCGATAACCTACTGGGAATGTCCTTTAGATTTATTGGTTCTAAAGTATGATTAGATGGTAAATTATCACTATTAACCAAAGAGAATGGAACAATTTTTGGAACTGTAATTGAACAGTGATTTTTCAAAATATCCACAATTGTTTTGTCAGCCTCGAATCTAAAAAGAATAATTAAATTTTGTTTTATCCATTGTAATAAATTGTAATTTAATAAATTAGAGAAGTAAAAGAAAGTAAAGAAATAAAATATACTAAAAAAATCGTATTACCTAACTCTTTGATCACTGACAACAGGCTGTTTTATTAAATGACAAGGTAAATTGGCAACATTTTTTAATTTCTTAATAAGACTTAACAAATCCATTTCAGGTAGAGAATTTTTCACTGAAGCTGCCATCTGTAATAAAATAAAATCAGTAAAAGTTGTCAATCAATAATTTTCAAAATTTCAACCTACCAGTAAATTGTCCTGTAATATTTCTTCATATTCATTTATATCTTTTTTTATCTTCTCCATATGATTTCTTAATGCCGATCGTTGTGAATTCATTTTTTCAATAAGTTCCCTTTCAATTTGTTGAAGAACACCATGAATATGAGCAAAATACTGATTTATATTTGCCTCCACCATGTCACTGTTTTGTAATTGATCTGGAAATTGAAGATGTCTCTCTACACTCTGAAACAAAAAAAAAATATTTTTTTTCAATAAAATACGTTTTTAAAATAAATTAAATATAACTGGTAATAATAAAACAAATTAAGTTTTACAAAATTTATTTTCTTCAAATATCAAAATTATTTATAATTTTCATATAAAGACAAAAATTGAATAAGCAAATATGACAATTTTCCCATCTCAGGTAAAATTAATTGTATATATAAAATACATGTACTGATTTTGGGGAAAGTTCCCCCTATTTGTTAATTTATAGTTTCGCAAGTTTGTACTCTCACTCAAAACCTTTTTCAGAAAACGATGTCGACTTTCTTGTGTCTTTAACTAGACCGTGATTAAGTTTTCACGCCTCCAGACATTATTAACCCTGCACTCCAAGAAGAGCACTCTCGGCAAATTGTTTCGACCGTAGCTGATTAGTATTTTAAACTTTTTCAAGACTCGCCTTATAAAAATAATGCACCTTTTACCGCAATAGGATAAAGTCTTAATAAACTACTCGTCTTAACAAGACATATTTGATGATGCTTATAAACATTAAGTTGAAAGGATTTTTCCCCAAAAAAAAAAAAAAAAAAATTCAAAAAAAAGAAATTTGTCTCCAGAATTCATGTGGAGAGAAAATAAAATTTAATTACTTGAAATGAAGAAATATAAATAATCAACGGGAAATTTATGATTAATTCATAAATATAGAGTAAGATTCAGAATTGTGATCTATATATATTATATCTTATGCTGTACTGAATTCACACGTACTGCACGTTTGCGATGTGTCCTATGTAATTTCCATTCGACTCTGTTCTTGTCAAGTTAGAAACGGGTAAGAGTCCTTTTGTCTTATGATTAGTTGAAATAGTATCTTCAAGACGTGATAAGAATCGTTCTCTCTACTGAAAATGACAAAGTTTAAGTTCTGAATGAATTTTCCAAGTTAGAAAAATTACAAGAACTGAATAATAAAATTTTAGTGCAATGGAAACTTTCATTAAATTAAAAAAGTATAACTTTACAAAAAATCTATAATTATATTTCAAATATTTACATATAGTGAATTTCTATTAAATAATAATATAAGCAATTATAATTATTTACTGTTAAAATATATAAAAAAATTTTACGTTTAAAAAAAATAGATTTACTTCGATTAATCAATTTCTTTTTTTGATAACAAATACATAAAGGTTGTAATCAATTTTATTAACAAGAAATTCATGAATCACTTCCTGATATAGTGAAAAGTTGCATCACATGGCAACAGTAATCAGGCAACTTTTATATCAAAATCTATAAAATCTTCGGTCGATGTAGTGATCAATTTCATTTTGAAAGTTGCGACTACCTATAATTTTCTCAAGGAACTTTAAAGAATCAAAGTAAGTAATTAATTATTGATTTTTTTAAAAAAAAAAGAATGACAAAGAAAGTAATGATAAGCATAATTTAAAAATTGTTGACGATATAAAAAATTAATTATTTATAAATATATTTTCAGAATGAAAAAATTTCTTGTGATTTTAATGACAATCTGTATTGTGACATCAAATCCAATATTATCGTCATTTCCTACCAATTTAGATAAACAAAAAGTGGAAACTTCGAAAAATATAATAAATCAAGTTTTTATTACTATTAATTTAAATAATACAAATAATACAGTTATTCCTGTGAAACTTGATGATTTTCAAAATAATGCATTAAAAATTTGTGATAATGAAAATTCTACAAATTCTTCAAATTCAACAACAGAGAGACCACCTACAACAATAACAACCGATAGACCTTCGACAACATCTCATCCATATTTTACAACAACATCAAAATATCGTCCGACAACAATTTATCCAACATATCCAACAACATATTTTCCATGGACAACATATACGACACAACGTCCAACAACGCACTATCCATGGACAACAACTCCGTGGTGGAGTAAAAATTATTATCGAATGAATAAAAAAGCAAGAAAATAATAAATAGAAACAAAATTGAAAATTTTATAACAACCAATCAATAAAATCGAAAAATATATAAGACAATTTTCTACAACCTATATATTATCCAATGACTAATAACGCCAGAAAATCGAAAATAGAAACGAAATTAAAAATGTTATCACTATTTTAAATAATAAAATCGAAAAATATGAATGTGAAGATTTTGTGAAAAATGTGAATTTTATAAATTTGGACAACAATAAAATTTTAAATATAATTAAGTATTAATTAATTCGCCTGCATTTTTTTCGTAAAATATTGATCTACTAAAAAATTGATGAGATATTTACAAAAATAGATCGAAGTGCTAATGTTTTGATCAACAGTAATAGAAAACAAGGAATTAATTTAAGTTATATTTAACGTAAAATGATGTTTAGATTTTTTTTTAATTAATTCAGACCTTGGATCGATTTTAAGGTGTAAAAGAAGTCATTTTAGTTGATTTACATTTCAAGAAAAGTCGAAAAACTCGATTTTTTATTTTTAATAAATTTAATTAGTTAGTAAATAATTTTATTTCAAATAACTATTGATATTAGATATTAAATTAATTTTATTAATTCGTTAATAAAAATAATAGGAATATTACCAAGAAAATTTATTTCGAATATTATGGAATCGAACTAAGAGAACTTTTCAAGGTTTTAATTGAGTAGGACAGATTTCTAAAAAAATTCTTAATGTTCTATTTTAAAAAAATTTTTTAAATTTGATTTAAACAAATTATTCAAATTCAAAATTTCTTCATAATTTTTAATTTTAATGAACAAAAAAAAATTTCGAACCATAATTAAATTTTAAAAATAAGTTTTTAATTTCAATTTTGTTAAGGAAGAATCAGACAAAGAATTGGAACAAAAGTTAGTCATGTTGCGTATTTTTTTATTTTTAAAGGAAAAGATGGTTTAATTAAAATTTTTTAATTTTTAAATGGTTTTTTTTTAGAATTTAAATCATCTTTTTCTTTAAAAATACATAGTTGGAGTAACTTTTGTTCCGATTCTTTGTCCGATTTTTCCTTAAATAATTAAATTTCAAAATATTTTAAATTGAAATAAACTTTTGCAGAATTGAATTGTAGTTTTTTTTTCTAATTTCTGACAACAATTAAAATTTTGAAAATTTTTATTTGAAACTTTTTTAAATAATGGAATTTAAAAAAAAAATCAATTGAATTTTGGATGAGATACAGTTAAAATTTTTAGAAATAATTCTATTTCAAAAGATTTTAAGTTTTGGAAAATTATAATTTTTCAAGATTTTTTTTTAAATTTCAGACACTAATTAAATTTTACCGAATTTCGAACTAAAAATGTTTAAAATAATTTAACAATTTTTAGAAGTAATTTAATCAAAAAATTTCAAATTGAAAATTTTAATTGATAAGATTTTTTTTTTATTTCTATAAATATTTAAATTTTACAGAATTTTAAAATAAAAAATGTTTTAAATAATTCATTTTTCCGAAGAACTCGATGGAAATTATTAGTTCAAATAATTATTAATTATTAAGTTCATAGTTTTCTGAGGCTCTCAAATTGAGACCATAATCAGCATCAAAACGTTGCATTATCAACAATTTGATACACTTTATGGTCTCAATTTGAGATCCTCAGAAAACTGTGTTTAGATTTTTTCTTGAAATAATTGAATTTCATGTGATTTTGTAGTAAAAATTTTGGTAATTTTATTTTACTAAATTTTCCTGTTTTAAAATAAATAATTATTGAATTTTTTAAAAATATTTAATTACAAAATATTTTTAGGCTAATTTAATTTTTTAATAATTTTATTTAAATTATTTGAAAATAATTAATTTTAGCGAAAAATTTTAGTTAAAAATTTGTTGAGTAATTAAATTCTTAAAGAGCTGCATTAAATAAATTTTGTATTTGAACCAATCATTTCTGTACTTGAATATACCATTTAATTGACTCAAAAATTATTTGGTTTAAGAAAATATTTATTTTAGTCAAGTAATCGGTTATTTGAATCAAATTAATTTTTTTTTTTCACTGTATACTAAAAAAAGTGTATTTTATTTTTAAATTTTGTAAAAAAAACGTCGTACAGTCCAAGGCCTGTTAATTGAAAACAAAATTTCGATAAATCGATTTTATTTTCTAGCTTAAAATTCTATTGGCCTATCTAAAATTTGCCTTCAAAATATACATATATAACATTGCTTCTCGTAACCCTGAAATTCAAAAACTTGAACCATGAAAGTTTGAATACAATTATCATACAAAGAAAAAAAAAAAATTATTCTTTGTCAAATTTGTACATGAGAGAATGATTCTGCATTATCAGGTGTGAAAATCTCTCTCTCTCTCTCTCTCCGAGGCAAATCTCAAGATGATTGTATATAGTTACTCAACGATTTGATCGTGCACTAGGTGAGAGGCCGTAGTAAGCCCATAAGCCTCTCACAAAGTTAAACGGGAACAACCTCATCCTTCCCGGTGGCTCTTATATACTCTCAAGTGGTGAGTGAGGGAAGAAGAAGAAGAAGAAGAAGTCATGCTGCTGAAGTAACAGAGTAAGAAGGTTGAGCCACTGCTTTACCAACTAAAAAGACAGTGGAATTGGAATGGTTAGGAGCAACTCCTTCATGCTAGGTAGAACCGATATTCAGTCTTTCTTGTTGCAACGACCGGTAACCACACACGCGAGTGTCTTCTCGCTCAAAAAAGCCACTCCCGTATACCGATTTAGTGCCGGTTTTTATTTTTTTTTTTCATCCATCCTCAAAAATCCGGGTAAATTGTGTACCGGATTCAAAAATCGTCATGTTGTGCCACAATTTTATTTAGAAAAAAAAAATTCTAGAAGAGAGGAATCGTGAATAGAAGTAGAGAATCAGAAGAACAAGATGAAGTTCCTGAGATCTATTTTGATCGTCGTCAGCGCTGAAGTTCTTCTACCTCTCGCTGGTGAGATATCTTCTTCAGATCCAAATCGATTCTTATCTTCGGAGGTTGCGTATTCATCTGCAAAAACAAAATAATAATAATTTTTATAATGATCAAAACAGTAATGATTGATGCTTTTTTTTCTGACGAAGAAAGACAATGGTATAATGAAAACTTTTCTAATAATAATAATAATGTTTAGCGAATGCGATATAAGTACTGATATTAAGTGTACTTACTCATTTTGTAGCTCGTAACTAGGTTTTTCATCATATCTAACAATCTTCTATATGATTAAAAGTATGTTAAGAATCGTCTTCCTATACAGCTGAGAAGAAATTACAAATTCTTTCAAGAAACAATAGATTACTTTTTTTTTCTTTTTTTTTTTGCAGAAAAGTTGATTATTTTTTAATGTACAAGATTTTATCTTATATTTCACACATAGTAATCATTACTATTTTGTTATAATAAGAAAAATCTAAGATAGGTAATATTTTCTACTTTTTTTTTTTAATAATAAATCTTTTTTTTTAATGAAATTTTTTTTTACAAAAAGAAACATTTTTCTTTCAAATTAAAATGATTTTACGAAATAACAAGAGTGATTTAGGTCTGATAAATAACAACTGATTTAAAAATATAACAAGCTATAATAAACCAATTGAATTTCACGTAAATGGAGTGGAATTTAATTAAATCTAAACTCATAAAACAAACAGGTGCCAATAACTGCTCAAAACGTAAATTGTCTTTATTTGTTTCTTTTTATTTTTGTTAATTATTATTTTTTAAAACTAAGAATATGTCCCAGTAACGATTTGTAAGGATCAAATTTAATTGAAAAAAAAGTAATTTATAATTTCCAAATTGAAAATAAAATTTGAACGATTACAAAATAGAAAAGGTATTTTTTCAATAAATTTTATATAATAATAATTTTTTCTTTTTTACTTACGTGTACAATTCGAAAAAAAAATGTTTGCACTCTCATCTGGAACACAAAATATTCAAATACCGTGACATGTAGAATAAAAAATTGAGATTAAAAAGGTATATAATTTAAAAATTATTTTGATTGTATAAATACAAAATTAAAGAAAAAGAAATTCTTTAAATTGACTAGAACAAATTTTTTTTTTTTTGAAGAGTCGATCTTTCTTCTGTCATAGAACTTTTCCCACTTCGAAGAAAGAGATTTTAACCGCGAAAACCGCAACCTTAGGAAATAGACAGTAATTTTCAATGTGCGGCTATAATGGAAAAATCATTATGCGCGAACATCAAATTATAGTTTTTCATAATTCAAAACTTCTTTAAAAAAAAAAAATACACCATAATTAATTTACGTTACACAAACAAAATTATTATTTTTAAAATAATTTTTATGTGATACATTCGAAAAAGGGACCTAAATTAAAAAATTATAGTTTATGTTTATGAGTTTTATACACCTTTAAAAATTTCTTTTTAATTATATAAAAATATTACAAATAAAATAAATATAAATCAATTTTTATTTTTATAAAGATTGTGTATTTTTACTTCAAAATTGATCGTAAACATAACCTATCACTTTTTCTTCCAGTTCCCTTTCTTTAGAACGCATTATATAAAAATTCATTTAAAAATCGTCTTTTTAAAAAATAATGATTTAATTATATCTGATAATTCTAATTAATCAAGACAAGTTTGAAATTAATTCTAATCTTTGGGCTTTGGGATTTAACTATAAATCCACAATTCCAGTTGAAGAGAGATTACTATAGTGAATTATTTGTCGACTTTAGAGAGCAGGTAATCTTGAGAATATGTTCAAAGCACCAGAAGATGGAACACGTGTGTATGAGGAAAAAGAGAAAATAAGTGGAAAAATTCCTGTCAAACGAATTGCCCCGCGTGTATTTTGATTTTCTTTCTACGAACAGTCTTTATATATATATATATATATAGTTGTTTCACTATTTCAGCAAATCATAGTTTCTGCTTCTACGGCAACTCTTTAGTTTCTTTCCATCTCAGTGAATTTTTGCGAAGCACGAGAAGAAAATGGATGATTATTAAAGGCCAAAGAAAAAAAGAAAATAAAAAATGGGAGGTAGAAAAGGAGTCTACCTAGAAATACAAGGTTGTACTTGTTTATAATAAAGACGTTCAACTTTAATTTCATAATTTTTTGCTAATATACATATAGAGTATAAGACAGATTTATACCAAAGAATAAACAAGATTTTTCACGAAAAAAAGGGATCTTGGAGGCGAAAAAATTTTTGTAGGTTACGTTTAGTGATAAACCGGAATTTCAAATTTCTAGGTTGGTATTATTTGCAGAGTAATTTTCATTTTAAATTAATTATTTTTTTCTGTTTTAACAATACCAGAAAGATTTTTTTTGACAGTAAGGAATATTTATTAATTTTTAAGCAAAAAATATTAATTATTATTTATTTAGATATTAATTTTATGTTTTTAAATTTAGCGCCATTATTTAAGTTGGCAGTACCGTTCCTGTTGTCAAAACAGAAAAAACATGTTTACATTTGTCTAACCTTAAAACATATTTCACTTTATTTCGCTATTACAAGAAGTTTTCAATCAAATACATTAAGTTAGCATATTATTTACGTCTGGTAATTATTAAATTTTATGAATTTTGTGCAAAAATTATTCGTTGTTTCACAATTAATATTTTTCACTTTTTCTTATTCTCAAAATGAATCTTGCTACCAGAGGTTTTCTGTGATTTTATTTGAATTTTTTTTTGCATATATAATGGAGACTTAAAAATAAATATAAATATTTTTACTTCAAAAATTACAAACATAGCCTAAAATTTGTTTTGATGTAAGGTCCCTACTCTCGTGGAGCGTCATATGAAAAATACAATTTAAATTTTCTTCTTTATGAAAAAATAATTAAAATACAATTTTAAATATTTTAAATTTTTTATTTTTCATCAATAAATATTAAATGGATTTAATTTTTAATGAATGAGCAATAAATAGTAAAGTATAAATATAGTAGAGATGAATTTCATTATTTTAGTAAACTAAATGAATGCGAGAAAGCTTTGCTTAATAAGGTAAGGGTTTGTTTGCTATCAAACATACCCCTGGACTCATCATTACTGCGATTATGTTTAATAATCTGCCTGATGGTGTTCTCTAATATTTAGTTAGTCAGAGGACAAAGCATTGTCAAGAAAATTCTAAATTAATCATCATATAAAAAATATAAATAACAGACGGTAATTTAAAAAAATATATCTGTCATTATTATTTTAATAACAAAAATTTAAAAAAAATTTCAATAATTTGAGAATTAAAATTACAATTTTATTCTCATTAAAAAAAAAATTTCAATTTAATTATTCAAAAGTTCTTTTAAAATACTTTGTATATAAAAGTGCAATCAAATTCAAGTATTTAGTTAGATTTTAATTAAATTTTCTCTTTTACAAAAAAAAAAAAAAAAAAAAAAAAAATGCAAAAAAAATAAAATAAAATAGAAATGAGAATTTTTCCGGAGTTTTTCCATTGTCTCTTTAAACTGCTTTTTTTCTGATCCAACAAGGTTCACGATAAAGCATCCTTATTGCAAAACGTGCCTTATGCTAATCTGAGGCTGGGATCAAATCGCTCGATATCAATGAGGGACTTAAGGAGGACGAGGCTGAGAGATCCTTGAAGTTGAATTATTCTCTCCAGTTCCAGATCCAGATCGAGTGCAATTGCAAATAGTTCGCATCGAACGATCAAGCCTTTCGAATCGGTTCACGCGAGAGAGCGAGAGTCATGTTGATCGTGAATTTTTGTGTTTTTTCTATCTATATATATATATATATATAGAAAGAGAGAGAGAGAGAGAAAATATTTTCCCTCTGTATGTGGATTCATGAGGGATTTCAATTTTTTTTTTGAAGGGTGAGAGTATAAAAATAATATATTGCGAATTCAGCAAATGATTCTCGACGTTGCTAAATCGGCAATAAACAAATGCTTACAAATCAAAAAAGGAGGAAAAAAAATTATAAACAATTATTATCAGAGAATATCAGAAAAATATTTATTAATTTTCTTCTCTCGCATCAGTTTATATTTTCATTGAATCAACTTGTTTCATATATGTCTTGCTCTCTATATTGATTTGTTGTGCTTTTCTTGCTTTTTTTGGTCTTTCTTTTACTGCTATAAACGCAGAATATTCCTTATAACAGTATAAGAAGTTGTACAAAAGAATAAACTAGCTCTTGTTCTCTTTGAGTCTTTTTTTTTCTTCGTTTTTTACGATCAATCGACATAATAATATCGGACATAAAATAAAGAGGCGTTCGTAATACGCGCATCCAGTTGCTTGATACTGTTTGTTCGTTTATCTCTTCCTTTTTTCCTATTGTTTCCTGTATATATCTAAGTCGCAAGATATAAAGACATTTTTTTTCTCTTTCTCTATGATGTGAGTGATAGGAGATATATAAAAAGATGAAAAGGCATCGAAGGGTTTTACGATATAGAAACCCAAGTATATTTTCCTCTTTCTTGAAATTCAAATTTAGATTGTAAATTTTTTTTTTTTTTGCTTCTAAATAAGAATTTTTGTTTTATAAAAATGATTGTTTATTCAACTTTTCATTTTATTTATATTTTATTTTTTCGAAAATACGATTTTTTCGACTTATTTTGATATAAGATGCGAGTTTTTCGACTTTTTTTTTTTTACTTTTTTTACAAAATTTTTAAACAAAGTACATTTTATTTGGTATATATAATACAGATCTTTTTCAGATCTACTTCATTTCAAATTTTTTAACAAATTTTTAACTAAAATTCTTCTCTAAATGAATTATTTTCAATACACAGAAAAAAAAATTTATTTCATTCAAAGAAACTGATTATTTGACTATTATCAAATAAATATTTTCTTCAACCAAATAATTTTTTACTTGAGTCAATTAAATGGTATTTGTTTCAACTATAGTAATTATTGATTTAAATACAATTAACAAATAAAATTACCAAAAA